CGCAGCGCACTACTTCGTCCTGGAAAGCAACCTATGGCGCAGAGCATCGCATGGCAAACATCAGCTCGTGCTGCCTCCTAATAAGCGCTACCGCATTTTGAAAGAGGCGCATGACGATTTAGGGCACAAGGGTATCTATACCATCAGCGCGCGCCTACGGCTGCGCTTCTGGTGGCCGCACATCATTGACGACATCAAATGGTATGCGCAAACATGCCACGAATGTCAAGTGCGCCAAACGCGAAGGCTGCACATCCCTCCAATTGTACCCATGCCAGGTGGTTTATTTCGCAAAGCGCACATCAACACGATGAAGATGCCCAGAGCGGGCGGATATGAATATCTCGTGCAAGCGCGATGCGCGCTAACATCGTATCCTGAATGGCGCATGCTGCGCAAAGAGAATACTCACGCGCTAACCGCTTTTATTTTCGAAGAGCTCTTCTGTAGATGGGGTCCGATCACAGAAATAGTGACGGACAACGCGCCCGCATATAGGCTCGCAGTAGACGAACTCGCGCGCAAATATGGGATCCACCCGATCCGCATCTCGCCGTACAATTCTCAGGCAAACGGTATAGTCGAAAGACGACACCGCGATGTCCGGGAGGCCATCATTAAAAGCTGCGACGGAGATGATTCGCGCTGGTATCAGGTAGTTCATTCAGTGTTCTGGGCAGAGCGCGTCACCATTCATAAAGCGACGGGTTTATCGCCCTATTTCATGATGCATGGCGTCGAGCCAATATTTCTCTTTGATCTCGCTGAAGCGATGTTCCTCGCGCCCTTACCAAGCCGAGGCGCGTTCACCACTACTGACCTTATAGCATGGTGCGCGCGTCAATTACAGAAGCGCGTGGAAGATATCAACGCGATCAGAGATAAGGTAGTCGCGGCGCGCTTCAAGTCAATACGCGACTTTGAGAAACGCTTCCGTGCAACTATCAAGTCGCACAACTTCGAACCCGGCGCCTTAGTGTTGGTACGCAACTCGAAGGTCGAATACGAGTTGAGCAAGAAGACAAAGCCGCGCTATTTGGGACCTATGATCGTAGTGCGCCACACGAAGGGAGGCTCATATATGCTGGCCGAGTTGGATGGCACGATCTCAAAACTGCGGTTTGCCGCATTCCGCGTCATCCCTTATTACCCACGTAGCGGGGAGCGCGTATCGGTAACCCAAATGACTGGAGTGGACGACGAGAGCATTGACGAGCTAGAAGCATATGAAACTGTAGAACCCGAAGAAGACGAGCCCGAGCGCGCGCAAGACGACTAGCGCGCGCGACCATTCCCCCCCCACCGCACATCACCCAATCAGATTCGCATATCCGCACGTTTCTCAAAAACATACAAACAAAAACACCAGATAATACAAAAAAAAAAAAACACAAAAATATTCCATCAAGTACATACTCTCAGTTTTACCCCGGGTTTCGTCCGGTGATATCATTCCTCTCTCAATTGTTCACTAGTCCACACCCGTTCTGCCTTCGGCACAGGAAGCAAAAAAGAGTGCTTCACACTCTTTTTTTAGCTTCCTGGCCTCAGCTTCATCCTAATAATTCTGAAGGCTCCTGATGAGCATTGTTCCTTCATCACAGGAAGCCAAGGAGGGCTGCGCCCTCCTTTGGCTTCCTGGCCTCAGGCTGCATCCTAATAAATTGTGCATTTTGAATAAGATCACGCCTCGATAGTGGATTTTGAAAAAGAGGTACATTTATGAGCAGCATTTCAAAAAAACTAAAAGTACATAGTACATAAGATCAGTCAGTTTTATATATATAAGTACATCATTCATTGATACAATCTGTGAGTCCTCTAAGCACTTCTGTATATACTACATTGGTTGTGTTTGAGCCTTCTTCATGCTCCGGAAATATTGCATACACTCTGTCTGGGTGAGTGCAGCGAGACAAAGCCACATAGAGCTGTCCATGACTGAAGACAGGAGTCCGCAAATTAAGGCCAACCCACTTGACACTTTGACCTTGTGCCTTGTTGATTGTCATGGCAAATGCGAGACGAACAGGGAATTGGCGACACTTGAGGGGAATAGGGTTGTCTTCAGAAGTGGCATCCAGGGTCATGCGAGGGATGAGGACTGTATTCTGATTCTCTTGGTGGGCTGCATCAACTCCATCTCTAAGAATGCGACACCTGAGGACGTGAGTGGTCCAAGACAGGAGGATCATGTGAGTTCCATTATAAAGGCCTTTGGTGGGGTTGAGGTTGCGCAAGAGCATGAGAGGGACACCTGCTTTAACCTCCAATTTGTGCAAAGGGAAGCCTGATGGGGTGAGAGTGTGAAGGAACTCTGTGGGAATATAGTCGTAGTCCCTCTCAGCAACTGAGTCTGCGCTGGTGAAGACTGCTTTATCTCCGGGGAATGATTCAAGAATAGTCATATTGATTTCATCCACATCTGTATTCTTTGCAGAGAGGATGGTACGTTCCAGGAAGAAGGTATCATCTGGGGGAGGATGCCCAGGGAGCAGCACTGGAGAGTATAGGGCATTGATGAGAGACCGGACATCGTTGTTGGCGCATCGCATTTGAATTGGGAGGGTCACGGTTCCATCTCTATCTGTGCCCTTGCCAGCTCCAATCTCAAGGAGCCACTTTGCGAATTCATCAGAGGTGGGATCTTGACCAAGTCGCATATTTGTCTTGAGGTGGAAGATGCGAAGCTTTGGCCATATGCGAGATCTGCAAAATGTAGCGCCCACTATCTGCTCCCTGGATCCATGAGGCGCCACCGGCAGGGTCTGTCTGAAGTCTCCTCCAAAGAGCATTGTTATTCCTCCAAAATCAGCATCTACGTCCAGAAGGTCACGCAATGTGCGGTCGAGGCATTCCAAAATATGACGATGGAGCATGGGGATTTTATCGCAGATGATGAGGGAGGTGGCCTTGAGAAGCTCATGGACAACATCTCCTTTCTTGATGTTGCAGGAGCTGTCCTCGTTAATGGGAATAGGAATTTTGAAACGTGAATGAGCCATGCGTCCACCTGGAAGGAGGAGAGAGGCGATTCCAGAGGAAGCCACACATAGGACGATCTTGCCTTCAGCACAGATTTTTGAAGCAATGAGCTTGCAGAGATATGTCTTTCCACATCTGCCTGCACTGTGGACAAAGTATGCGTGTCCAGGTCTTTGATCATTACGTTGCATTGCATCATCGACTACCGCATCAAAGACCGCCCTCTGCTCAGCATTGAGAGAATTAACTCCTGGTTCTACCATCTGCTGAAGCTGCTCCCGGTCATACTGAAGCTGCTCATAAATCAGCTGGTTGCCCTCCATTACACCCCATCTTGCTGCCATTTGAGACACAGGCATTTGAGGGATTGCTTGCAAAGACTTTCCATTTTTGCGAAGGATGCCATCGATGAGATAGAGACCATAGTCATGGACCTCTTCCTCTGCAGGGTCTGGTATGTTGAATGGTGGTTGAGAAAGATGGTAGCGCAGATCATCACATAGATTATACTTGAAGCGGTTCCAAAGATCGTCAGGGCGTGTAGGATTGCAGTGTATGAGGATGATGGAAAAGAGATTTCGCATGCCATGTCCAGTGCTCATATGGGAGGCATCCTGCAAACACTGGATCCATTCATTATCGTCTTCAAGCAGACCCCTGCGCAGACATGCTTCCTTGAAAGTCTCGCAGACAACCCCTTGAAATGTCCGAAGATGCTCATAAGAGGTGGCTCCTTGAAAAATAAATATGGTGAGTTTTATTGATAAAAATTGTCATAGATGTCTCGCCTTTTACTACAGTCAAAAGCAATCTCAGGTAGAAGCGCTCTCCAGAGCCAGGGGCAGCAGAGTACATCCTTCCAATCGCCATTCCACGTTCGCGTATCTTCCATGCTGTCTTCTTCCACACAAATTTTGAGGGGAAATCCTGATAGAGGTAGTCATGGGCTCCGGCTGCCACCAAGTTCTCATTGGCATTGGCTTTGAACCATCCAGTGAGGTGAGTCTCTTTAGCAGCTGCACGCTCCCTCGGATCCATCTCCAGGAAGAATTGCAGCGATTTCATTGGCGGTGGGTAGGTTGTATCTTCGACCATCCGTGCCCTGCTGGAAGTGAATCCGTACTTGAACTTCTGTGTGCTGCTCTGGAGGCTTTTCTTGCATGACTTGATAGGCTTGCTTGTAAATGAGGGCATAAGGGTGATGTCGGAACAGCATATCATGAAGGACTCTGAGACGGTTGCGATTGAGACCTTCATTTCCAGGACGGTTGGTGCGAATATCGGTGGCTTCTTCAGTGTCGTATATATAAAGTTGAGCGTATGAAGGCTGAAGACCTTCTGGGGGTATGAGACTGCCCATGAGATGGTGAAGAGCACCATGAATACGAAAGGCATTTGGGCCAGACCCTTGAAGAGCTCTGTCCTCGATGTCAACACCAACAGATGTAAATGCAAGAGCACTGTTGTACTGTCTGATCTTGGAGACAAATGTTCGGTCTGCATATGCCTCCAACAGCTCAGGTGGCCATTCTGGAAAGGGCCGAAGGCTGACTTGGCCCTGCAAGCAGCACATACCGAAGTGTGGATTTCGTAGAGAGGAGTTGGAGAGTCTTTCAGATGCAAAGTGCTTGGCATAACAGTTACAACACTCTACATTAAGAGGACCAAGAGTGTCACGGTCAATTGGTTCCGTGTAAGGTAGAGCTCCATCAGGAATATGAACCACCTGATTGACATGCTGGTTATCCTCTGCCTCACGCTGCTGGCGGCGTTCCTGCTGCTGGGTTCTTATTCTTTCTTCATCGTCAGCATGCTGCTCCTGAGATGCTGGATCATTGTATTCACGGAAAGCCTCTTCAAGATGCTCATCCTGTTCACGAATCCTTTGTTCCCGCCGGCGTTGAGCCTCCTCTTCCTCCTGATGTACTCGCTGACGATCTTGATCCTGTCTGTTCTGTAGCTCCTCTTCCTGCTGCTGCATTTCAAAAGCATATTGAACTTCTCTATTAAGCTGCTCAGCTTGCCGTTGCTGCAGGTGAAGAGCTTGCTGCTGCTGTAGGTGAAGAGCCTCCTGCTGCTGCAATTGAGCCTGTCTTTGAATTCTCTCAGCTTCTTGTTGCTGCAAGCGAAGAACCTCATGCTGCTGCAATTGAGCCTGTCTTTGAATTCTCTCAGCTTCTTGTTGCTGCAAGCGAAGAACCTCATGCTGCTGCAATTGAGCCTGTCTCTGGATCCTCTCAGCTTCTTGCTGCTGCAATTGAGCCTGTCTTTGGATCCTTTCAGCTTCTTGCTGCTGGAGGTAAAGAGCCTCCTCCTGCTGCAATTGAGCCTGTCTACGGACCCTCTCAGCCTCTTGCTGCTGCAATTGTAGCTGCACTTGATTTCGACGGAATTCCTCCTGTGCTTGCCTTTGAAGCAAGTCATTTCTAATGCGCTCGTGTTCCCTTTGCTCTGCATTGATATGATTTTGAAATTGAAGATTAAACTGCTGATAATCTGGTTCTGGTAGCATGGGCATAGGTGGTGCATGATTAGGCGCAAAGTAGTGCAGGGGATTGTCAAAGTTGTGAGCACCCTCATAATGAATAGGGCCATACACAGGAGGAGCAGGAGGAGCAGGTTGAATGTGCTGGTTATGAATTGGAAGCACCTGTGGAGGCTGCATAAGTTCTGCCTGTGCCTGCTGTCTTATCTCATCTCTGTCCTGTTGCTGACAAATATTATGTCGACGGCATCTATCATTATGAGCTGCATTCATTTGCTCATTTAAGCGTGCATTATAATCCACTGGAGGATGATGATGAGCACGCTGCACATGTGCAATCGCATTTCGTGGCAAGCCAGGATACTGCTCAACTGGTAGCGGTGGATATCGAAAGTAGAGAGGAGGTTGTGGAACAGGCCCTGCTTGGGGTTCATTAGCCGGCACAAAATTAGGCTGGGGTACAGGAGGCGGAGGCCTATTCTGATCATCATGGGCAGCATGGCAACGATTGCGCCTTGTAGGAGATGTCATCTGAAGTCGATTGAGTCTATCGCGTTCACGTTGCGAGTGACGGTCGCGTTCAGGGGTGATTTGATCTTGATTTCTAAATGGTACATGCAGACATTAGCATCATGCACTTTATGCATAGCAATATATCAGCAACTCACAGAATTGGTATATATCCATCCATGGTTGTTAAATTCAAATGGTTGTTTAGCAAGTGCAAAATTTGCCTGAACTCATCAATCAATAAGTCATTTCTATCATCATTGATAAGAAATAACACCCACCAAAAGTGTATCACACTTTAATTACACTTGGCTGCAGGGAAAGGCAATTTAACTCGAGAATTTCTATTCAAAAGCAGCAGCCAAGTTGTGTAATGATTTGTGTAACCAAAAGTGTAATCAAATTTCTATTATTGCTTTTGTTATTCTCGATGCCTTTCCCATATAGTAGGAAAAGTCTGTTGTTTGTCCGTTGCATTCCCACGGCGCAGTAGGCGTGAGGATTACTGTCCACTATATCGCGTTTGGCAGTATTTTCGGACTTGGCAGAAATTTCTCTCAAATTGGATTTTTTTTTGTTTCACTCTTACTTAGTCTTAGTCTTAGTTTTAGCGAGAAAACCACGCGAGTTTCCAAATAGAAGTTCAAGCGAGGTAAGCGAAAACCATGTGGCCTTACGCGCATCTAAGCGTATCTAAGCGTATCTAAACGAAAACCACATGGCCCTACACGAAAACCACGCGAGCGCGCGAACGTTTCCGAAACCTTTCTCCCTTTCTTCTTAAGATATAACGTGCATTGCCTGCACATAAACCCACAGACTCTAGAATATATCAACACACCACCAAAACGCTAATATTCCGCAAGTACATACTACTAACTACCTTATTTGTATAGCGCGCGCATAATCACCCCCATAGACTTTCACCTTCTAACGCGCGCGCGGCGCCGCGCACTTTTTTGTCTTCTTTTAATTTTCATTCGAGCGCGCGCGCGGTGCAACAAGGCAGGGATAGATGAAGGAAGGCGTGCGAAGAAGACAAGACGGGCGCGCACCCCGCAGAACACGTAGTAAAGTCCATCGCAGTACCTTTATCTCGTCTCGCGCTTGATCCTCACTTACATACTTATAATCTTAATTTCATAGCCCAGTGAATCAGACGAGGACATGGACATGGACATGGGACAACAAAATCAGGATCTATTGCAAAGGCGCATTGGCGCTTAGGAGAAAAACAGGTTGTATCTAGTTCAGAGAAGCATTGGCGCGCTCCTCCAGGTCAGACCACTCCTGGGACATGGCGAAAAGTTTGTTGGAAAGCGCCAAGAGATCCACCTGCTGGGCGCGCGCATACTGGCGCGTCTTCAAAGCGGACGCGCGCATAAGCGCATTTTCCTCCCTCAGGCGCGCTGTCTCAGCTTGCACCTCTCTCAACTCCTCCTCTGGTCCCTGGTACTTGCCTTTTCCCTTAGGCGCAGAGCCAGATGCCAACAGACCGACAGCGCGCACAGGAATATCGCGCGAAGCGCGCACGACCTTTTCCCCCACATCGCGCTCATCAACAATCTCCACATCCATACCAGACGCCTCAGATCCTTCTCCTTCGTCGACGGCAATAGAGGAAGCGGTCTCCTTTGCAGACTCAGTAACAATGGGGCGCTTAGGCATCGGCTTGCGCAGACGCGCCTTAGGTCCATCTGAAGTCTTGCGCTTAGCTAATCAAAGGCGTTAGTAGTGCGCCGACAAAATCTCTCAAGGCGCAACTTACAGAAGGAGCAGGCGCGCTTTGAAACATCGCAAGGAGGGCACCGCTTGCCAGGCGCGCCTCCGCAGTCCTGATCCCTGCTGACGCAAGTGGCGCAGCGTGGCGCCTTCACGACAGACATGTGCCCAACCTTGCGCTAATGCGACCAAATGTGTCAGTGGAGTAGCGCAACAATGAGATATAGAGAACCGCACCTGTTTAGATGCATCAGTACCAGACGCATCAGTTGCGCGCGCCTCGACTTCGGACGCGCCAGTAACGCGCGCAGCACGCTTGGGAGGCGCCTCTGGAACAGCCTCAGTCACCTTCGTCTTCCATCCCTTCACGACCGTCTCAATCTCCTTAGAACTCTTCCGCCCCTGCTTCAGGAACTCCGCGCTCTTATCGCTCATATCCAACTCCACACCCAACACACCCGCGCGCTCGGAACAGTTGTTCATGGTTGCCTAGGAATGTTAGATCACAGAAGGCAAGACATGTAAGCGCACTCACCAACACAGAGCGCCACTCGCGCAACCACAACTCTTGATCCTCAAGCAGTTCTGGCTTGAGATCAGGCGCCGCCATGGCACAAGCTTCCAAGGAGGCTAGGATAGCAGCCCAAGCGCTAAGAAGGCGATTGGTATCGGACACAGCATTGACGTCCTCCATGCGCGCGTCCTCAGGATGGTCTGGCGCCACTGGCTCAGGAGAGGGAGAAGGGGTGGCGTTTAGCATAGTGGCAGTGAAGGGGGCCATGATGGTAATGATAAGGGAGAAGTCAAGAGATCGCGAGAACGCGTCCATCTTCTTATCAATGACCTCTATCGATTAGATCAGTGATGCTCGCGATCATCAAAGGAATGGTCCTACTCTCGCGATCACATGACCCCGTCTATCACCATCTCACCAAATCCAAAATCCCGCGCTATATCACTGAGTGGGGACACTCAGAATGTAAGTCCCCAGGAGATGTAGAGACTCGTGCCTCTCAATGCCGGACATATGGCCCCACGAACCACATATTCCTTACATATTCCAGCTCTTATCCGAAGGATCAGTCATACGCGCTCCCGCGCGCGCGCCATACGTTCGCGCCTCGTTCGCGCGCCTCATACGCACTCGCGCGCTTCCGCGCGCATCCGCGCGCGTCCGTGCGCCTCCCCTTAGGTCTTCTCGTGCCTACCCGTCCGTCCATCCGTCCTATGTCCTCACTGATTTGCTGGTGCGTTATTCTTATCTCTTTCATTGAATTGATGTGCACTCGGTCCGATCCCCGTGCTTACATACAGAAAGTCTATCTTAGACTTTAGATTATATTTAGAGTTGATATGGTTACTCGGTTCGGTACCGCGCTCGGAAGCGCCGCATAGCGCTATCTCCCTTCTTAAATAGAGGGAAGTTCTTTTACTTCGGGTACTACTTTTCCCCCCATTTATCACAGTATACTGCAAGTTGTATAGTGCACCTTAGTACTAGAAATCTGATTATACTTCTCCATCTGCTACAGCTCGCGCCTCTATTATACTTGAAACCATATCCCTTATCACTCATAAGTGCGCTCCCGCATACGCGCGCACCTCTCGCATCTCGCGCGCCCTCGCATCGCTCACGCGCGCCTTCATATCGCTTACGCGCGCCTTCGTGCGCGTTACCTTCTCGCGCCTACCAGCGCCCGTCTAGTTGACAGAGTTTCCCTCCACCTTATTCGCGAGGAACTTCTCTCAGTAGCTGTCCTTTGGGTCGAGCTGTATTCTCGTATCCAGGTCTTGCTGTAGAGCCCCCTTACCTTTAGTGTTTTCACCCACAGTCAAGATTCCTCACCTTCAACGCGCATTCACAGCATCCGCGCTGTGTAATCTGATGCCGGCTACGCCCAACAAACCATCACTCATGATGTATAGAGGTACTGATGCAGTGTGTGAATACGACAATCCCGACCTCATCCCTGGGATGTTCCCCACTTTGTTCCCGTTCGGCATAGGTGGTTTTGATGACAAGACTCGACGCACCCCTCTGGGTTTCCGCCGGCAAATTGAGTACACGCTCGATCTTGCAGATAAATCTTTTCGCTACCATCGTACCTACATGTTTGTCACGCTGAACATATGGCAACGCCGGATGGCCCACCTCCATACACATTTCACTGTCCATCGCGCCCATTTCGACACCTTAGCCAAAAGCCTCGCTTCTGTGAGTGCGACGACGCTGACTCGAGTGGCTGAACATCTAAAAAAAGAAAAATCGTATTCTTCACTCGCTCCAGCTGACTGTGCAGCGCTGAATTTGCTCAACAAGGTGAACACAGTCGCTGCTCGAATCCCTGGATCGCAGTCCTCCAAAATTCACATCTGGAACGAAATTCGTAGCTACTTCGGGTATTTTGGGGTCCCTCAGTTATACTTCACATGTAACCCTAATGCAGCCCACAGCCCCATTTTCCAGCTGATGTGCGGTGATGAAACGGTGTAGGACACGAGCTGGCGCTGGGCTCGTATCGAGCTATTTCACAGTACACGTCAAATACCTGTCACATGCTAATCACTTCCCGATGTCATCCGACGCTAACCCGCCAACCCGACGTTTAGGCCGCATCGGACCCGATGTTTTCCCGCGCACTTGTCCTATCCGTGTCCCGTCCCGTCTTGCTAGCCCCACTAGGTGTGTAGTTCATTATTTCGCACATTACTCACGTCGTAGCCAGCGCTATTACATGTTTTCCCATAGTCCGCAGCGCCTCATGTTTATTTACATGTACTTCGGATCCGAAATACTCTGCCGCTACTTTCGCCTACGGGTTCCGCATTTCTACGTACTTACATATATATTGGACTGACCTCGAGCATTATTCATCATCCAAGTAGAGGGGAACAGTTCCCCAACGCTTAGTGGTCAAACCCGATATTTCGTAGTTCTTAGTTGATATTGCGAATATCATCGCTCTTTCATTATCCGTATCAGTCATTGTTATTATTGCGCACACCGCTCGCTCTTCTGACGCTCGCTATAGCGTTACTATTAGTTTCCGACACCCCGAACCTGAACCCGATAACCCGAAACCCCGAAAACATCGGACCCGACGCTTTTGCATCGGACATCGTAATTATACCTTTGGACATTGTTTCCCGCGCTCGGACTATTGATCTCACATCACTCACTTATCCCCAAGGCTATTCCCAGACCGCAGACCCCTGGGTCGAACGCACTTGTCAGGCAAGTATAGCAGACTAGGCAGTGCAAAGACCACAACACAAATATATCAGTTTGGAGCAATCTTCATTTGTTCCTCTCAGTATTGTTGTTTCTACAACGGTTGATCTCACTCAACGATATCCTGTCTTGGTCTCAGCGCGCGAGCGTGCACTTCGCCTCGCTCAGGATCCAGTTGCTGCTGCTGATTTCTTTCAATTCTGCGTGAAAGCTTTGTTCGCACATTTGTTCGGATGGGACTTTGAGACTGCCACATCCACACCCACGGGCGGCATTTTGGGGCATCTGGAAGCTTTCTACGGAACTAGTGAGTTCACAGAGCGAGGGAGTTTACATGGCCATTTTGTCATCTGGCTGTTGGGCGGTCTCAATCCTACAGAGTTGCACAGTCGCTTGAACGATCCCCTTTATCAAGCCCAGTTCTTCGCGTATTTCGAGGACATTATCCATCATCATTTGCCTGACATAGAGTTGGATGTGGACCCTTCTTTCGAGCCTCGAACCCAAAGACCTCCTGTACCTCTGGACCTGTCGTTGATCGGCCAGAGTCCCCAAAGCGTGCTTAATGAATGGGAGTCTGTCATGGCGACCGATGTCCTGCATGATACGGGAATCATGCATGGACATAACTACTACTAGGAATAACCCTCAAAAGATTATGTCTGTTAGCACAGTCCTCAGACTAGTCACCCCATACCTTGGTATCAAACCTTGGTCCTATATTTCAAGTTTTATATGGAAGAAGAAGAAAAAGTCATATGTGAAGTAAAATGAAGGTCAAGGTATTGCCTTACCTTTGGCTTATTCACTTTGGCTAGAGAAAACCATTGAGAAAAGCTCAAAGCCTAACAAAAACCTATCTAAAAAGCCCGTGTCTTGCATATTGTATTTGTATCATTGTTTCTATCTTGTTTTCTCTAGCATTGTTCTTTTATTTTCTTTTATTTAGGATGCTATGACCTACCAGATACTCCAGAAAATATTATTTCTGAGTATGATGTCATAATGATGTCATATAGCTTCACAGAAAGTTCTAGACTATTCTGCTGGAAATTATGATGTAATGTATGAAGTCATAATGATGTCATAGGCTCTAGAATATTCTAGCTCCACTATGATGTCATCTCTGATGTCATTGCTCTATCTTTTATTTGTATTTTATACTTTTATTGGGTTTCACCCAATATTCTGATTGGTTCTCTCTTTATTTTATTGTTTGCGAACCTACATTACTTTCCCACACAAAATGTATATAAGGAGAGCCCATTCTCCCCCCAAAAAATAGAGATCCCTCTTCTAGGAAATTTTCTTCTCAGAGAAACCCCCTCAGTTGAACAAGACATCTCACTTGTTAAGATCTCCCACTTGTAGCAGAACAAGTGCAGGGAAACGTATCCCTTGAGAATACAAGTTTCTTACGATAAGAAGCTTACGTTACTATTTATTTGACCAACCAGTCTTTGGTCCACGTGATTTTAGAGACCGTTGTCTCTCCTGTTTTACTGTTTAATTGACCAACTCGTGCCTTGGTCAACGTGATTATTCTTGAGACCATTGTCTCACCAGTGCTATTTGTGTCTATTTGACCAACCAGTCTTTGGTCAACGTGATATTACAGAGACCCCTTTGTCTCTACTCCTCTTCGTGCCTATTTGATCAACTTGTGCCTTGGTCAAATCTACCCAGTTCATTTCAGTGCCTAGAACGTGCAATCTAGGCAAAGCTATTTGTACTTCAGACCACAGTTCTGAATCTAGGTAGCAAATCCTAGACAAAGTAATTGGAGGTACACATAAAAAGCTCTGGCTAAGTTGATCACCTGATTGGTTTAGCGAGCCTCCCAAGAACTCACACATTATCTACCACGAAAGAAGAAAAGTCGTAGACCGTGTTAATCGAGGACTGGCAAGAAGTCTTATCCAAGTGAGTGTAATTGTGGTGTCATTACATTCTTACACGCTTTATATAAGACCCTCGGTTATTAAGACATCACTGGAGCCCACCGCGAGGGAGGCTTCTTTTGATTTCGTACCCCCTATCTATCCAAAGAACCATTTATATTCACTATCCTAGTCAACAATTCTACACACAACTACTATTGCGACATCTACATCTACTCTATCTCAGCCTACTATGGCACCATCATCCCCTGCAACAATGGCACCGTCCATTCTTACTATGCCTATTCCAGGAAGCAAGGCAGCACCCAAAAAGTTTAAAGGAGACTTCACAGAAGTCAAAAAGTTTATCAAGCATTATGAAAAGCTATGTGACTACAATCTAGTCACCGACAAAAAGGAAAGATGTGAAACTCTCACTCAATACACTTCACGTCACGTGACTGAGTTTATTGAGGGATTGGATTCATATGAGAATTCTGATTGGGATCAGCTCAAGGCAGATATTCTCAAGTATTATGACACAGATTTGGATACAAAGCGTTATAAACGGAAAGATCTACTCTCTTACGTGAAGGCTATGAGAGGACAACGGATTCCTACTCTAGCAGCATGGAAGAAGTATGTTCGCGGATTTATCAGAATTGCAGGTTGGCTCCAATCTGCAAAGAAAATCACAAAAGATGAGTATGCAGGTTATTTTTGGAAAGGAATCTATAAAAGTTTTCGTGCCAAGATCGAGAGCCGTCTAATGGCTAAGGATCCTGACAAGGATTTGTCCAAGGCATTTGCTGTGGACAAGGTTATTTCAGCAGCAGAAAAGCTACTTCACCGAGACCGATTTGATTCAGATTTGCTTATCTCCGAGGAAGAGACTGACCTTTCATCTTCGGACTCTGAGGACTCTGACTCCACTGAATCATCCTTGACATCCAGTGAGTCATCTGATTCAGATGATGAGCCTGAGATTAAACCTCGCAAGTCTACAAAGAAGACTCTAAAGAAGCGATCTACTGCGAAAGACACTCCTAAGCACAAGGACAAGCATTCTGGTACTACAACACCTATGGATACTTCCAAGAAAACCAAAGGTAGCAAGGACGCTACAAGCATGGAACCACGTGATGAAATTGAAAACCTGATCAAGCAGCTCAATTCCATGTCACTTGAAGATCCGCAATACGCACTTTTGTACTATCGAGTTACCAAGTTGGACCCTAGAGTTATGCAGATTATTTCACCCCCACCTCCTAGGTTTGGTGCTGGCGGAAATCCTAATTCTATGGACCAGAGATTGAATGTTAACCCCAGTAATGGAACTGGCAGGAGATTTGGTTATAACAGACCTCCAGTTCAACCCGGTTCTAGATTCTATCAAGCACCGGGATCATTATTCGAGAATAGGATTTGTTTCGGATGTGGTGAAAAAGGACATTCCATTCCCACATGCCCAAAGCTCGCAAAGTTAGAAGCAGAAGGAAGAATAAAGAGAAATGAGCGAAGACAAATTCTACACCCTAATGGGATTGCAATCAGACGTATGCCGGAGGAAACAGTCATTGAAGCTTTAAAAAGGGAAGACAAAGTTCCTGTTACACATTTTGTTAGCGTCAAACATGATAAGGGAAATCATGACCTTTTGACTAGCAATATGGTAGGGAATATGTCCGCTAGAACTTACGAAGACACTAGCGATGAGGAAACAGAAGAAGAAAGTGAAAATGAAAATGATGCTTTTATGATCCCCGCATATGGCGATGAAAGTGACAAAGAAGACTACTATGTTTATCCAGCAGAGAGAACTATAAAGACTGGTGTCAAAGCCAGACGAGAACACTTTGACGGAGTCTACCCTCCTGTTAGGAAAAGTAACCATGATCAGGAGACTAGGTCAAAGGGGAAGGAAAATGTGACAGGGAATAAGCCCATCACTGCCCCGCGATCTAAGCCAGCTCCTGTATCCAAGAAAGCACCAGAGATTTATGAAAAGCCTAAGCCGTTAACTAAGAGCAGAAAGGGCAACAACGATGATAAGAAGAAGACATCGATCAATCCAAGCTATAATGAAGAAGACAACGATATTATTATGGAAGACATATCTATTCCTAAGCCAGCAAAGGCTAGGGAAGATAAGAAGAAAGAAGAAACTATTGAAAAAGATAACACAAATGCCAATCAAAAGGTCACACAGTGACGTATCTCTGACCTGGCAGTTCGTGCAAAACCAGAGAAAGTTTTGGAGTCAGTCCTTAGGACTCCAGTTTCTTTGGAAGTTGGTGAGATTCTTGGCACATCTCGTGAATTATCAGGGATTTTAGCCAACGCAATCAAGCCAAAGCCTATTATTGTTGAAAAGCCCAAGCTCATTCGATTTGGAGCAAGACCCGTGGCTTATTGATTAAGATGACTATGTATTGTGATGGACAACCTATTAGTGCTATAATCGACACTGGTAGCCAGCTCAATATAGTGAGCCGTCAAGTTTGGAAAGCACAGATTAATCGTCCCATTGACATAGGCAGAAGCATCTCTATGAATGATGCCAATGGAGGCGAAGGAAAATTACGAGGATTAGTTGAAAATGTTCCACTCTCGTGCGGAGCAGTTCATACTAAAGCTAATCTCTACGTTGGAGACCATGTACCTTTCAATTTGCTACTAGGAAGACCATGGCAACGCGGAAACTATGTTAGCATTGACGAAAGACAGGACGGAACATGGCTCGTATTCAAAGATCCACAAAATGTTCAAGCGACACACGAAATGTTATGTACCCCAGATGGTATCAATCCAGAATGGGTTTTTGAACCGTCAACCTGGCTCGGTTCAAAATTCCCTAGCAGTTTCATGATTTTTGATGAAGAAATGGTTATCGATTCTAAGTCAGAAATGTCAAATTTTGACTTACCTATGGATAACATGGCTGGAATATTACCTAATACACCAGTCACTCGAAACTCTACAGAAATATCGAATTTTTGCGGATTACATAATCCCAGTTTTTCAAAAACACAGAATATTCTGGAAGAAAGTGATATCATAGGTGATGTCACAGCTCTAGACCACCAATTTGAATTTATACCTACTCTATATGGTATAAAAGCACCCAGAAACCACTCTATGAAAAATAACCCCCCATATTCTCTCTCTCAAAATTTGCAGCCGGCCCACTTACCTAATTTGGAAATTCGGGTAAGCGGCATGCAAAACGCTACCGACTCTCTGAGTGCCATTTTGGGCACCGCCGGAAGTTACCAGCTGAGTTTGAATTCTCAAAACAGCAAAACGTTGACGCTACAGCTACATCCAGTTCCTAGCGCTACCTCTCCCTCACACAAATCTCTACTCCCCTCTCCTGTTTCTACTCCCATCCAGCCAGCTACAGCCAAAACTGGATGGGAGGAGTCCTTTTCATCTTCTGGCGACCTTGACTTGACCTATCCGGATGACGCCGGACCTTTTGGAGACGCCGCCAAGTTGGAAGAAGGAGGAGATTTAGTGGAAGAAGGTATGTGTTATGATTCTGTTGATTTTTCTAAACGACTGACACACGTTTTGCGCTATGCGCTAGAACATAATGCTACTTTGCACAATGTGCTTGATCCCACCACCATCTACTTGCCGACTCCAAGTGTTCCGCCTCTGGCGCATCAGGTATTGTGCGCCCCCGCTACTCCTACTCCCACACCTGCAATAGGACCTGACCCCACCAATTCCCCATCCCTTCCAGCTCTCGACGCTTCCGCTATGGACTGCGAGCCGCCGCCGCAGGTCCTAACAGCGATCAATGTCCTTCCGGAGCCGCCGCCTCAAGTTTTTACAGCGCTTAACGTCCTATCCCCTACACATACTACCTATCCCACCAGTACTATATTAAATACTGGTACCGCTACTACGAGCTTCCCTAATCCTTTCGCGCCGCTTCCAATTCCTACTCCCCATCTTAGTGAAGCCGCATGGCGCCCAGTTTCCCCACTATCTACATCATCAACTATATCTGACCATCCTATCCCCCAACCTTATAACGAAAAACATGTCCGCACTTCGGTAGACTCGCCTAGCAATGAACTTTGGATTGATGCGCGTCGCGTCGTCCATGTCACTACTATTCCTGATGGCCCGCACCAAGTACCATTTATCAACCAAGTCCGTGTATTGGAAGCCCCCGCTAAGTCTATTCGCACTAGTCCTCCTCCACCTTATGTTTCGCATCGCGCGGACGCAAATGCGACTCACACTACTACTATCTTACCAGTACCTGACAACCACCAGTATCTTTTGGACTATTTTGCGACAGACTTACCTACCACGTCGGACCATCACACTCCTATGCTAGACAAAGTCGCCAACGCTTATCAAGACTATACTGAATGTCAAGACAACCTTTGTGCCTTGGATTGGGACTCGAGAATATTGTCAACACACCCTTTCGTCGACGAGGTCACTGAATCCTTCCCTTCTGCAGGACCAAGATCCGAACGAGACTGGGAGGATCGTGCACAGGACCTTCTCGATCATCGTGTTCATAGTCGTGCCCTCATTGCAATGCTCGAAGACAATATTTTGTCTCGCATGTTAGAAGAAGGACTTCGACGTCCTGGAGTCCTCGCATGTGATCCCAATCAACGCATTGGCACCCATGTACCACCAACACACTACCAAGCTGAACATCCTCCTATCAATCCATTTTTTACTCTCGACGAGACTGATTATTTGAGCTCACTTGCAGCTGTAGCTGATTTCCACGGAGAGCATAGACTTGCAACTTCCGTCGAAGCAGCTCTATTGATGCCATATCCTGATCCTGACATTGTGCATGCTCTAGTCCAGGAAGGAATGCTCGATGGACATAGTGAGAGCCAAGTAATTTCGTTCGCTCGTGCTCGAGATCGTGCACTAGGGATACAACGAGTTTGTCTTTTCATGGTTGCATATCATCCCTTTCGGTCTTCGACTCTTGCTGATACATCACAGCTCCGTTTTACTATCTGTTACAATAACATGTAACCGAGAACCCCTCCTACGGAGGTCATCATGACCTTAGCCCCTGTCCCGCCTATACACCGTCATTGGAAGACTTACCGACTCAACGGAGACTCGTAGAGACGCCTAGAAACGGCCTGGATGCCGTTAGATGACCTAGACCAGCCTAGGCTACATCTGAACGGACCTAGATGGTCCTCGACCCGGATCATGAGGAAGCTCTGCCTCATGGTCAGAAGAGAAGCCGCATGCCTCAGCATGCGCAGTTAGACTCCAAGGCATGCTTCGCCTTGAGGACAGATAAGAGAGGCATGGTAAGCCTCATGTATAGATAATCGACCGCATGGCATCAGATAAGATGCCCTTGTATAGACACACTCATACCTACCTACCGAATGTAGTATTGGTCTGTGCACACGGACGACAGTATATAGAGCAGACAGAATCATGTATATTCCCTACTTGATTCTACTAGGTTTTATCCAGAACTTCCTCTGAAAGACAGTCCCAGTCCTTCAGTCTAAGCCGCACCTTAAGGAAAGCCGACGCTACCTTAAGTGGAACCCCCGAACCTCTCATTCGAGAGAAGATCCCCGTCTCTCCAATAGCGAGCCCGCTATCAGATTAGGCAATCAGCCTAGGGAGAGCTCGAACTATCCTAGTCCGTAACACTATCTGCTTTGATGACGACGAGCTTGACGAAGACTCTGATAGCGATGATGATGAACAGGGACCAGATGCGTCCCACATATTCTTTTTGGCTTAACGACGAGGTGAACCCTCAGAGTGTCTATGACAGATGTACACTGACATCATCGTCTAGACACAGCCCTTGTATTTGTATCGAGTTTGATTTTATTTGTTTGTATTTCTATTCATTGTCCTATTTCGTTTGTCTCTCTCGATTTTCGCTATTCAAAAGTCACAAAAAAATTGTCTCATATTCTCTTACATGTATTTTTAGCTTCGAGCTTCACTTCTTTTTCGTTCGTGCTACTGTTTGTGCACCCTTGTATTTGTATTGTGCTTGCACCTGTTTTTTCTATCTTGCTATTTTTCATTTCGAGTTTGCTTATGTTTGTGCTATTATTGGCCTGTGCCTTTGTGTATTTGTACCTCAAAAGTTCCAGGTTCAAGAACCTAGAACACCCTTTCCCCTACCACTACCATTGTCATGCATGGTAGCATGTGTTAGCATAGTTCTAAATGCTACATATGATTATCCTTGTGTTCAGCCTGAGTCAGGAATGAATTCAAGTCAAAACTTATTTTGTCTAGCTTTCTATAGTGAAGACTTCACTGAGACATCTAGTCAAGAACCTTTGCTTGTTTTTCCCGAGGACTTAGGCAATGATCAAACAATTGACGAGTATTGTTTGAATCTGGCTATAGAAGAAGACCGTCAAACATGCTTTGAAGAGCTATTTGATGACATAACCGAAGATTCTGATTGGGAACCGCCTAGTTCAGACAAGGAAATTGATGATGATTTTCTGGACTATGATGACGATGACTTGTATCTCAGTTATCAAGCATCTACCCTTTCCGACCCATCCTACAACCCAATTCTTACTATGTATAAACGAGTTGACAAGAAGGTCAAGCCCGTTTCTGGCACTTTTCCCCAAGATGCCCGAGTCTTGAGACGATTTCCACACGATCCACTAGAAACTATGATTCCCTTGACACCCCATCCACCCGACTTCATCCCAGACGGAAGACTTACTATCGAACGAATGGAAAGTCTTAATTTCAACTCTACTGGATTTCTTTGGCCTGAGGAGGTCAAACTTTTCCAACACATCATGCACCTGAATCAAGATGCACTAGCATTTGAGGAAACCGACCGAGGAACCCTCAAGGAATCATACTTTTCACCATACATTATCCCTACTATTCCCCATGTGCCTTGGGAATACAAAAACATCCCTATTCCACCCGGTATCAGAGAAAAAGTCATTGATCTACTACGCACCAAGATCAATGCAGGAGTATACGAACCCAGTCAATCAGCCTATCGTTCACGCTGGTTTTGTGTATTGAAGAAGAACGGAAAACTCCGATTAGTCCACGACTTACAACCGCTTAACAAAATTTCTATTCGAGATGCTGGTCTTATTCCGATTGTAGATGATTTTGTAGAATCATTTGCAGGCCGGCAATGCTACACAGTATTTGACCTCTTCTGGGGATTTGACGCAAGAAAAATGCACCCAGACAGTAGAGATTTGACAGCTTTCCTTACACCCTTAGGATTGCTTCGGTTGACTGCATTACCAATGGGATATACGAATGCACCTGCAGAATTCCAGAAGTGCACCAGTTTCGTTTTACAAGATGAAATCCCCCATGTGGCAAATGTTTTTATTGATGACTTACCGGTCAAAGGACCTAAGTCTATCTACCCTGACGATGAAGGAAACCCAGAGGTGTTAGAAGAAAACCCTGGGATCAGAAGATTTATTTGGGAACATGCTGTTGATGTGCATAGGATAATGCACCGCATTAAAGATGTTGGAGCAACTTTCTCCGCAACTAAAATTCAGCTATGTTTGCCGGATGTCCTAATAGTTGGACAGAGATGTACACCAGAAGGAAGATTACCAGACACAGAAAAAGTTTCCAAAATCCTCAATTGGCCTATTCCTACTACTATCAAAGAAGCAAGAGGCTTCATGGGCCTTTGTGGAACAGTCCGCATATGGATTCTAGGTTTTTCAGAACTAGCAAAACCTATTACCCGACTATGGAAGAAAGATGAACCCTTTGTTTGGGGAGAAGAACAAGATGGAGCATTTGAGATGTTGAAAGAAAGAATTTGTTCCGCCCCTGCAATGCGAAGTATTGACTATACTTCAGCAAACCCCGTGATTCTATCAGTTGACTCTAGTTTTATGGCTGTGGGAATTATATTGTCACAAATGGACAATGAAGGAAGAAGAAGACCAGCACGTTATGGATCCCTACCTATGGGAGACACTGAATCAAGGTATTCCCAGCCAAAACTAGAACTCTATGGACTTTTTCGAGCACTTAGGCATTTCAGACTTCACATTATTGGTGTGCAAACCCTTATTGTGGAAGTGGATGCTAAGTATATAAGAGGAATGCTCAACGAACCCGATTTACAACCCAACGCTACCATAAACCGTTGGATTCAAGGAATACTTCTATTTGACTTCACACTTGTTCATGTACCTGCCACACGATTCAAAGGTCCTGATGCACTATCAAGGAGACCTTTGGCAGATAATGAAGAAATACTACCTGATGAGGATTCATGGCTTGATGATATAGCCCTGTTTACTGGAATCTCTCAGGAACACTATCGACCCCGTTCACTATCCCCTTCCTACACTGAAAATTCCTATGAACCAACCACCCTACCATCCATCCTAGCTGCAACCACTACTCAAGAAAAGACTTTGAGGAATATATACAAATTCCTCAGCACATTTGAAGCACCCCATTTCGATCGGACAGCCCAGCGTAGAAAATTTGTTAATAGGGCAACACAGTTTTTTGTCCGAGGTGACCAAATGTTCAAGAGATTAGTTGGCAGACCACCTCTACTTGTGGTATTTGAAGCTAGCAAAAGAGCTTCAATTCTTCATAATGCTCATGAAGAACTAGGACATAAAGGAGTTCAAGCAACTTTTGAGACCATACAGTACCGATTTTATTGGCCTCATTTGTACACTGATGTTAAACACCATGTACAATCTTGTCACGACTGCCAAGTGCGCAGTGTCAAGAAGATGCATATCCCCATCACTGTTTCTACCCCCGCGACTATATTCATAAAGATTTATGTGGATATTATGAAGATGCCTTCAGCTGCAGGCCACAAAAATCTTGTGATTGCTAGAGACGATCTATCCCGTTATGTTGAAGGAAGAGCTTTACGATCCGCATCAGCCAAAGCTATGGCCAAGTTTTTCTGGGAGGATTTGTATTGCAGATATGGAGCCATTGGTCAAGTTGTGACTGACAATGGACCAGAAGTTAAAGGAGCATTCGAGCAACTGCTCATGCGAATTGATATTCCCCAAGTGAAAATCTCACCCTACAATTCCCAAGCCAATGGAGTTGTTGAGCGTGGACATTTCAATATCAGAGAAGCTATTGTGAAAAGTTGTAAAAAGAATATTACGAAATGGCCTGAAAAGGTTCGACAGGCCTTGTTTGCAGAGAACATAACCACCAGTCGTGTCACTGGATGGTCACCCTTCTATTTGTTACATGGAGTCCATCCCGTTCTACCATTTGACTTGACAGAAGCTACTTTCATGGTAGAAGGATTTCATGCTAATATGGACACAGCAGAATTCCTATCCCTACATATCCGCCAGATCGAAAGGAGGCAAGAAGATTTGGATCACGCTGCACAAACTTTGAAGAAGGCACGATTCAAATCAAAAGCTCAATTTGAACACAAATTCCGTCTACGAATGCATTACACTAGTTTTGAAAAAGGAGACTTAGTCCTTGTTCGAAACACTAGAGTTGAAAAAGAACTTAACCGAAAAACAAAACCACGCTATCTTGGTCCTTTTGTTGTAGAAAGACAAACCAAGGGAGGTTCATATGTTCTGAGAGAAATGAATGGTGTCTTATCTAAACGTGGTGTAGCCGCATTTAGACTTGTACCATATATCTCCAGAGATCTATCAATACTACCATCACTAGCAGACCCCCTTGAGGATGAAGATGAAACACTATCACAACCAAGTGCCAATATTTCCAGTGAAGATGAGTCAATCTCACAAAGTGATTGACTTATATAACCCAACCCAACCCTCCCAAACAAAAGAGACCACTGTGACAACACTATCTATCGAGAATGCATCATATGAGAAATATGATTGCACAATCATCGAGACTACTACAAAACAAAGAGCACTTATCAATTCCATCCTCGCTACACAATTGGAAACCTTAGCATATCGAATCAGGAGTTATTACTACAACTCCATCATCATATTTGTGACCCACATCATCACTACTATTGCTACTGAGCACACAACTGGGGACAGTTGTGATTTCACTGCCCCGCGGATGTCCTGCATGATACGGGAATCATGCATGGACATAACTACTACTAGGAATAACCCTCAAAAGATTATGTCTGTTAGCACAGTCCTCAGACTAGTCACCCCATACCTTGGTATCAAACCTTGGTCCTATATTTCAAGTTTTATATGGAAGAAGAAGAAAAAGTCATATGTGAAGTAAAATGAAGGTCAAGGTATTGCCTTACCTTTGGCTTATTCACTTTGGCTAGAGAAAACCATTGAGAAAAGCTCAAAGCCTAACAAAAACCTATCTAAAAAGCCCGTGTCTTGCATATTGTATTTGTATCATTGTTTCTATCTTGTTTTCTCTAGCATTGTTCTTTTATTTTCTTTTATTTAGGATGCTATGACCTACCAGATACTCCAGAAAATATTATTTCTGAGTATGATGTCATAATGATGTCATATAGCTTCACAGAAAGTTCTAGACTATTCTGCTGGAAATTATGATGTAATGTATGAAGTCATAATGATGTCATAGGCTCTAGAATATTCTAGCTCCACTATGATGTCATCTCTGATGTCATTGCTCTATCTTTTATTTGTATTTTATACTTTTATTGGGTTTCACCCAATATTCTGATTGGTTCTCTCTTTATTTTATTGTTTGCGAACCTACATTACTTTCCCACACAAAATGTATATAAGGAGAGCCCATTCTCCCCCCAAAAAATAGAGATCCCTCTTCTAGGAAATTTTCTTCTCAGAGAAACCCCCTCAGTTGAACAAGACATCTCACTTGTTAAGATCTCCCACTTGTAGCAGAACAAGTGCAGGGAAACGTATCCCTTGAGAATACAAGTTTCTTACGATAAGAAGCTTACGTTACTATTTATTTGACCAACCAGTCTTTGGTCCACGTGATTTTAGAGACCGTTGTCTCTCCTGTTTTACTGTTTAATTGACCAACTCGTGCCTTGGTCAACGTGATTATTCTTGAGACCATTGTCTCACCAGTGCTATTTGTGTCTATTTGACCAACCAGTCTTTGGTCAACGTGATATTACAGAGACCCCTTTGTCTCTACTCCTCTTCGTGCCTATTTGATCAACTTGTGCCTTGGTCAAATCTACCCAGTTCATTTCAGTGCCTAGAACGTGCAATCTAGGCAAAGCTATTTGTACTTCAGACCACAGTTCTGAATCTAGGTAGCAAATCCTAGACAAAGTAATTGGAGGTACACATAAAAAGCTCTGGCTAAGTTGATCACCTGATTGGTTTAGCGAGCCTCCCAAGAACTCACACATTATCTACCACGAAAGAAGAAAAGTCGTAGACCGTGTTAATCGAGGACTGGCAAGAAGTCTTATCCAAGTGAGTGTAATTGTGGTGTCATTACATTCTTACACGCTTTATATAAGACCCTCGGTTATTAAGACACCGAAATCAAGTTTTGTGGTGAGGTCTTACAACGTCATCGATGTTGTCGAGTTTGTCACAAATACGGCAACGACGAACAGTGCCGTTTTCTGTTCCCTCATGAAGTCGTCGAAGCATCCTATTTCGATCCGGAGTGTAAGTCCGTGGTTCTCATGTGTAGGGACAGTACCATCAACTACTTTAACCCTTACATCCTCGTTTTCTGCAGACATAATCACGATCTCAAGTCTATATTGTCCGGCAAAGCTGCGAAAGCTGCTATGTTTTATATCACTGATTACATCACCAAGATGGACTTGAAGATGCACGAATTGCTGTCTTTGATGTCCAGAGCTGTGTCCCAAGTATCCGTTTTGCCGACTGAATCCGATCTCACCTGTGCAAAAAAATTGCTGCACAAGTGTCTATCCCAATTTGTACGGCAACAGCAGATTCATGCGCAGCAAGCCGCTCGGTATATTCGTGGACTCGGAGACGACATTCCATCCCACCAGACAATGCCCATGCTTTCCGGTCTCTTGCTGTCCTTTGTGAAGGAGGAATTCATGCTGAAACTGAGTTCAGCTGAGATTGAGGACGCAGAGGATACGGAGCAACTTTCCTTGCGTGTCCACACTGACAAATCAGGTCGCATCATCGCCATGAATCAAATTCACCACTACTGGTTCAGAAGCGATTCACTTGATGCAATGTCCTTCTATGACTTCTGCCGCTTTGTCCGTCTCGAATGCAAAAGTAAGAGTGAGAAGATGAAGAATACGGCTGACACACGGTTGGGCGTCTTGCGCAGACACAATCTGAAGCCTGGGCATGATCTATATCTCACACATGTCCTTCTGGAACACATGAATTGCGAACGAGGGGAGGGTCGTCGTGCACTCGTGCCTCGTGTTGTTGGAATGAACGTGCCGCGGAAGAAGTCTGAGCTTGAGTGGGCCCTATTCACTCTATCCCATTTCAAGCCCTTTAGCTGTTCTCGTCCATTGATAACGCCGGGCCAGACATTGCTGGAGACTTATGGAGGTCAGAAGTTTGATGAGTTTGCCACCCGGGTCATGAACAATTGGGAAGCAGTGCACGAGTGTGAAGATGAACGTGATGCCGAACGACTACACAGGCGTGCAGCAATCGCAGCAAAGAGCAGGCAACTCACGTCGACACTGTTATCGAGAGGCCTCGCTGGAACAGACACATCAGATGAATGTGATGCCGTCGAGGTCACGTCAAATCAGAAAAGACCGGTTCGTGAACTGCGGTTGGAACACACGATCGCATTGCTGCGTATGGCAGGTTGGATGCAGCCGGAGACCATCATTCAATCTGGACCTGGTGATACTAACAGCGAGTCAGTGAGTATGCCTGACGAAGTTGACAAGCTCACTTTGAAAGTTTGGAAGAAGGCCATACAAACCCAGGCCAAGTTCGTGGCCCAGACTCGGCAGAATGCCTTGAATCCCGAAGAGCAGAGTGCTGTCTCATTAACAGAGGTTGAGCACGAGGCCGGAGATCAAGTGACCACGGTACCTCATCTGTCCGTCGGCCCACAGTCCTGTGCCCCTACAGAGTCCGACGTTCAGGACAACATCGCACGCTCGATGTCTGAGGACCCTGCCAAGTGGATGAAGCACTTGGAAAAACAATTCGGCCTCAATGAGAAACAGACCATATGTTTTCGACTGATCTGTAATTGGTTTGTCAACAAACACATTTTGAAATTGGACACCCCGCCATTGTCAATGATCATGACAGGCCCGGGAGGCACTGGTAAGACATATGTTGTCAATGCTGTCAAGAGCTTCATGTCTTGGTATGGATGCGCTCACCTGATCCGTTTTTTTGGCCCCAACGGGTTCTGCAGCGTCACTAATCGACGGTATGACAATTCACCAAGGCTTGGGTATCAAGATCAAATCTGCCCGTCACGGCAAACCAAACCGAGATGTGGGGAACAGTTCCGAAGACTATACAGTCCTTGTAAGCGTGCGTGACAGAACTCGCTTGCGAAATGAGTGGAAACACGTCGAAATCGTGTTCGTCGACGAATCCTCCATGTTCAGCCTCCAGCTGATTTGTGACTTAGACCATGCTCTGAGATATGCTAAAGAAAAGCCTGACGAATATTTTGGAGGTGCGGCGTTCATCAGCTCGGGGGACTTCTACCAATATCCGCCTGTTGGAGGCACACCATTGTTCTCGCCCATTTCAACCTACGGGCCTCAGACAGAACAGGAGATTTTGAAACACCTCGGCCGCTTGGCTTGGAAGACTGTGAACACCGTTGTGACTTTGACCGAACAGCAACGCATGAAGGGAGATCCTGAGTTCAGTGAGGCAGTTCAACGTCTGCGCATGCGCGAATGCACTTACCAGGATGTTGACATGTTTAACTCCCGTCTCATCAGATCGAACAATGAGCCACATGGAATAGACCTGAGCAGTCCTGCGTATCTGGGTGCCGCAGCCATTGTCAGCACAAATGCAATCCGGGAAGAACTCAACTCACTGAAAGCACGAGCAAACAACGAGAGTCAGCCGCAGCAGTTGGTACTTTGCACAGCGAATGACAAGCTGGCAAGAACATCGGATAAGATGAACAGGCAGCTGCGGGAGCATTTACTCCAATTGGATGTCACAGCTTTAACGTCTTCTGGCTCTCTCCCTGCCTGCATTCCCCTTTATGTTGGCATGCCAGTCATCCTACGCTCGAGAAATTTGTGCACGGATCTAGGAGTTGCCAATGGCACACAGGGGATCGTCCAGCGCATCTACACCACCATCTGCGACTCCGGTTTCACTTACTGCACTTGTGCGCTTGTAGAATTTCCCACAAGCCGGGTCGCAATCCCAGGTCTGCCCGCAGGCGTTTTCCCTGTCACCCCAATCTCGTGGGCGTTCACGACTTTGCCCCCCGGCTCTTTTGATCCATCAACCAAGGTCAGGGTCACCTGTAGTCAGTTGCCTATCCAGCCATCATTTGCGGTCACTGGTCATTCGGCTCAAGGCAAGACCCTACCGAGTGTGATTGTAGACTTACATGAAGGGGGTTTTGGTGCATATGTCGCTGCATCCCGAGCACGATCTAGAGAAGGTCTGTGCATCACGCAGGCTGTTACGATTGACCAGTTGAACAGGCCACTGCCATATGATTTATTGCAGGAAATGAAGCGCTTGGGTGATTTAGAACACAACACCTACATTCGACACGGATTCTCGAATGGTGTCTTGGTGAATGTTACGGATCCAGAATCAGAGCATGAGTTCCCTACCAAAAAACTCCGTGCTAAGTTTCTCCATGGTCCAGGTGCCTCGACACAGCGGAAGCGCTGCGCTGCCAGTGAGATTTCAGGAATCATGAGCCGACCGACCAAAGTGCGTAAGATTCACTGGGATGGGCCTTCAAGAGCATCGGCCACACCTCTGACAGAAACACCCAGCATGTATGAAGTACCCGCCCCAAGTACTGAAGCCACAGCTGGTTGCACGTGGTCCGAAAGTGATTGGTCATGCGCTTATGACACCGTGTTCATGGTATTGTTGTACATCTATCGCTCATCTGTGATTCAGTGGCGAAGGAGTTGGATATCTCTTGGCTCTCTTAATGCAGACTTGGCCAGACAGTTCGATCATCTCTGTGGTTCAAGGGATCAACTCTCATCCTCCCAAGAATTCAATGAAGCACGCGATCACTTCCGTAAATGTTTGGGTGTCTTGAGCCCAGCTCACTTTCCAACTCACGGACAGGTTGGAGCCTCGGCGTCTCACATGCTGGAACTTATGACAGGTGAGAGTGCATGCCGGGGCCATGCACAGATACAGTGTATTGCATCCGGTTCGCTGCACGACCCGACAACTGTACTCGGTGCCACTCAGGCGTTGCCTACCATTTGCGACCACAACGCATGGGAGGCTCTCATCAGAGACTCCCTGGTGGGCAACCCGAAGGCCTCGTCGGTGTCTACCCAGGCATGGGTCAACATTTCCCTCGAAGGCCAGAAAATTGTATCCAGTGGCGCTCATGCATTCCCTCCTTGTAAAGAGTGTGGAGGAGGCACGGAACTCCGCGTATTCTTCGACGATCCTCCGCCATTGATCACATTCGAGGTCGTCGTCGACTCACTGCCATCTCTCTTGGGGTCTCCAACTTTCTTGGCTCGCATGCTAGATCCCGAACGGGTGGTGTGGCAATACGACGGCCGAGTAAACGTTGGAAAGCCTTCTTTCGACCTTGCTGCGACTGAGCATCGGACATCATCGTCCACATTCGACTACAAAACGTTGAAGACCCTGCAAGGCCGCGCTGCTCACCTGCTCATTTACATGTTACACTAACATCGGCCAGGCTTATGTGAGTCTGATCTGAAAACCCAATGCTCACTGAGATAAACTTTTCTCAGTACTCCAGGCATGGTCAGGTTTACGCGACCCCTTATACCTGATGCAGTCTTTCAACCGCCCCAACCTGTGCTATGCCGCAGTACAGCCTAAACCGTCCACAAAAAAGAAGGTGGTTCAAGCCATGACTGGTTTCATCAAGTCACAGCATGCTACCCATACTGCCTACACCTTCTACACTCCCCTTCTTGAGGGATCCACTCTGCGCTCATTCCAACCCAGCCACCTCCAGGCATGCTTAGGTTTACGCGACCGCTTATGCCTGATGCAGTCTCTCAACCGCCCCAACCTGTACTATGGTGCAGTACAGCCTAAACCGTCCACAAAAAAGGAGGTGGTTCAAGCGAACACTGGTTTCATCAAGTCACAGCATGCTACCCATACTGGCATTGTGTACGGCTTCTCAAATTCGGAGTGTGAGGAACTTGCAGAGCCACTGCGAAACGACTATGGCTTATCTGCCAAATATTACTGTGCCGATGTCCGGACCCGGGTCAATCACAGAACCTGTACACAGGCCTTCTATTTCAGCACCAGTTAATCCCGAGCGTGCTCAGCAATGACTGCAGGTCACCCACTCTATTCGGCGGACATCTTCGTACCCCTCAATAGATCACGTAAGTCTGATATGTCATCTGCTGGTATTGCGAATTCTAATCAATCCCATCCCTGTCTCTTGCCATGTTAGGTGTGGCCTTCGCGAGATGCATGGGAATCATGGTCCAGAGTAGCCTGGGCGATCATTGTTGCCTTTTGTGCATGAGCATGACTATGTTTGGTCTCACTTCCAATATGCCTGCTTATATCGAGGCATCGCCATAAAGGCCGCCAGTAGTTTCCCATTTTCATCCACCGTCCAAACAGCACAGACAGGCTCTCGCAATGGCTGTAGCTCTGATGGAAATGTTGGATATGTTTGATGGAGAGGGGGCGATCATCTTTGGTAGGTCGTTGTTCGCGTGGAATCGAATGCACACGCTGAATCAATCGCAGTCGAACGAATCAAACGCAGGCCCCCGAACTTTCATGTTGTGGCGTGTGGCACAATAAGAGAGTCTGCGAGTCTACCTGGCACTCCAGACCCCGTACTCAGCATGTTGGTCATCACAGAGCATGTGCGATTCGACCCGAATATCTTTAGAAGTATGTACAATGGCTTGCATATCTTGCTTCAGACTGACACGATCAGGGACTGTGCGATCTATCGCTCATGACAGGTCTGTGCAAACTGTGTGCACGGAAAGTGAGGGGCTGGCAGCAATTCTGGCGGCAGAGGCTAGACAACTTTGTTGTGGGGAATGTGGCCGTTCATTGGAGAGAGATCAGGTGTAAGGAGTGAGGTCCAGTGTTAGCTCCAGGCCGTCCAATGTGACAGCGAGTGTCGTACTCAGGAAGTAGTGTACTTGCATATGTCCACGCGTGGGGTGTGCATTCTTTTCGGACCTTACCACTTGATGTCGTGAATCACAAGATATTTCTCATGATAGTGTCCACATCGTTCATTCGCGCCATCATGACCAACTCACTGGCAGAAAAGGCAAGGATGGTCACAAATCACATGCTGTGGCCAGACACACTCAATTACACACTATGATGGCAATTAAAAAAAGGATGCCTCCTCCACAGTGGTCATGGTGTGGTAGCTCTGGGGAGGCATGAGTAGTACAAGAGGCTAGCTGCGTATTCAGCATGAGCTACTGGACTGAGACGTGTTGAACTGACCTGTTGATGAGAAGGTTGGCATGATCGATGTCATTATGCATCAAATCCATGAGGCCACGAGGTCCCTCTTTCATCACCAAGAGACTGCCTTTGATGACTTCCGTGCAGCCATTCAGCCTCGCCATCTTCCTGATCAAACGGTTCCTTTGCGTAGCAGCCGCTGGTCGTTCGAAGAAAAGTGTGTAGAGTCCGTCTAACACACCAGGTATGTGTGGCACATGATCAAAGGTACATTGCAGGCATCTGCGTGCGGTCGTATACACGCCAAGACTATACTGCTTCACCCAATAGTTGACATCTAAATCATCAAGACTGGGGCAGGTCGGCGCACCGTCTCGCACCGGTACAGGAACGAGAAATGGTTGGGTGCTTCTCGCGCCATAAAAAATACCTTGAAAGACGTGAAGGTAGGTCTAGGTGGAAGACCAAATATTTTATCCTCAGGAGACAACGGCGGACAGGGAAGGACTCACAGGCTGGCGGCATGCTAGTTGAGTTGAAACGTGTCTGACGTCTAAATCTGGGAAGAAGGGTTGGTTTGTCGTGGTGGAACAGGCAGGAGTCTGCGTCAGACCGACATACCTGTTTGGGATCCGGCACACTCGTAATTCGCAGCCATGACTGTGAGGTTATGCGGGCACGCTGAATTGAGGCAATACGAGTTTAAGCGCCATTCGACGTCCGCGTCGTTTGATACATTTTTGATGGAAGAATGTGGCGACCAATCTAGAGCAAGAAGGTGAGGACTGGACTCAACATGGTGCCAGAGGGTGGGACACAGCTTGCCACATGGTCGACGGAGAAAATCGGTGTCTTGGTGAAGTCGCAGACCATGGTTGGAATTGCCGGCACAGCCTATCTGCCTGCTCCACAGTGATTGACGTCCTGTGTGCGTCACAACAGAGAGTCCTTCTTTGCACCATCGAGAGTAAAAGCATGCAAGTCCCCCTCCATTCATGAATACCATATCTGCTGTGGAAGGAGCACTGAGGATGACGTGTAAAACATGCATGCCTGGCTTAGGCGTGGACATGGTGATGAGACTCTCTCCCTTAGCATATTGACGGCATTCGCCAACGGCATACCGCAGGGCTGGATGCCGTTGGTCAGAGATTTGCACAAATTGGAAAGATTCCACGAGGAAGGTGTGCATGATCTCGAAGCCATCTTGCGCACAGACGAGATTCAGGTCTCGGCATGGATGGGCAGTGTCACCTGTCAACATCGCGCGAGAACAAGAGCCGGTCATCAGACAGTTTGTCATTTCGCAGGCGGCGAGGAAAGACAGTGCGTGAAAGCCTGTCCATGGGTGAATTATACACATCAGTCGCCTGCGGGTGACGCCGTCGACAAACTGACACATGGTACGACACGTTCGAGCTACTGTGAGTAGGTCTGGGAGCCTGAGGGTCTCCAAAATCAGCATCCATATATCCTTGCGAGCCAAGAGGGCTAGGTGACTGATCAGACAGTTGGACTTGTCTAATGACCGGCCTACATACTTTTGGTGTGGGGGTGTCCTCCTTGCATGGCAGGGGAGATGGCATGGAATGGATTCATCGATATGACCGGGACTTGATGGCCTTGCAAGATTCTTGGTGGGGTGTAGTTTGCTGTAGGCTTGATGGCGGTAGAGGCAGGTCGCAACGAACAGCCAAACACGACTGACGGGGTCAAATCGCAGTGACTGTGTCCCTTATCACATGTAAGTAATGTTCGTCGGCGGGCGACGACGTCCCGGACAGTCTTGGCCCATCTCCATCGTGGACAATGATCGATTCATGTGGGCTTTCTTTCCAAGATCGATGTTTTAGCAATGATCGGGGGACATTCGGACGGAACATGCTTACTTGTGACTGGGTAGTTTCAGCTTGCCTTGAATCACATGCGGTCAGGCAATGTATCGACGAGCCCAGTTGAGGTGTGTGATCGATCGGCAAAATGACTTGGATTGAAGATAGGTTAATTAAATGGGGTGTCGCCACACCCATCTTCGGTTTCTAACAGTGACAAACAGACACATTCATGGACGTCCAGTGGCAACATTGCCCAGCCAACATTCATATGCGAAGCATCATGGTGATCTATTTGGTAGGTGGGGTGAAGTTCACAGGGACATTCCAACGTTGACGTACCCGGTCACTGGGCGTGATCACCCACGTCCAAAAAACCTTGTGGGACAAAAAAAAGGTCTGACAGTCGGGATGGAAAAGAAAAATAGGGTGAGGAGCAGGTGATCGACCGACCGGTGTGCACCGATCACACCAGCCTGAAAAGACACGATCATGAAAGAAAGGATCTTGCTCGACTGAGATGGGACAGATCGAATTGCAAGCACGTAAACATGGCATGTCAGCCCATCGACCCAAAAAAAAAAATTGAGTTTTGAAGGTCGAATAAAGGAAGAGGCTACAACGCAAAATTGACCAGGACCCATTCACCCCAATCTATCTCCGTCTCGTGTACAAAGCCATTCCAGCCATGTCTGCAGCCAACAAATCACTTGACTCCACCTTGCTCGAGGCTCTCACAGCCACGACGACTGCGCCAAACGCGGCGAGCACCGCACGCTTGTCCTCTATAGCGGGGACTAACAACCCTCGGTTCTGGGACCCAAAGATCCGCAGTGAACAATGGTATGATACCAAAGGGGAACCTTTCAGCTTGATCTTCCCTGCCATGATCGAACCAATGGGAAAGCACTCACGCATCGATCCATACTTCTCTCTTCCGACCTTGAAGCAGGCACGTGCTTGTTTGTACAGTTTCTCGGCCTACTGACATGCGCTCCAGCCGGTACTGAAGGATGTGCGCACTGTGAAGGCGCAGTTCCAGCTCAGGACTTTGGACGACGGTTATCCAGCAGAAGCTGTGGTATGCAGCAGGAAGGCGGCAAACACTTTGATGCTGCTGATCAGCAAATGTGAGAGCATCAGGGGTAAAGGTGGGCATCTCAATAAGGTCAACAGCACCACAGACTCATGGATATCGGCAGATAATCGAGAGGTGATCCAATTCCTCCGTAACGCCGGCACCTCCAGTGCGGATCCCTTGCACTTCGTGGTGCACAGCGACCCCTTGTTTCCAGAGGCCGGCGAAATGAAGCGGGAGGTCATTCCCGAGTTCAGCCTGGAGGACTTCGAGAGTGAGTGTAAATGAGAGAAGGACGGAATCATGCTCATACACTGATTTGCAGACACGGACTTGACGTTCACAGGCGGTAAGACTTCGCCTTCGTGGTTCCACCAATGACTGACAGTGTCTGTGGGTGCAGATGTCTTGAAAGAGAAGTTTGGTCCCAAGAAAAGCTCTGGGTCTTCCGTCCCAGAAGTAGCAGAACGCGGTGAGTCTGTTGGTGCATGTGCCAAGATCGATGCTGACTTACCTCCAGGAGTAGAGGACTGGAAGATGAAGCACTTGCCAGACCCACAGGGGCATTACAACACGGTAATGGAGCTCTTCAACCTCCAGGAAATTCCCGTAGCAGTCCCCAATGTCCGCGACGCCGAAGGCGTGCTCATTCACCCTGCGGAGTACAGCGAGAAACTGACGGCCGGCCTGCCAGTTGCAGTCAAGGTCGTGATGCGGTTGTGAGTACATGTTGACCCACGAATGATCGAGCACTCACTGTGGTACAGGTGGACCTTCGCACCAGATGCAAAAAGGCCAACAGGTAGTAGGATCTACCAGACCTCCCTGAAGTCCCTGAAGCTGCTGCCATTGGGAAATGGGGGAGAATCCGTCATCGCGAAAATGCCTGCACAGATCGCTGAAGGCAAAGGGAAACGCAAGGCTGACGGTCACGCGGGTCAAGCGTCGCCGTCCAAGAAGGCACAGAAGAGCGGTGGTGAGACGGTAGGTTGAAAGATTTCGCATTAGACGAGGTTCGAGGTTCTGTGTCAACTAAAGAGATGGTGTCTGGCGGTCTGAGATAGATGTTCTGTAAATCTTGGTACCTGAATAAATTGTGCTCGCACCCAATAACGCGTGAAGAAACATGTCATCCGATGGTTGGCTGTCGAGCAATAAGATTAAGTCGGAAGGAAGGGGAAACCTAACGGCCCTACTCGGAGTCTCAATGTATGCGTTTAGGCAGACACAATAAGCCAATTCCAGACACTGGCAGGGTCCGAGGTGGTTTGTGATGCCAGCTGACTAATATAACTTGGCACGATGTGAGTTGCATTGGAATCGCGTGCGGCTGCAGACTTCTTAAATGGACGTTTAGACAGACCGGCTCTCATCCGACCGAGAGGTTTGGGAGTGACCCCGATCACTTCAAGAGAAGACAGGTAAGTAATGTTGATTTACAGGCGCTTGGTGTGAAATATCTCCAACGGATTCGTTTGACAGAGATCCAGAAGTTCACAATTCACGACATACAACAGTGTTCTACAAAAATCGATGAGTAAGTATTTATCTATCATACTGACGTAGTTTGGAACTCATTTGGCAATATCCAGCAAGTTTTATATTCTAACGGAACATGCTTGGTATATTCTCCACCTTCCTTCAGAACAATATGCCCCCTTCTTTCGTGGCTTGTGGCTCAGGCATGGAGTCGTTCAATGTGTTCGGCCGTGAAGCACGATGGCTGATTGTCTGTCGGCTGGACGACCCAATTGGTGGGTGTCAGACACCGTCGAGTGACTCAGCAACAAGTGGGTCTCCTGTCCAAGAAACAAGGTTTGCAAAAATGGTATGTGCCGAGTGCCGGACACCGGCTTGACAAATAGTTTTGAGTCGTTGTAGCGTATCACTTGTTCATACCTCCCATCTATTCAGCAGATAACCACTGTCGCAACTAAGCAAAGATGATCACACCATCAGTCCGAGAGCTCATTGACCTGTTCGATGCAGAGGGGGCGTTCATTTTCGGTAAATCCTCTCTCTATCTTGGTGCAGAGAAGCTCATCGTCACCAGTGGAACGCCGTGGCGAAGAAATGCCGAGGTTTCATGTGGAGAAAGCGACCACCATCAACGACACTGGAGGTCACTTTCCGACGAGGGATGATGCTGGAGTCCTCATTGCGCCTGATCTACTGTTCGACATGCCTCAGATGCTGGCCGGTACGTTGAATATGTCTTTTCTGCTCAGCATGCGATCCTGAACTTCCGCAGACATGGCACGCAGGTTGGCAAACGACATAAGTGTGGCGATCATCTACGCCTACATAGAAGACTTGGCGAACCACCTGGTCGCGGAAGCCAGGAAACACGATAATGCGCCGTACATGTCAAACCATGGCCAGCTGATGGATCTCCTTACGAGATACGGGACCGGCATGTCAGATACAGACAACGCTGCATGAATCTGCATAGGGAACGAGTGAGAAAAGATGTATGTGATGGGGTAGATACAATGAGAAGGGGTACAACTTATGGTTGTGTCAGTAGGCCAAATGTCACATAGTGTCTGTTTGCTGGTCGTCAGACAACCAGAGAATGCGTGCCGGTAGTGCACTGTATGGGACACTGGGCATGACTTGGATTGATCTGCCCAGCTCGTGGGGGAAACTGATGGCCGCCAAGGCTTGGTCCGTCCAATGCCTGGTAATTGCCGGGATCGATCGATCGAGAACGTGGCCACGGCCTGGAACACGTCGATGCCTGTGATTGTTTTGATCGTGTTGGCTTAGTCTCAGAGCTGTGGCAGGTTGTGTGGGGGGTAGATCCGGGTTAGTGGGTGGAATATTCTGCGAAGTGAAACAACGGCAAAAAAATAAAAGGGTGGATGAAAAAATGTGGAAAGATCTCTCTTGCCAACATCTACATTCTTCAGACCATCGCCTGCGAAATGACAGACGCTAGAATTGGTTGTGAGTGCATTCAGCGGCCTTGTACTCGACTGATGTGTATGGTGCAACAGTTTTGCGAACCCGGGCTATGGTGCAAATCATGTGTCAATACCTGGATCGCCTACCTGACTTGCTTTCGTGCATGCGTGCGAGCCACGAGATGCGGGATGTGGCGAGCGCCGTGGCTGGGCAAAGGTTCAACAATATCATTGGACCCTTTGTGGGTGCCCATGGAGCGGAAATGCGACATTTGTTGCATATCACCACCACTTTGATCACGGGTTCCTGTGCGACAAAGATGCTCATGGGAGGCGATGGAGCACCGAACAACCTCAATTTGATCACTCCTTTCGAATCAGCGGATGTGTTATATGCTTACATTGTGTCCGACTTACGGTACGAGCATGTGGACATGGATGCTACCCCTCACCCCACGTTTGGAGACTCCCTGCACAGTTTTGCTAGATTTCAAAAGGGTAACATGCACATTACAGTCTCTGAGGCTACACCGGACGGATTATTCAGAGTCGTCACTTCCTCGCCCACAACAGCTGACATGACCATCATGACACCGGGGGGCCTGGCAGTGTTTTATCCCCACTGGACCCTGAAGAAAATAGCATTGGTGAGCCACCGAATGACGAGAGCAAAGTTGGTGGGTCAGGAGCAGGGAATTGTGTGGCCGAGCGTAGGATGCGCCGGGAAGTCCGATTTCAGCGTGGAGAGGTCAACGAACTTCCTGGAAGAGGCTTGCGGAGCGAGGTGCCCCTCTCTCTGGCGAAATGTGGCAGATGAGGGGGCGCATATGCTGGTGATGGAATGGGACAACAGGTTTTCCATGAAGTCCCTCGTCAACCGTTCACAAACGATGTGGCGGCTGGCATTGTACTGCCAGAACAGATTCTGTTGTTACAACCCCAACAACAATGCCCATACCGCTTCCCTGCCCATCGTACCTGCGCCAGGAAACCTGATGAGAATTCAGTTGCAAGAGGCGGAGATTGAGGAGCACAGGCCGGTAGGTGTTGTCAACCCTGGTAGATTCGGAAGGCCTTGACTGACAGCTATGGCAGCATTATGAAGGGTCCGTGCGTGGACTGGTCTACGGAACGAGCGCCTGCACTCCCCATGTGGTGTCAGTCCCCTTCAGGGATGGAATCAAGAAACTCAATGACATCTCTCACCTGCAGGTGACACATTGGGTGAATCAGTTGGGGCCTGACCTCTTTGTCTCATCTACAGGCAGACTTCGAAAAACTTATAATGTCATTGCGGAGATGCCTGTGGGAACCCCCGCCCTCGGTTACACTTTCTTCCGGGAGCATCCGGCTGTGTTCGCTGCACCCAACAGATTGATTCGGATGATAGCGGGTATTACGGAGAATGCGGACGACGTCGCAGGGAACATTTTGGTGGTGAAACATGCTCGCGGGAGAAAGGATGAGCTTATGGACTGCAACGAGGTAGACGTGAGTTGGGTCAACGGTATCATGAAACAGTAAGCGCGACGTCTCAGGGTGTAATTATCGACTGACAATGACAAGGACTGTCAGGGAGGGTAGTTTCTGGCGATCAACGGGGGTGATCTAGATTACACATCGGATTTGGTTTGCTGGCCGCAAAAAGTGGGGCTGTTGAATAGGTCGAGACTAGAATGCGATAGCAATCAGATAGAGATTCGGATGGTAACTAATGGACGCGACATGACACTGGAAGATGTACGCAAAAGAGACGGGAAACATTAAACAAAATGCGCGAGAAAGGGAGTCGGGGACTTGCTGCGTCAGCGGCGTTACCGATATCAATAATCATTTGAAAATACAAAAATTATATCTATCTATATAAGAGTTCAACCAAAATGTGTCACAGTTATCAAGAACCGTATCACTCGTCCACTCTCGTGGGACCATGGCACCAAAATTCGGTATAAGATGGATGCTACGTACAATATTTGCCAACGGCACGATACTTGCTATTTTTTCACCACCATGCAAGGCTCGCGAGAGCTTGTAAAGTCCGTGGTGTCGATCCGGAGCCGAAGGAAATGGCGTGAACCACTCGATATAAGCCAAGTGGTTGGGAACCTCAACTGTTGGCGGAAACAGGAGTGGCAACATTTTTGAAGGTAACGAGAAAACGACTCGTACTTGCCCGACACGGACTCCTAGATTCGGACAACTGTGAGTAACTCTATCCTTAGCAAATAGTGGTGGCTAAATGTACCTTCTATACCTCCATTAACAACATCTGGATTCCCACCAATATTCACCAGAGCCGTATCCGAACGGCGAGGCCGCAGACCAGAATCTGAACTCCGTTGTGGTCTCGCATGCACTGAGTCCAACGTGGCTGTTGCATCGCCGTGACCACAAGCATCTACCGAGAGCCACTTAATCTTGTGAAAAACGGAAAGAGTTCGGAACGGGAAATGGATGTCCCGTGCTAACGCATCCAGTGTTTGACTACGGAGGGGGATAGGATCATTGGCATGGCTGAGTTGGGTGATATAGCGTGCGAGTGCTTCACGAAAATAGGTAGCGCCATACTCCTCGACGAGGTTGTCTATACTGACGGCCTTTGCACTAGGATGCTTCGTCATAGTTTGAAGCCGACGAAAAGACATATCAGGGGGGCGCGAATGGTAAGGCTCGGTCTCCTCAACACCAGCATGTCGCCAGTTGACATACTTGTCATGGCGCATAATCTTCTCCTTCCGCTCGAGCCAGCGTGTCATCTGCACAAATTCATCTTTGTGATTCGTAGCACGGTAAGCGTCCTTCGCAAAATCAATGTGAAGTCGTTCGGTGTACTCAGTATTATAATTATCTGTCGTACCCAACATCATAATCATGGCAGAGTAGTGGCGAGTGGCGTGAAGTTTGGGTAGATTGAAATTCGAACGGACACCGAGTTCAATGAAAATGTCCTTATTGTCGTGGAAAAGATCGAGTGTGTCATCCAGCAGCTGTAGAGTCTCGGAGCTATGGCATGGATATTGAGCTAAATAGAGGAAGTCAAGTAGGCCCCGCACTGCTCGTAGAAGACGGCCTGCGTTTAGATTGTTGGGCAGACGGATCCCAATCACGATACCGAGGAGAAAACAGCAGATTTGTGCGTGTTCAGTTCCACTTATACGCGACAAGCTGGTGATGCCCTTGCGGAATAGATGTATATGGTGATTGGGAGGAAGACAACAACAACGAGCATCAAGTTCCGCTGCTCCACAAGCAGCCGACAACCAACCTAAGAGATGCTTTATCAAGCCTTGATATAATTGGTGCAACACGTCTGGCGTGATTGCACGGAATATATTGGCGAACGGGAGGTCTTCCCAGAAAGGATGGACAATAGGCTTGATGCCTGCTTCCGAGCAAGCGCGAACAAAGGATAGACTCCCTTCACCGAGAGTAGCGAGGGCATCTAGCACCTTGCCCAGGTTTCATAAGTGAAAAGGAGCTGTGTTGCTACCTGTTTCGTCAACGTCCATGTCACATTTCGGACACTCTCCAAACTTGATCCCAGCAGCGAGAAGTTGTTCTGGGTAGTCACCAATGAAGCTGGCAAATAATAGGTGGCAATGGCGAAGGACGCCATCCCCACTAGCCATACGAAGCCCTTCTAGTCCTATAGATTTCAGTGGAGCGAGAACACAGCTTAAGCATGCGTGATAGAGGTTTGCCAAAGTTCAGCGACGTGAAGCTTTGTTGGTGATATGCTCAAGCCGTGTGCATGGCAAATAAGCTAGGAGTATATGCGCACCACACGAAGGTTTGTGTCGTATTTCCTTCGGGATGTTGCCAATGGTGAGATAGACGGGATAGACGGACTTGTTGCGAAACAACGTTACTTGTGTTTTGTCGGATGAGATAATGATGGGAATAATGGTGCCGCCTGGACTGTGTTGGTCAAGTTTTTTCTAAAGTATTGTAAGTATCATATCTCATATGGACATAATCAGTTCTTCATACCTGCGTATTCCACCACCATTTGCTGGTGTGCATATCATGGAAGAGACGAATTGTCTCGTCTTCGTCAGAATAATGCCGCTCAGGGGCAAAAGCAAGATAATTTGCGAAGTCAGGATCACCATACAATGACTTGACACATTCGATCACATCACGGTAATAGACGTCAAAGGCTTCTCCAGCGACAATGATCTGCTCGCGTTTGAACTTTGGACGGCCCGTTGGAAGCTCATGGTCGACAATGGCATTCAACTCGTTTGCATTCTTGAATGAGAGCAACAAGTGTTCACTGACCTGAGAATCGAAGTTAATTACATAGACTTTCAGAATTAATGGCATCCGACTTACCCCCTCAATTGCAAGCAGGTCTGACAATGCCGTCGAACTCACTCCACGAAGCTTAGCCCATCTTGCAACCTCCCAATCCATCTTGGATGCAAAAGGGTGATACAAATTCTCCTCCGCATTGGCAAGGTGCGCCCCATACTCCATGTTCACAGCACGACAGTTAGTTATTTGTTGGCCAGCATGCAGATCTGGGTAGGGCACGACCACACAACCATGCTGCCCTTGTGCGCGTGCTTGAATATCCTGGTGAGCACGGCATTGATCTTCTCGGAAAGCTTCATCATCATCAGCCAAATCTTCGATGGCATCCATGTCATCATGCTCATCTTGCTCTGCGACAGGAGGCTCCCATTCAGGTTCGAAATTCCACCCTTCATCGTCTACATCCTCATCCTCACTACCACCAGATTGCTCCTGAGCCCACTGGGCTAACTCATCCTCAGGCTCGTCCTCTTCATATCCTCCATCAAGATCCAAGTCAGGCCAAGTCGACTCGTCAGGCTCGAATTGTGGTTCACTGGTAGGTACTTGGGAGTGCGACTGATGGTACAGTGCTCGACAATGTGGGTTGCGGCTCTTGGCAAGATGTTGACTCAGACCAGTAACAGTGAAATTGTCGCGGGAACAAGCAGGGCATCGAGTGGACATAGTTGTGGAAGAATGTCGAGAGAACTTGTGTAGAGGGGGTAAATCAGCGCCCGACCAATGTTACACGCGAAAACTTCCTGCCAGTGAAGTTGGGCCAGTTGAGAGAAGTATAAAGCAGCACCCAACCAACGCTACACGCGAAAACTTCCTGAAGTTGGGCCAGTTGAGAGAAGTATAGAGAAGCAGTGCCTGACCAACGTTACACGCGAAAACTTCCTAGGGTCAGAGGCAAATGTCAGCTCAATTAAACCCGGTTTGAAGTGAACCCACCTTGAAATGAACTGCCTCCGTTGAGATTTCAAATACATTGAACGCGTGGCAGTTGCACTGCAATGCACAGAAACTGTGAGGCGGTCATTGTCCAGGCAGTCGAGAGAAGTATAAGTATAGAGTGTGCCAAAGCAGCACCCGACCAACGCTACACGCGAAAACTTCCTGAAGTTGGGCCAGTTGAGAGAAGTATAGAGAGAGTGCCAAGGCAGCGCCCGACCAACGTTACACGCGAAAACTTTCTAGGGTCTAGGCAAATGTCACCTCAATTGAACCCGGTTTGAATTGAACGCACCTTGAAATGAAGTGCCTCCGTTGATATTTCCAATTCATTGAATGCGCAGTTGCACTGCGACCTCTTCAGCCCGCAGTCGAGAGAAGTGTAGGAGAGGGGGTATGCACGCAAACTCCCTGAGGTCGTGCCAGTCGACTCTAGAAGTAGTATAGAGGGAGTGCCAAAGCAGCACCCGACCAACGGTGCCAAAGCAACACCCGACCAACGTTACACGCGAAAACTTGAGGTACCCGACCAACATTATACACGAAAACTTGAGGTAACAACTTGGTGTCAGCTTATTTGAACCCTTGAATTGAGCTCACCAAATAGACTGCCTCCGCTGTCAACGCCCCTTGAAAATTTTAACGGTGCCCTCAACTCTTTTTCCTCGCTCTTTCGACCTTAAACATTCCTTCCAACATTCCTCGAGTCGTTAGCTTCTCATCCTTTCAATCCCAGGCTATATACAATGTCAGCGCCTCTTAATTCTCGTGGTGAGTGACTCTGACAGCTCACCATCTTTAAGACTCACTGGGCTTCAATAGAGCCACGAAATGCAAAGAAAAAGGCTATGGAAAATGCAGGTAAGTATGCCGGAGTCTTCATAGAAAAACTGATGCTCACCTCCGACTTGAGTTTGGATGCCTAATAAGTCAGCAAGGAAAGTCACTCGTCTTGAGGTATCCCCGCAGGGCCCACCAGCAGCTGTTGCCAAACCAGTCAAAGCAAAACTTAAGATCAGCACCGGTCACCATGTTTTTTTCTACTATATAAGCCAAATACTCACCTTGAATCAGGTAAAGTGCCGTGCCCAAAAACAGATCCACCTGTGCCGAAAGAGGCTGCCGCGACTCGGACTGGAACCACTCGCAGTGACAGCTCAGTGAAGAATTTAGTATCTTCCAAACTGAGTGCGTCACTAAGAGTCTATATGAAACATAGGAATCAGTACTAACATTAGTAATGGTACGCGCGATAGAGCGTCAGCGTACCTTTGCAGACGACTTGGAGGAGGATAGCGGCGATGAATCTGATGGTGGCAGTGCGGACTTGCAACCTGACAAGCCTCGAGGTTAGTCATGATGTCTCAGTTGGAAATCTTACTCATGTGACCGTGTACACATGACAGCCAATTATTGCCCTAGCAAACTCTGTCGCACATACGCCATGCGCGATGTCTCAGCGTTATTGGACTCTGATGATGATCAGCCTGAGGAGGACATCACAAACGGTAATGATTCTGATGCTGACTGTGAGGAGAGTGAGGGCGAGGAACCTGAGACCACTGCCATGATGCTTTCAGATGAGGTTAGTGATAGTTTGTACAATGTTCGAGTCAGATGTACTCACACAATGATTGTCATGGGGACTCAAGGTCCCTTTGCTCGTCAGCAACATTAATGTCAACTTGAAGTCAAAGCAAGTTATTCAATCTCGTGGCAAATCCCAGTCCGCCCGGGATGCAAAGCAAGCTGCAGAGGTGAGTACATACATACTATTGAACTGCACTCAGGCTGTATACTACTGAACTTGACACTATCTTTAGATTCCAACCTGGCGCGATTGTGACAATGCTGTTTCAGAGTCCATCGATGAAACTACTACTGCATGTGGCGAGTCCTCCGAACCTTACTCCAGCGATGTTGAACCTGCCACACGGACCCGATCGGCTCAGACCATCGCTTCTCTCATTCGAACAGAGAAGGGACACGTCAAATTACTTGATCAAAACAATGAGACTCAGGGAGTAGTGCGGAATGTGATTATCGACGCCAAAGGCTACATTATCTTCGTCGATGCTTATCCTGAGCTTGTCGACAAAAACCAAGTCTCACTCCAGTCTTTGCTAACAGTGGCCAGGAATCGTGGTGTCCATGCTATTAAAGAACGTCTTCAAACTGATGCGCGGTATGCTGCTCACCTTGCTAGTTTAGTAAGTCCTTTGCACGTCTCAAATTTTTTCATTTGTTTTAACTATATTTAATTACTTGAGGTGGAGCCACGCATTCCGTTATTGCGCCGTGACCTGAAAGTGGCTGCATGTGCAAACATCGATAGCTACTTTCATCTTGGCAACAACTTGGTCAAGGCGAAGAAACTTATGGAGCAGCATGCATATATATATGCCTTGAGGTTTGATGTAAGTGCAATCGTCATCTGTTCTCCGCTCAATATCTCTTCGTCATATTCCCTTCTACATATCATCATTGATCCTACATCTCGAGCCTCTAACTGACATTCTTCTTCAACAGTTGAACCACGATGCCTCGCCCATAGGGAAAAAACCCTACCAGGGTGAGCTGCTGATCTTTCTCATATACGAGGGAGTCTTCAGCGGTGCGAAGTCCATTGGTGTCAAGTTTGCTGAGCGCTTTGCCGAACTGGCAAACAATAAGGGCAATCGTCCTGAAATACCCATTCCATTACTGGCACTTGTGGCGACAGCGGTATGGTCCTTTCTACTGAGCTTTGTGCTGTATTTACTCGTTTTCAAGGTCTATGCGGCCCTTTTCTGGAAGATGCTTGGTTCACCAGGGAAGTTCAACTTTACAGGGAATCAATTCAGCGAGACATATGTGTTTCACATCAGGTTCCTCGAGGACTTGAAGAGGGATGCACCAGGAAAGTTTCACTGCATGATGGCTGACATTTACGAAGCTGTACAGTAAGTTTCGCTGGTGTGCATGGTGCTGTTTTGACTCGGATACTGACTCTGCTACTCAAAGGACCTTGAAACAGAATGGGAACGAACATTTCGCTGATGAGCATCGAGATGCGCTGGGGCTACTCGACCTGGATGGCATGGCAGAGGATTAGGTCCTATTCGTGCTGATCTATACCTATAAAAATCACAGACTTGTTGATCACACCCAGTAGTAAACTTTCCTAGTCTTTGGCTGCGTATTATGTATATCTTCCGATCAAATATTAGTCCATTTTGCTTATAACACTGTCCGACGCGTGATTCACTGTGCAAAATTCGAAATATACTCTCTGAAATTCACAATATTGGAGTCTAATATCAACTAATTCGTGATAATTATCCTTTAAAAATAAGGCAGTAAAAAAGTCCTTCTAAACAAAATAGTCTTCCTAATCGTTCTAAAGCCAATAATTCTCGATAATACTCAACAATTATCGAGAATTATCATAGTTTAGAGGAAACTATCATAGTTTAGAGGAATTTCCCTGGGGAGGGTTTTCCTGATGCACCAAAGCTCATAACTATGGTTCATATTAATAATCCTTTGCCGAGACAGGGTTCCTGAGTACATGCTGACATGACCACCGAGTGCTAATTTAACTTGCTTTCTGCATCTTATCCGACAAAAACTGGTGGAATCAACTCTATATTATATATTACAAGTACAAGTTTGTCAGTGAGTGGTAATTACAAAGGATCTGTTTCCGAGTCATGGTCGCCGTAGTACTTATTGTACATTCATAGAGGTCCGTGATATTCAACTGGGTCCGGCTAGGAGAAAGATGAATCATGAGCATACGATATATAGATCACTGAGAGAGGTAATTCACCGTAATCGTAATAGAGATGTTTGAAGATGGGACCATCCTTCTTATCCGATGATGTGAACTTCACATGTCTAGCGTATCTCCTCTCGCCGTCTAATACTTTAAACCCCCATGTCTGAAGAGCATGAGGAACGAATAAAACCAAACGATAAAGTCGTACCAGTTCTGTCTTCCATTCCATGCCACTTTTTGATGTATCACTCCGGGTTACACCGAAAATCAACCCGTCTTCAACTGCATCTTCCGTCCAGCCAGACCTCAAGAATTCATCATCCACTTCCTCAGCCTTGATTCTCTTTGATTGTGTTATCAAAGCACCAAAAACATCGTCATTTATGTTACGTTCCTCCCAATCGAGAGTGCGACACTGAGTCGTGCCTGAGATACCGCCAGATAGAGTCTGTTCGATATCTATGTGCTCAGAGCCGCCCTCGTCGGCATAGTGCTTTACCACAAGCGTCAACGTAAACATCGAGATGGCACGCCGCTTGAACCAAGATATGCCCTGGAGCTTGAGGATATCGTCGCTGTCATCGCTCAATGTCTTGTTCTGTCACCAGGGAATATAATCAGAATTATCCCTGCGATGTACATAACCTGAGCACAACGAACCATAACATATTTCCCAGTGAGATTCTTGGTCGTTACTTCGGGAGGCGCGGCCATGATGGGCAGAAATAATAAGTGTGATGAGACCGACGATACTTTATGAGGTCCCAAGATATTGCCGCTCTCACAGTGAGCTATTGTTGGAATCCACGTGGCTGCTGTTTACTTGTCTTGTAACATGCAGTGCACAATAAGTTCTACCGACAAACTGGCAACATTCAGGTGAATGACGGAGCAACTTGTCATAGAGGAGATGAGATGAAATGGCTGTAAAGGGACACTTATTGAATATCGATATTCATGCCTAGACCCGTGACAAGTCCGCCGGTCACCACGTCAAATAACGGCGTAGTGTATATCAGGCTGGTCACGAGCCTACCATACAGCTTCGCGACATTGCCAGGGGTTGGGGGATACGAGGAGAGGAGCTGGAAATTGCCGCGGCGAATGGCTGTAATTCCGAGATGCGATTGCTCACAAACTGAACTCTCTTGTGGCACAACTTCAGCCCGCGAAAGAGTCCGTGCGAAGGTCTAGTACTGCTTTTTGCAACGTCAGACCTTGAACATCCGTTGAACGTGGTCGTGTATGCTGGTCTGAGAGGAAACTGTTTGCGGTTGACTGTCCAGGTGCTCCGTGGAGGCTTGAAAGAGAAAGTGATGCGAGGCAGGCAATGCGTCTCTCTGGTCTGAGGGACTTCGACTTCGACGAATCTGCGATGAAGCGCGGCGATGCGCACTCGCGCGTTTCGCACTGATCCGTTCTCGACCGACATGTTTCGTTGTATCGCGCATATCGCATCTACCTTGAGATCGAGGCGGTGGGGAGGCGTGTTTGTGTGAGTCAACATTGCCAAGTATTCGGGAGTCTGTTCTGGCGCGTCTGGAGGCGCTTGGTCCGCCTCTTTGAGATAATCAGAGCTGAAGTATGATTCTGTAACGCTCAGTCATCAGTTTGTTGCGTCATTGAATGTGACTTGCGCTCACCGAAATCTCCAGGCAGCGCGTCGAGCATGATGTCGTTGGATTCCTCTACCAATATATTGCGAGGTGATAGGAAAGCTCGCTGAATGCATGTCATTGGATCCAGTAGAACGTGCGGGGGAAAGAGAAAGTCGATGGCATCGGTGATGCTGCCGATTTGATTGATGAGATGAAGAGCTTGACGTTCGCCGGACCAGTCCTCTCCTAACGTGTCCACGAAGTCGGTGTACTCTGGGTCTCCAATCGTGCGTACGGGCGTGTTGAGTGTGAAGATGTGCATAAACTTCCATAGAGGAGATGACTTGACGGACGCAGCCAAAGAAGCCAACTCTCCTGCACCACTGACGACGGGAGCTACTTGACGAAAGTCTCCCAAGCCGATGATCGGAATTCCGCCGAAAGCTTGTCGTAGACATTCATAGTTCGACGACATAAGTTGTCTACACATTCCCATGCCGCTCTATTTGCCATGGGCAATTCATCCCATATGATTGCAGTTGCGTTTCAAATGAGATCTGCTCGAGCGGAGAAGGGATGGATGGTTGAATGAAGGTCGACGTTGTCTTCCGTCACGGGAATTCCGAACATATAATGAGCTGTACAACCGCGCTTGTATGCTGTTGCGCAGAGTGCGCTGCTTCCGACAATCAGAATGATGTGTCCTGAAGCACGGAGAGTCGATGCTAGCGCGTTGACCATGAACGTTTTCCCTCTTCCTGGTCGACCCTCTACAAAGGACATGCAGTCTCGTCGGGATTGTATGCTGTCGCAGATAGCATCAAAAGCGTAACGCTGTTCCTCGTTCAACATCTGACACATGTTGTCCCGTTCTGCTTCAAGTGCGGCATGGTTGGATGCTAGAAATCTATCTTCGCTGATTAATTCAGCCATGCGCTTGTCAGGAATGCACATCCCGAAGTCGTGAAGGTGCCTTCCACTGTGCGCGAGGATGTCCTCGATTTGGTGCAGTGTGTGTCTGTAACCATTTGTCTCATCTCCGACACGCAGAATGTGATCGATTGACAGATTCTGCTTGAACTGCTCCCATAACGACGTTGCGGGATAACCTTCGAGTAAGACCTGTGCGAATAGAAAGCGCAGTTGGGCAGGCGTTCGCAGACAGTCCACAGCTTCTTGTAGTGTGAGCAAGCCTTCTCTGTTAAGTAGCCACGAATCCAAACAACCGGATGTATTACTCAACACGGTCCAAGTGCACATGTTGACTGCAATGCAGACACACGATATCGTCCTCAGCTGTAACCACCTCGAGAGCAGATGGTGCCTCTGCATGTCAAATTTTGAAATCTTATATTTGCGAGGGTCATTTGCAGGATATGTATGATATACGAGGCTATAATAATGTGATCGTCAACGTGAAGTAAAAAAACCATTCAGCTACAATATGTCCAGGGTCCTGATGTTCATAATGTCAATCGAAGCCGGGTCTTTCACCTGCGCAATGATATATTGGTCCGACGCGACCCTCTTGTATTCTCCAACGCGTTGCTGCGCTACCAAAAGTGCGCTGAAAGCCTGCCCAAGGTGAACCATCAAACGCAATGATCGTGAATGAACATCCGAGTCAACTGACAACTCCTCTTCTCCAGGTGAGTTGCTGGACGACTCTTCAGTGTCGTCTGATCCAGACTCGGACTCGGACCAATGCCCTACGCTCTCCCCTTCGTCTGCAAAGGTGAGCTGCTCTGAAAAATCAGGCAGCCCAAGGAGACGACGGTCCCATGGACGGACAAGAAAGAACGTCTGCTGAATGGGCTTCGTGCGCGAGAATTGAGTTAGGGTCTCGTCTGTGGTAATCAGCAAGTCTCGAAGCCCATCTGCTTTCACTCCATACGTGGAATGGGCAGTACGACCTCGCTTCCGTTTGACTTCCGTGACAGGGAATGCGATGCAAGGAAGACGGAGTCTGCAGTTTGCGAAGAGCGGAGCATTCATGTTCTCGAGCAGGTTATACAACTTCGAAGCTAGATTCACAAGCACAATGTTTCGCAACGAAGAGACCGCTGTCTGAATCTCATCTTCAGACAACGATGGTAGGGAGTATGACGGGGCGGCATATGAGATGATGTCAGCTGGAAGGCAACTATTGAACTCGGATGATTGTCCGACCCAGTCCAGGGAAGTGATGTCGCCCGACCGAGACACGATATCCTGCAGGAGCCGGCCGAGCGCGCTCTGCTTCCTCTCGCCATAGATGACAGGTAGGTGGACGTCGAAGATACCAAATAACGAGTACGCGGTGTCTTCCTGCACAGTGGTGACGCGCTTCGATGCCCATTGCAGTTTCTGTCTAGCATCTCTCATCCCTGGACGGAAAGAGATCAGGGCCTGTGCATCTATTCCCGTCGCACCCTCTAACTCCTTCATGATTGCTTGAGATTCTTTGTGGTTGAGAGAGCGATCGTTGAGATACAACGACCAATCCTTCTGGTAAAATCTAACGACTTTCGGAGCGACAAATTCTTGAAAGGTCCATCCCCGCTCGTTCCAAACACTGCTTGCTAGTGCACCGGGTTGGGATGAAGGAGGGACATCGGATAGGTAGACGATGGTGAGCGCCGAGTGACGGTACCAGACGAACATGGATTGGACCGATTCTCCAAGCTCGGCGTTGTTGCTCTTATCAATGCAGCATGTATCCATCCATGCCCAAAAATACCCCGCATCACGAGCGATTTTGCAAAATGACTGCAGTTTCGCGGTGCCACCGAGTCCATCCAACTCATACACCACTTTGTCCTGGACGTGGTGCAGCAGCGCCTCCGTCTCTTCCCACCTATGTGATAGTAAAACGCAACGGAAATGCGTCGCCACCACCTCCTTGATGTGTTCCATTTGGAGATCCGAACGCTTCGTTATGGTTGACAAAAGCTCCTTGTACTCTGGACTTGTTTTGAAGGAGTTTAGCTGTGCTGCTCGGTCGCACAGAATCCCCGTAGAGGTGTTGAGCAGACGAAGGGGGGCGTTGCTGAGTTCAATCCAAACTGCTCTTCGAATAACGTCTTCTGCTTCCGATGGACAGACGTACTGCTGACGCAGATCTGCAGAATGATATAGGCATTTCGAGACAACGCAGGAGTGTTCCATGTCTCACCTTGTATCTGCACTTCTGGAGCATTGTCCAACTTGGACAACATGATTGTGAAGGCCTCGATGGCTTCATCGTAACGTTGCGCGCCACGCAGCGCTGAGTGTGACAACTGGTACCCAACATGAGACGAAGGATTGAGTTCTGTGACCTATGCATCGCCGAAGTCAACATGGACTACGAAAACGTGGATGCCATCGCACCTTTTGCGCGTCGAGGAGCGCATCCTCCCACAGCATTTTACTTAACTTTGCCTGGCTGCGATTTGCAAAGACGACATCGGATGCAGAATCCAGATCGATCACCATAGAGTATAGGTCAATAGCCTTGTCGTAATCGCTTGCAGCGAAGGCGTCATCTCCGTTGGCAGCGCAGAGTGCGCTGCATTGCTGTTTGAAATCTGGGAGGAATACAGGTGAGAATTGTAGCCTCCGCGACATTACTGGCTCTAGACTCGCCGTTGGACCAATCGAGGCAGTCGGCTTTGGTGATTTCGTCACTTGAAGTCATCAGGTGTTGGTATGACTTCACGGCATCTTGGAGTTTACCCGCCCGAAGGAGTGCATCACACCGTTTATGGTGTGCCTTTCGCCACAACGACTTCAGGTCCCAGCCAAAGAGCTGGACAAGAGATTTAGTTATGAAAAGCGTCATATAGGCATCATCTTGATGTACCACCACCAAATCTTCATATACTTCATGAATGTCCGATTCCGATGATAAATCGCTGGAGTCGATAGCGGCAGTGAAATGGTCGGTGGCTTCGTCGTAACGTGCGCCATCCAAGGCTTTGATTCCGAGTTGAACGTGTAGATATGCCTAATGTGCGAGTTGTAAAGATGAGTGTTGATGACCAAGCATGGATGATAACTTACTTGCACAATATCACATGCGAGAGTATCAGCATTCGGACAACCGGTAGCAAGCTCTGTGAGGAGCAGGTTTGCCTCGCGATGTTGATCTGCATTGAAGAGCGCGATGGCCTGAAATACGCGATGAAGGGAAGAGTATGCGAGGCAAATGTAACATACCTTGGTCAATAGCAGAAAATGAAGGATTTCTGAATCCTGGTCCGTGTACATGGATGCGACATCAAATGCTGCCCTCGCATCCAGGACGCGGCCTTTTCCACAGAGGGCAATACCCTTGGAGATATAGCCCGTCAGTGAGGGCTGAATCCTGATGGACTATGTCACCGTCGAGTTAGTCCTGTATAAGGCAGCGATGATTCTCACCTTGATTGCATCCAGAAGGGCGCGTTCCCAATCGTATTTTCGGGCCATGACGAATGACCGATGGGCGTAGGAAGTATGGTTGTTCGGACTGGTGTTGATATCTTGAGTGAGCAGTCCTTCGGCGGTAGATAAGTCTCCATTTAGACATGCAATACGGGAGGTCGTGATGGCTAGGATCTGCAGGAAACATGGTCAAATTGTGGTATATATGAGTCAAGAATGGAAACATGCCTTTGAGCGATGGACGTAGGGAGTATGAGTGTTCGGATCGGTATTGATATCTTGCATGAGTAGTTCTTCGTCAGTAGATAATTCTCGATCTATGCATGCATCGCGGACTGTTGTTGTGGCAATAGTCTGCAAGAAGCATGCTCGATTTATGGTATATGAGTCAGAGACGGAAACATGCCTTTGGATGTATACCATAGGGTACTGCCCACTCTGAGATGATCTTATCGTCGCCTCCACTGAGGATGTGATTGCCGTCCACGGAGAAAGTGATGCATTGCGCGAGGGATGAAGATGAATGCTCGAAGACGACAATGGTTTGTTGATCTGAGAGCTGCCAGAGACGAACATGGTGGTCACTAGATGCGGATGCAACGAGTGTGCCAGCAGGATGAATGGCAATGGAATCGATGTGGTCAGTGTGGCCCGTCCAAGGATTACCGACCTGCTTCCAAGTTGTTGTATCCCATTCGCGTACAGTAGGATCTTCCCTATCGCCGCCTGTGAGAAGGCGTGTGCCATCGGGCGTCCACACGAGTGACGAGTTCCATGATTTGTGAGCCTTGAATGATGTGACGTGTTTGCTGGTGCCTGAATTGTAAATTTGAATATCATGGTTGGTTGCGACGGCAAGCAGTTCTCCAGATGGTGAATGCCGTACGCAGTAGATATATGCATCACATTCGATTGGATCTCCTTGCAGCTGCCAGGTTTTGGTATTCCACCGTTTCGTCATTTTTTCGTAATATGAACCAGTGGCCAACACTGTTCCATCGGGAGAAAAATCCAGCGAGGAGATCAAATCGGAGTGTGCTTGGATTTTGGTGAGTAATTTGCCAGTTTCTCCGTGCCAGACGATGACCTTTCCTTTTTCATCACCGCTTGCTATCAATTGCCCATCTCGTGATACCGCCAAACTCCACACCGGATTGCGATGCCCCTTCATCTTCTTCAACGCAACACCTGTCTTCAAGTCCCACAGACGAAGCGTTGTGTCGGTCGAGCCCGTAACCATCCGACGTTTATCAGGGAAAACTGCGACTGCAGTTATGCATCCTTCATGGCCTTTGAACCGTTGCAGGGGAGTGGTGATTGTAATGAGCTCCGACATTTTACTGGATGTTGATGTATGGAATACGGACGAGGCTAAACTTTGAAGGGATTGTGTTTTTCTCTAAGCTGCACAGGGTGTATGGTGCGTTTTATGGGTGCTTCACAGCTTGCCTCATTTCAATAGACGCCCAGGACATCTAAGGCTGTTCGTGCCCACGCCTCCACCGTAATGCACCCACCCTATTGTCATACCCGCTGTCCTCGACGTATGCACATCTGCAGTGCATACATGCATCCGACTTTTGTCTTCACAGCTTCCAGAATCTATCCCATCGCATCAAGCCCAGCAGTCGTGCTTTCCAGCGCTCGAATCTGACTGCCTATCCTGCATGAATACCGTTGTTTTTCATATCTAGCAGCTACTCCAGCTTATCTCCTTTGAACGCATGTATATAGCTTACTGCAATATCACTTCTCCATCCAACAGATCCTCGTATAGACAAGATGGAACCAAATTTCGTGGTACAGCCTCGGAATCTCCTCACCATCGCCACACTGCTAATGGCCGCATCTCACTGCGATGCCCCTCCATATTTTTCAACACAACACCTGTATTCAAGTCCCACAACCGAAGCGTCTTGTCATCATACGTTGTCTATTGGGAAAACCTGCGACTGCGGGTGCACCGCTCTCATGATCTTCAACAACTCAACCGAGTGCGGTGCTTGAAACGAACTTCGACATCTTGCTGGATGCTGATGATGTGGAGCACAGTCGAGGTAGACTTTGGAGGGATTGTGGGTGTCTTTCTTTAGGCTGCAGAGGTGCGTACATCGTGCGTTTCTATATTGCTTCACCCCATTGACTTGCCTTGTGTTTCCTTAGACACCCTAGTAAGCCATGGACCCTATTCATCTCCTCAGGTGAATATGATCCTAGCATACAGGAACCACGGTGGAAGTCATTGACTTGGAATCAGGTCGGTGATGTCATCCATGCCATCATACGTTTTTGCTACTGCCATCTGATCGCTTCCGCATCTCACGACGTCTCACGAGGCAGCTGTCAGGTTGGCGAACCGTCGCCATCTTCCCGCACTCTGTTTTGACGACTTGTGTATTATTCTCCATGAAAGACATATCTTCAGCTGAGCTTATGAACTTTTGATGAGATGGTCTTAGAGAGTGGCCTCTACCAAAGAGCACTCTGCTGGAGGGTACTTCACAAGTGCCGCTATCAAAGGTACTTTTCTGTATGTACTTTGCCGCTGACTCCCGACCCCCTCGTCATCTCAACTCGCGAAAGGCCGGGTTGCAGAAGAGTGCTTGAGACAATAAGGTGGAAATCAATGTAAGTTAGCATTGATTTCCTTCTTCGTCTTCCTCCACATCAACACCTAAAGTACGCAAATCCTCGCTACAGAGGTTGGAAGAACTCTTTGAGTTACATGTGGAAAGCTGTGGCGACGTGAGTTGGACACATATGTTCAGGCGCTTGCATTGACAACTTCAAGAAGACGCTTATGATAACAGCCTCATGTCCTGGGTCTATCACCTCTTATTAGTAGAGTTACGTGGGAGCACCTGATCCATTTGTAAGTTCTGACATATCTAGCACTGTAATGCGATGACGGACTCGACACGTTTCTATGCGTTCATCCATCATCCACGAGCGCCCAGCGGGCGTAGCTATTTTGACGCGGTCCTGCCGCGCCTGCCGCGGTCGTGACGCGGCCGTGACGCGGCGTGACGCGCATGTGACGCGGCACTGACGCGGCACTGACGAGCCTTGACGCGGCACTAACGAGCCTTGACGCGGCCACTGACGCGCCATTCCTATATTCTACATTCAACTTCCAGATCAAGTTGAATGAGTTCACGACCATTCTTTTGTTATTTTATTTGCCTCAGAGCCATGTACAACTAGGTATACATAAGCCAATGACTATTTTCTTTTCCTCCCTCTCTGGACCCTTCGAGCCTGTGGAGCACATCGACGTTTAACGGGCGGACATTCTTCGGCCGGCAGAGAAGGAACTACAGCTTCGGATAGCTCGTCTGCAGACTCCACAGATGTAGCATCAGAGTTATCACTGAATAAGGGGCCGCGCTGTTAATCACATAAGTTAGATATCTATCAAACGGAGCAGGTAATGTCTTCCTCACTTCAAGTTCACTTTCGCTATAATCTCTTGCAGAAACCCATTCATCAGGAATTCCGAGATACACATTCCATCGCCTGTGATGTTGGCCAGCATCCAAACCCCACTGCTGGTTGCCTGCAGGTCCTGCTTCTTCGGAATCCTCGAACATCCTTGCTTCTAGTGCGGTCAGACACTCAAGGTCGACGTCAGCCACGAAGCTATTGGTAGGATAGCTTATCATGAGATCAGCCCAAGCCATCTTCAACAGCATGCTATCGTTCCATTCTTCGTTTCGAGCTTCAATGCGTTTTTCGAAATCACTGGCCTTTCGATGAGCAACCACGAGAGTGAAAGCATGCACCAAAGGCATGCCACCAAGCCATTTTTCGACTTGACCGGAAGCACCAGGAACATTCTCCGAGAACCAACGTGCAATTTTGGCATACTCATGAGAAGAGATGTCACCACAAAATGGTATGCTGTATGCACCCACACCATCTGGCTTCTTCCTCGATCGCAAGATGTAGTCTATCACGGGGTATGCCTCCGCACCATATTGGTTCAAGTCTGGACTGTCAAGGAGCTTCTGAAGCGAAGCAATATGTGGTAGTAGAATGTCGTCCAGTTCTTTTGATACTTCCGCTGACATAAAGTTTTGAATCAAGTCTTCTTCGCGAGGAGTATCCCAAGAGTGGATCCATTCTCCGAGCTACACAATACTTTGTGTCAAGAGGACCGCGAGTATAACCAGTCACTGTCACTCACGCGAATCTCACGCCTCTTAGCTTGGTCCTGCCAAAGTTCATCCATGAGATCTCCTTGCTCAACATCACCAGGAGGTGATCCCAAACTTAATGGGAATCTGCAACCGCGCCACCAGACCACCCACCAGCGTACTCGGTTGCGTGCACTAGCAGGGAGACCAACAGTGTCATAGGACTGAATCAGCCGCACAGGATACCAATACTTCCCGAGACGAGCCAGAGCTCCTTTGCCGGCGCTGTAAGTGAGTGATCAGCCATATCTCGATTCTCAGCTAGGGTTGGAGATCAAAAGACAAACATCAGACGTGTGTGAAGTGGAGCCGTTTTCTTCTTTGTTGTGGCTTTCCTGCTGCTCCTGAGTCATGGATGTCAGTTTATGCGAGGGGCACAGTTATTTAAACTTACTTGCGAGTTGGTGGTGCTTTTGACTCCTGTGTTGAGCATCCATCGCAATAAAATGCTGCCTTTGGATGAAGATTGCTGGCTCGGCCACCTCTCTGACAAGCAATGTGTGACCAATTTTCACACAGATCACATCGGATTGTCTTTTGACCACCTGCAACTTCATGGCCGTTGCCAAGAGCCCCACACCTACAATCAAATGTATAGTCAGATGCTTCACTCTCTCCGTCGTCCAGCTCTAATGGTTTCTTTATCTCAGATGTGGACAGTGATTCCTCTTCATTGCCAGATGCCTGAAGGACCAATGGATCCTCGATTGGCTTGGGTACGCTGGCCTGGTCAGACGGCTTTTCACCCTCGTTTATGGATGGCCGATCTTCAGTTTCCAATACCGGTGACAAGATCCGAAGTTTTTTCGTTTTTGTGCGAGAACGTTGGTGTTGGGGTGGTGCTTTGTTCTTGGAATTACTGCCTGTGTTCAATGTTACCACCTGCTCGTATTCTATATTCTGTGTAGTTGCAGGGTTTTTGAGCCAAATAAGATTGTCTGGATCAACAGCAGCCACTGCAGTGCGAGACAAAGAAATGATAGGAATTGAACCTGGCGACTGCAGGTCACGTTTGACATGAACATGATGCAAACGTTCTGCGGCTGCTATTTGATGTTCAGCAAAGAAGTTCTGCGCATCAGAGCCACCACGTAGCCTATACACAACACCATGAACATTGAAGCCTCCTGGTGCCGGGATGTCGTGCAAATTGCCCACAAGATGGCTCTTGACAGTTGCATTCTTCAACAATTGTGCATATCCTCCATGAGAAAGGTCATCGTAATGGTAGACCCTCTTGCCATCCAGTGAGTAGCGAGTAATAAAGTGTGCCAGCTTTGGTGTAGGGTCACAAAAGGCAAGGCCAACCACGTCGTAAACGAGGGAATGCTGTTCTTCGGCTTCTTTTGTGAGAGGCCTTATGTGCTTGGGAATGTTCCATTTGTTATCGCGATGGAGGACATCACCAAACTCGACTATCAACATCACAGGAATTCCAAGATACAAAGTGATGAAATTGGAGGAGCCGTCACATAAAACCTGTGCATCCAAAGTTCGCCAGCAATAAGTCTTAGAAGTGGCCTCCTTGTTCACGCGAATGAGATCACGAAACCAAGCAGCTAGATCGCCCTTGTACTGAGCTGAGAGTTTGACATCAAGCTGAAAATGACACTTGGGGTGCGGTTGACGTGGTATTTGCCAGTGCATTGGTCCTCCTGAAGTACCAGAGCAAAATCGCAGGTCTATGATCTGGGCCTCGAAGAAAGTGCGAGCAAGGTACGTCTCTTCAGGTGGCATCTTGTGCAGCAGTAGTCGGAATGCCCTTCCTAGCCAGCCCTAGTGTAAGGTACTACTATTAGTGAAACTCTGATTTGCGAAATATGACAGCACACTTACAAATACTCCGTCCGCACTTGATATATCCTTGATGATTCGTGTGGCCCTCAGATTCTTGCGGAACCCATCACGTTGAGTCGTCAAGATACGAGATGCATTAGATGTCTGATCAATGCTCATACGAACTTTCATGACCTGATTCAGAGCCCATAAGGGATGTTCCTCGCGGATTCCAAGGAAGCGTGGCTGGAAGACAGTATAAAAGTGAGGGTGTATGGTAATGAACATGAGCTCCAGGCATGTATCAAGCCAACATGAGTTTTGAGACCAGGGATAACTGGGGCGCGAGCTCAGTGGATGGTTAGAGATGTTGGAGTCGAGCGAATTGTCAGAATCTGAATCTAAGTCTTCTTTGGAAGCCTGTTGCTTGTCACGAGTTTTTGAATGGGTTCTCAGAAGCTGTCGCGAGGTATCAGGAGGGCGTCCATCATTTTTTCTGGACTTGGACCGATGTGATCGTGGTGCTCTTTCTGGATGAGTACGACCATGTATTTGTAGATTGGTTTGCCAGCTCTTGGCTGCTCCGTAGCGAATTGGAGCACCCACTAATCGAAACAAGAGGTGTTTAATATCAAATTAACACTGACAATATACAACATACCACTTCGGCCAGCTGCACGTAGTTGAAAACTTTCCATAAAAACCTGCAAACAAAGCAGCCCCTCCATCAAGTTGTAGCGCTTGCCAACTGTGGCATATAACTTTGCGTGCATCGCTTCTTCTGCATTAGTGGAGTCTGGCATTGCCTGGAATAGACCCGTTTTCATCTTCTGAAAAGGAGGAAACAGCATCTGGGCATGGCTGTCACGAAGCCACCACTCCAGCCATGGCTTTGTCTTGGGGTAGTCTCGTAAAAGGGATGCAACCTTTTGCTTGAAAGTGTCCATATCCAAGACCAACAGCAGGGCCAGGGCACGACTCTGAAAGTTGTCCGCTTTGGCAGGGTCAATAACTCCACTGATTTTTTTGACACGTGTGACCTGAGACCGGTAATGCTGCTGACAGCCTTTGAGGAGTGCTCCTGCTGCATCTTCAAGTTCAGCCTGAGAACGTGAATCCTCGCGATTGGTCCAGAACATAATGAATGCTTGAGTAAACCCAACTCGTTCAGCCTCGCTGAAGTCAACAACCTGGATCAGCAAATGTCAGAATGAACACTATGTACCAGTAACTGGAGCCTTACGTTGCCAAACAATTCATCATTGACTTCACGCCCGTGCTTCTCGCATTCATCTGCCATGGAGTTGAAAAGGACAAGAAAATGTAATCGGTAGTGCTCGGCTGAACCTCCATTTGCATAGGTCATGAGTCCGGGTACCCAGCATGCGAGCAAAGCAGAATATGTCGAACTAATTATAAGAAGATCCTTAGATGAGTACCAAAATCCATGTGCTGCATCCGAAACAATGCCATTCACAGCCTCGTCCTCGATGAAGTCGGTCACCAGTTGCGACACCATGAATTGAGTTTGAACAACAACGACAGTCACTGCTTCGAATTGAGAATACAAAACATATCCTGGATGGTTCTTCTGGAATTCTGCGAAGTCATCAACGAAGTTCCGAGTGGACTTGCCCCGTAGTGCTTGCAGCTCGGCCTTGACACGGTCCTGGTTGAGAAGCACTGTGGAGATCGTTGCAACAGATTCACGGGTACCAGTAAGGCTGTTACGACCAGCAATTAATGCTGCAGGGCCAGCAGCAGGATTTTCGAAGACAATTTGTTCGAATCTTGTCCGCTCGTCACGAGATAGATGCAAGATGTGAGTTTGTTTCGGATGGTGGTGAATGCCCTTGTGAATGTAGTAGACGCCTCCTTTGAATGAATACAACACTGATGTGACACCGCAGTCGATGTGCTTGAGCTGACTACCACAAAGGCACGATGCATTGAGTTGTCCCATGATACCAGCCCGGCGGGTCTGCGGACGTGTGACTACCTCACAGGTAGGTTCATCACAAGTAATGACACCCAGGCAAACGCGTCTCGTCTTTTTACCTTGCGACCACGCGAGTGCTGACTCTGACCCCCTCTTGTCTCCTCCTCCTGGCTGACAAGCCCAATGTTCACTAAGATTATCAGTTCGTAATACCTCCTCCCATGTGAATAACTTTTCAAAGTCACCGTCCGGCCATGGGTCCCATAACTCATCTCGACCGCCAGATTTGGGACGTTGATTTGTTCGGGCTGCAGGAGGACTAACACTTCGGGTACGCCGGCGTGGTATAGACTTTGTGTCCGTGCAGAGTTCAAACAACTCCTGTGAGTGGTGTTTCATATGTTGAGGGAGGGGTGGTGGATTTGGGACGGAGTGTGCAGGGTCATGTGATGGCTGAGCGGTCTGCACAGAGGCCGGAAGATAAGCTATTATATTGCCTGTTCTATTTGTCAAATCTAAGTTCACAAGGAGAATATGTCGGATGACGCACCTGAACGGTCATAGCAGGGTATAAGGTCCCCAAAACTCAGCAGCGGACCCGGCCGATCTGGATAATTTTGATTCTCTGTCTCGTTGGGATATAAAAAGTTGAATATATGCTTGATTAATTCCTAAAAGATGGTTATAACAAGTTTACTCCGTATTTAAAAGCACTCACAAAGGCCATGATATGATTTACAAAAGCGCGATAATAAGGGTTTCTTCTCAAGCCCAGAGGAGACAAACGAAAGAATGCTTAGTAAAATAAATTTATTACTGCCTATGGACAATTACAGTGTACGACGTCTAATTCTGTCAGGATGAAAAGGAACACTGTTAGAATATCAAATATTATGACAGATCTAAAAAAAAAATACCTAAGTTATACGGACAGCGTGACAGTTGAGGTGGCGAGGTCTGACGCGGCATGTGCTACTTGTGACGCGGCATGAATGAAGTTTGACGCGGCGGTGACGCGGCAGTGACGAGGTTTGACGCGGCGTGACGCGCATGTGACGCGGCACTGACGCGGCATGGAGGAGGTTTGACGCGGCATTGACGCGGCACAACTTGTTTGACGCGGCACTGACGCGCATGTGACGCGGCAACTGACGCGGTATGTGCTATGGTTGACGCGGCACTGTAGTAGGCCTTGACGCGGCATAGAGTGTGGATGTTGATATTAGTACAGAGATTGCGAAGATATTTGGGAGAACTTGCCGTGGTGTGAGTGGTGCTTGACGCAGCCTAAACGAGGGAGGCTTCTGGCATGCCATGGTTGGGGCTTGACATGGTGGTGCAGGGTATAGAGAGTGGATCGAACTTGGCAGGGTGAGGCCGAGGCTTGACGCAGTAAGACAACATTTGACACTGCGTCTGCAAACCAACATAGATGAATGAATTAGAGGTAATGCAACAATATAGGACTGACGCACAAGATGCATACTAGTAGCATAAACGCAGAGGACAAGCACTGTAAATTTGGTGAGAGGTGAATACAGCACTATAGAGCCTGTACGCAGGCAGACACTCACATGTTGATCATTAACGATGATTCAAAGTGTTTGGAATGCGATATGAAGTTGTGTAAACATGATCTGTACGTAGGAATTTGTTACAGTGCCGCGTCACATATGCCGCGTCACAGGCGCGTCACGACCGCGGCAGGCGCGGCAGGGCCGCGTCAATTTCACCTGGCCCGCGCCCAGCCTATGTATCGTCCGATCCCCAATTTGCGTCCTCATGAGATCATAGCATTGTAAGCCGATTTCAGAATGTCCAGTTTTCACTGGGGCTGCACTTCGAAGGAGAGCATAAATATATAATAAACCGATGACAGCAATCATAAAACAACAACAGTACTAGTGCAACAAACAATACACTTCTAGAGGTACATACAACCCAAGAAAATCATATGATAATACCTCAAGTCCTCCTGATCAACTTTCCCCTCGCCTATTCTGCGCTCGTCTCTTCTTGAATTCATAGAATCGCGCTGTTGCAGCCGCCGAGCCTACATACACGACGCATGAATTGATCGTCAGCCATCTGGCACAGCGAACAAAGGAGAGACCAAACACACGCACCTTTCTTCGGCGCACCCCTTCCTATACCCATGAACCACAGAAGAGCTCGCACAGGGAACCATACAACCATTAGCACCCATCCAAAAATCACTTGGAGTGGGCCAACCGCGAGGATGTTGAGTAGTAAGACGACCAAGCGCAATGGACCGCTGCCAGGCGTTCTGTCGGAGACGTAGAGAACGCATCTGGTGCATTCGATGGTGAAGAAGATCGGAAGGAGGAAAGAAGCATAGACTGTGCGTGGTAAGTATGAGTCGCAGTCGAGCGGAGTAAAGATTAACAATCATGTACCAAAATCGTTCAGAGCGGAAGTCATGTTGTTACAATAACAAATACTGGATCCGGTCGAGCAGGAACTTTTGAATTACAGACTATAGACAAGGCAAGATGCCTCAGGCCTCAGGATTGAGATGGATGTTAGTGGTGCAGTTGTGATGTACAGAATTTGTCAAAAATCAACAGAAGTTCGGCCAATTGGAAGCCACCCACAGTTGTCAAATTCCGACGCTTCCATCAACCAAGGTCTTAAGATAGTACCTGGAGCTCTTCATACGTTCACGAGTCACGACGGTCTCCTTTCAGTTCTGCAGAACATCTCGAGCATGTTTATGTCGATTTAAATTAATAGCAACAAGGCTGCTTTCGGGCGTCATAATTATCCGAGCATTTACAGAAGTACACATCTTGAAACTCTGCTTCTAAGTTATACATGCATTCACAGGCACTTTCTTTACAAGCGGTCTACGGGCGATGTTCACGTCAATGACCGATCGACGATCAAGCTCAATTTGACACTCACTAACGTTGCCGAGGTCACTGCAAGCCTCCTTGACCCGCGCCGAGAGCGTTTTCTCACCCTCACGAACCCAGACACGGGGGTCATAGAACTGCAATCAAACATGAATGACAGAAATCTCAGAAAAGATAAGCTAGTAACGAACCTTCTTGTTAGGTTTGTCTGCGCCCTCGGGGTTACCAACTTGAGTGAGCAGGTAATCTTTTTTCTTGAAAACAAAGTCCTGAGAGATAACGGTCAGCCGTTGCGCGATCTCCAGGACTGATGGTCAATCGTACCCTGATACCAGCGAGATAAGCAAATTGGGTATCTGAGCGACAGTTTCCGCGTCAGCGACTGAATTCATTGCTAAACCTAACAGACTTACCAGTATCAACGTTCATTTTGACGACACCATGGTCGACTGCAGTCTTGATCTCCTCCTTGGTTGACCCGGAACCACCGTGGAACACGAGGTAGAGAGGTTTCTCGGACTTGCCACCGAGTTTTTGGCTACTGTAAGCTTGGTGCTTGCCCAGCAATTCAGGCTGGAGCTTGACGTTTCCAGGCTTGTAGACGCCGTGCACGTTACCGAATGCAGCAGCAATGCTGAAGTTGGGGCTAATAGCACTCAAAGCAGCGTGAACATCGTAGATGTCCTCGGGTTGCGTGTAGAGGGATGCGTTGTCGACACCAGTGTTGTCAACACCGTCCTCTTCACCTCCGGTGATACCAATTTCCATCTCTAGCCAAATACCAATAGGTGCCATGCGCTTGAAGTACTTGACGCAAGTTGCGATGTTCTCTTCTTTTGGCTCCTCGGACAGGTCAAGCATGTGTGAAGAGAAAAGGGGCTCTTGGTGCTCCTTGAAATAAGCCTCATCGGCAGCAAGCATGCCATCAAACCATTGAAGGAGCTTGTGGGCACAGTGGTCGCTGTGAAGAACGACAGGCCTGATATCCATCGTGGATCAAAATAACATAGATCCCAGGCAAAGGTAAGACTCACACGCCGTAGGCCTTCGCAACTGTGCGAATATGGTGGGCAGCAGCGATAGCTCCCAGAATGGAAGCTTGCTGGTTGTCATTTGAAAGACCTTTCCCGGCGAAGTAGGCACTTCCACCCTGAGAGACCTGGAGGATGATTGGAGCCTTGATATCTCTGCGGAGCTGGATGTGAACATTTTTTGAATCGCTAAGACTCAGTTGCTGACCTTGCGGCTTCCAAGACGGCGTTAGCGGTGGATGAGGAAGTGACGTTCTTGATGGAGTCAGGCCAGGAGACTGTGGTTGATTTCGTCACTCACTATAGCCTGGTGAAGACATCGTCGTTTCAGCAGGATATTTACCTCCGATAGGGAAGGCACTCACAGGAATGGCAAACTATTGAAGTAGAATCGCAAGGCGCTTCATTAAGAAAATAGGATATAGTAAGTCGAGAGCGACTTACCTTGTTCTCCTTTGCGTAGTCGAACAACTTGCGAACGTTATCTCCAGTTAGGACACCAGCCTGCGAGGACGTCAGTGGATCAGCTTGCCCGATGATTGACTGTACTAACGGGAACGATATCGAGGACACCCATGATGAATCGACGAGAAAGTGCGATGATAGTAGATCTGGAACAAGATGGAAAGAGCGTCAGAACAGCCTTTAAAATAGGAGCGAAAAGGTACCTTATAAGCTACCGATGGAGTGAAACGACTTTGAGATTGATTATAAGCTCTCCCTCGTCCGATATCACCCATTACCAAATCATTTTTGTCACGTGACTCATTTAAATATCGCATCATATCCCCAGGTGCAGTGCATACTTACTAAATCCTTGGAAAAAACGTTCGATACAACCAGCGTACGACATCCTTGGAAAGTACATTCACTCCGGGATCAACAAGTACGCGATTCCCGGAGACCGTGGTTCTGCAATCTGGTCCCAGGCCGTCCCACCGTCCCCCTTGTTTCCTAGGCAGACTCCCAAAGTCCCATAATTGGGCACCGACTTCACACCAAACCATCCCAGGCTAGTCCCACACCCAGTGTTCTGCCAGTCACTGACCGTGGTGTCCGTTCAGTGAACCCAAAGGGTGTGAATGTCGGCAAAGTTCAGTTCAAGTTCAACGTGAACGTACCATGGGGTCCCAAATTGTTCCTTATATAGAAACTGACTGTTCAATAATAATGCCTGCCCTTATGTCATTGTTTGGCTGCTTCTAACCCTCGTCTTAGTGGTGGACCGGTCTATCACCTCTTATTAGTATAGTTATGTGGGAGCACCTGATCCATTTGTAAGTTCTGACAGATATCTAGCACTGAGTCTGTAATGCGATCACGGACTCGACACGATTCTATGCGTTCATCCATCATCCGCGAGTGCCGAATCGTCCGATCCCCAACTTGCGTCCTTATGAGATAGTATTGTAAGCCAAGCAGTCAGCATCATCCGTTATCAGCGCTTCGACCTCATACAGACTGGCCTCAATACTCGCGACCATGTAACTATAAAAACAGGGTCAGTCTTGCTGTCTTCATCCAGCTAATCCACCAACAATGTACATCCCTCCATTCGATACCACCTCCTACTCCACCACCACCCAATCACCCAATCCGTCCTGGACATATGGCCAGAGAGTCGACGCCACTCCTGCCGGAAAAGACTGGCTTGCAGGCGAATCTGCAGGGTGGAAAGTTTACAGCACAGCAGAAATGGACAAGACGTACGTACCTTTTTTACCTGTTTATCAGCCGCGATCGTGACCGTGATCGACAGCAACCTCAACAAGCTCTTGAATTCAGGCATTCTACCACGCCCCATGTCACTCGTATCCACTATCAGCGAGGATGGCGTAGAGAACCTGGCACCCTTCAGGTAAGACACGCCTCCATAATCTAACACATTCTGCATGCTTACCTGGCTTGCATCCACCAGTTGGTTCAACACAGTAAGCAACGCGACAAACAACGCATCCCTCTAATGGTCTAATAACCTCTTCCCATAGGTCACGAACTACCCGCCTGTCATCTCATTCGCGATCAACCACAATGCTACGGGCAGCCTCAAAGACACGACCACCAACCTGAAGAACGGCCAAGGATTCGCTGTGAACATCATCAGCGAGGCATTCGTCGAGAATGCAAATTCGACTGCTGTAGATGCTCCTCCCGAGTTCGACGAGTGGGCTCTCAGCGGTCTGACAAAGGCGAAATGCGTACGCGTGCACCTTCATCATTCGATATATGCGCTAACAACGACGCGTTCAGGTGCAAATAAGAGCCTCACGCGTCAAGGAGAGCGCTTTTAGCATGGAATGCGAGGTAATTTCATTTCACGCCTAGCCCGTTCACTCGCTGACATCGTTGCCTCTCAATAGCTGTACAAATCGATAGATATCACGCACCCGGTCACAGGCGAGCACAACAGCACGCTCATCCTCGCGCACGTCAAGTACTTCCATGTGCGCAAAGACATGCTTACAAGCAGAGGTGCCGTCGACCTCACAAAGTTCAAGCCTGTCGCGCGTGTGGGCGATATCTCATATGCCCGAGTTGGAGATACGTACAGGATCCCTGTTCCATCATGGGCGCAGGAGGAGGCGAAGATACAGGAGGCATTGAAGACTCTCGCATCACCATAAAATAGAACGAGGGTGGCTTACCATTTCTGGGGAACATATACCATAGATCATATCGATATCAGCATCCAGGCGGGATAGAGTCCGTCGCTATTTCCTATCGCTAAGATAGACCTTTATAACTGACTAGCAAGCCGTACTATTTGCATTATAATGATCATGAATTTTCAAACCTGGTATCCTTCACACGATCAACGACAATCACTGAACACGCGGACAGTTACATTCGTGACATGCTAAATTGCTCTTTGAATGTAATGTCATTATTGTATCCATTGCAAGATTATACAGCGCTCTGACTGGAATCAGCATGAATCATTTATATGAGTATCTCAACGCTACTTACTATATGAAACATCATTAAAAGTTATACACTGAAGGACAGTCAGCGAGAGTGTAATTTAAATCACGACTTCACGAACATTTGTGTACTTAGACCGGTCAGTCACCGCAGCTTAAATATCATCAAGGTGACACATGATGCAAGGACTCGCAACTTACCGTACGGGGTCATGGCAGTACCCATCAAGGTGGCATAACGAGTGAGGGTAAAAGTAATTCTAATGACACCCCACTTCTTTCCCCAGATCAACTGGGCCTGCGAGCCAACTTAGCGTGCGTCGGACTCAAACATGGTCACAAACCTCTTGTGAAAGCGTCAAGCAGTAGTCGAAGGCCTGGTTCAAAGATGTGAAAAAGTACTAGGGATGACCACAGTTCAGATGCTCACCACTGCTGCCATCGCTGCAACTATCTCGATTGTCAGACGGGCAATGGGAGTGCTAGTAGCGAAGTGCGTACCTGTGAAATATTATCGATGTGCAAAGGCATTGAAACATAAGTGTTTGTACTATGGACTGGAAAAGCGATGGATTCACCTGCGCGATCTGATAACCTTCAGTCGTAGCTGACATGGTGAAGATAATGAAAGTATTCTTGATGTGCTAAGTTTCACCTGCATACCATTTAATACGGTCTGTCACAGCCCCGAATCTAGCACCGCGCATAGGTATTTCCTTTGGAATTGAAGTCTGGCCACAGGAGTTGTCATAGGAGTTGGACAGGCGTCACATCAGATTGTTCCGAGGATCTGCACAACCGAAGATACTGTACTTCAGGGAAGAAAAAACTGTGCAGACCGAAGTTAAGCATCTTTTGCCTGAAGACGATTCCATGTATTATACTATCATGATCATGATGGATACACAGGCAGTACTGTCGCAGTAATAAGTTGATAAAATTCTGAACGAGATGCATGGTTACAAAATATAGTGGCAACTGAGGTGGTATATTATGGAAAGCAGGACCACCGCGCTCTATTTGTCAGCATTTCTGGTGCAGGACTCCGGAAACCGCAGAGACAGAGCTAAAATATAATAGAGTAAGTCCTGCTACGTACCTAATATAGATGTTTTTCAACCGTCCTTATTTTCCCCGACTTCGAATCCTGGTTTTCCCCAAGAAGAAGTTGGTCATCAGTGGTATCACGCCGAATGACATCAACTTTTTCGTTGGGCATTGTGTTGAAAGTACGTCGAAGATCTCGCCCGTTGGCTGTGCAGTCATTAGGTTGATGTTGTTTCACCCAATAATTGACGGTATAGGTCATCCCGTGTTGGAAATCGTACGGGAAGGAAACAAGAAGCATGCGTTTGGGAGTCGGGGATCCCTTGTGCGCAACATTCCAATATCACGCACGCTACATAATAAGTCTTATTGTAGATCCAACTACCATTCGTCAACCACATGTCCATCTTCGTCATCGGAAAACTCCCAGACCACTAGACCAGCGTGACCAGACTCGTCAAGGTTGGTGTCTTCAATGAGAGATACATCAGGTTCATCCTGCCCTGCAAGTATGTCCAATTGTCGTGAATGAGATTCATCTACAACGAAGTCAGGTCTTTGTAATGTTGCATGCATGATGGAAAAGACGCACCAAGGCCCAATCCCCCACCTACACCACCCATATAATAAGCTCCATCGTTTCCGTCGTGAAATGGCAAGTCCTGGTGGTCTTCCAAGAGCGGTAAGAAATCATCGTCCAGATTGTCATCGGGGAGCACCATTGGCGGCAGCTGCTCGTAAAGTCGAGAGGTGATCTGGTGTAAGTCCAAATAGACATTCCACGCTGAGTGGCGATCGACAATGGGGCGGCCAAGCTCATCATAGCACTGATGTAAGAAATCACCGAAGTCTCGAGGGACAAGCTCAAAGACAGCGTGATTAAGATCAACATAGAGATTACGAACATGGTCTATAGCGCCTGGTTCAAGAACGATCTAGATAGAAATCAAAATACTTGTACTTAGCACATGCAAATGAAAATAATAGGAGACGTATCACACACTTTGAAATCAAGTGCACCAAAGTCACCTGGTGAATCATAAATGAGGTTTGGGACCCCATGAGGGAGCACCTTGAAAGTAGATAGTAGGCCATGTCAGCGAGAGTGAGGGAAAACTGGTATGAGAACTTTATCAACCTTGTTGCGATCATGTCGCTTCGCAGTATTGTTTATACGGTCCTTGTACCCATCAAGCTCGCGTTGCAGCCATGGAATAAATACCCATCGAAATATTAAGCTGCAGCCATCTTTAAGGACCGTAGTAGCATACAAGAAATGTATCACACACCGTTGCAAAGTGCTGTCACAGTCATACCAGCCAGCATCAACACCACTGTCTAAGTAATTCTCGAAGCCTGGGCCACATCAGTGAACCCGTGAGGAAAGTAGATAGCAATAAATAACAATATATAGTACATAATCACAAGAACTAGCATAATTTTGCTATCGACAATCACATTGTTATGTTTGGCCTTATAGAGGAAAGACGCGTCCCTGATTATCGTATAAAATTTTATGAAATGCCATAACGAAAGGGAGGTTCACAACTCCGAAGCATCAAATAATTGACATGAAAATATAAAGCTTTACAATGCTTTATCTAATTGCAAAATTTACATGATATCTGTCAGAATGATACTACCTGGAGTAAGTTAGACAGAACTACCGAAAGCGCCAGCATGACAGATTGCCTGCAACAACCTGCCATTTTGTCACCAGCACCAAATTATTATCATCCTCAGCACTCATTTTGTGAAGCAAATTAATTTTATTTATATTTAAATACTACATATGTAGCTACAAGACAAAAAGAAAACAGGGAAAGATAGCGGAGAGATGAATGAAAGGAGGGACCAAGGCCAGCAAGGAACCACGAGAAAAGGCCAACAAGGAAGGAGCCACAAGGAAAGGAAAGGGAAGGACCACCATGAATGGCCAGAGGAAGGAACCATGAGAAAAGGGAAGGACCACCATGAACGGCCAGAGGAAGGAACCATGAGGAAAGGACGGACCACCACGAACGGCCAGGAAGGAACCACGAGGAAAGGAAGGGCCACCACGAACAGCCAGGAAGGAACCACGAGGAAAGGCCAGGGAGGAACCACCATGAACGGCCAAGGAGGTCCACAAGGAAAAGGCCAGGGAGGGACCACCACGAATGGGAGGAACGAAGAGGCTGAGTCGAGAGGTGGTGGTAGTAGCGGTGAAAGAAGGATTGAAAGGAACTTGCGTGAAAATTTCCGTCCTGCGCAAACAATGACAAATCAATTTCAACCACTTGCGCTGGTCACATGATTTGAGGTTGTCCGAAAATTCTAAGGTAAAATTTGAGGCTAAGGTGATAGTCACGTGCATGATCTTGGATGACATTGTAATTCACGCAATATTTGAACCAATCTATATAGTTTTGTAAGTCAAACATAAATGAGGTAATATGATGTTGCTCAACAAACGGTACCTAATTACACTATCATACCTCGCTGGTTGAAACTCTCATAAGAATATAAATTAGGTTACAAGTGCTAACAGTTCTTTCCACGATAAAGTCTTATATCACTTGGTAGTTTAAAACATAAATGAAGGGATATGGTATGAGTCAACAAATATAACTTAACTATGCTATTGGATATTGATTGCTGCAACGGCGCAATGTTGTAATCTTGTCGCAAACTCCTCGTGGTAAAATGAATTTTCAGAGATTCATGGCTATGTACCGATAACTAATATTTATTGCTGTATACATAGGTATATTCAGCCGTAGCATAATGATATCATCTTATACTTCCCATGGCTACAAAATCAAGGACTCATGAATTCACTGATGGGAGTGAACCGGCGTCGTAACTGAGACCACATAATTTCTGGCATGACGTTTTTCTTTGTACGCATCCAGCGATGTTGTAGGGTACCTTGCAGTGTCGGGTCGTGCCATTGACGGAGCATCGTGTGCGCATTAGCAATACCAAAGTTCTCCGATCCTGGGTCACTTTGCGTGACCATAGGCATGTCTATAACACAACAACATCAATGGCATTATGGTAAAAAATCATAAAGAAAACACCTGTTCATGGCAGAATGATGCTTAACCATGCCTAATAAGACACACCGTGTTTTGTAAGTTTGTTTCGAAGCTATCAATGTGAAGCTTAACGTCCTAGACAGCGCTGCGCGCATGTCACCCGAATGATACCAGGCACGATAGCCCAATGGTTCCAAAGATCGGGATCTCTCTTGTGATCTCGATGTTACTCGAATGTTAGTATTTTTAGGAATGGAGTGCGCGTCACTGATCGTTCGCCAATGAATTTGATTGCTTCGCCAGAATGTTGTAAATAGTTAAATTAAAAAATCCCGTCCATGGCACTCCACTTTGAGAGGAACGTTGAAGGTACAACAATTCTGATGGTGAGTCTGAACAATGTTGGGTCTTGCAGAACCTAGCTGCTATTCGACCCTAAAGGGTTTCTGGACCAGGCTCAAGGCTCAGAGGAGAGGAAATATCATGAAAAACTGCTTAGTACTCTGACTCCTACTGGTAACTGGTGAAAAAATAACTTGCTTATGTAAGCTACAAAAGTGCCAACATAAGGTAAGGTAAAAACAGTCTCTACAAGCCCAGCCAGAAATGAATCCCTACAACGTATATCGGAGATCTCGCCGCACGGCTGCCTGACGCTTGGCGTATCCTCTTAGACCTTCAACCTCTGCCGGCTCGAGCCCTGTACGACGGTCTGCTTGCGCGTCCCACCACGTAGCATGCCACGAGAGGTATGCTGTGACACGCCTCATCTCCTCTCGAAGAAGTTGCACCTCCTCGACCCAACGCTTAGCTCGTGTGCGAGACTTGCACCACTCAATTCTTAAGGCTAGTGATATTCAGGTATCAGCCAATGCAGAATAATAAAAGAAAAATTTGACCTACATTCATTGAGCACCGTCTCCCCTTCAGGAGCGTCACTAGCTACACCGCGTGCTTTCCATATCCAGGACAAGGTACGGTTTCCAGACGATTGGCCTAGCTTGCCTTGAGACATGCCGCGAATGTCGTCGTTCTCCAGTTTCGGGAACTCCACCTTCCACGTAGTATGAGACAGAGCAGGAGAGAGATTTTCGAGTGCAGCCCACGCTCTCCGATACCTTGCAGCAGCGACCAATACGTTCGACTCGACTTTGTCGATGATAGCTGACGCGCGCGTATTAGCTCGCTGGCCACGAATATGAGTGTCTTTAAATTTGTAAAGATGTGCACGTAGGCGCAGGTGACGTCGGAGTTCATCCAGCGCATCATATGCCTGGGCCCTGCGAAGCTCCCACTCATACTGACACAGAGTGGCATCACATTGATGCAATGCGTCTGTGGATTGTTTGCAGACCTTGGAGGGAAGCCACAGTTCAATCTCGTGAGCCTTCTCTTCAGTCGAATGGGTCCTGCTTGTTGGCATATCCGATGCACACAGGCGAGCCACGACTGGCATGTACAAAAGTTGAACGTTGCTCCATTGTTCTATTTTGCGTCGTAAAACGTTGCCACGTTCTTGAAGCTTCGTGCACTGCAAGTCAGTTGGATGTGCTCCCAGAAGCTCGAGATCTCTCGCAAGCCGACACCTGCAAAATAACCTCAATATGTATATAAACCTCAACCACTTGTTTCCGCTCACGCGCGTACCTTCGCTTTCCCGTGCCTCGCACGCACCTGCGCGCTTTCCCGCGCTTCGCATTGGCCGACCAGTAGCGCCTTCAGCGCCTACTACCAGATCCTTGCTGCACTCGCTTCCCCTTTAGGGTCGAACGCACTTGTCGTCTCAAGTATAGCAGACTAGGCAACGCGCGACCTCACAACATTTACAGATACAGTCTGGAGCATCATTTGTTCCTCACAGTATTGTTGTTTCTACAGCGGATCAAAGCTTTCCATTAGGTGGCTCAAAGTAGCTGCCTAACCTCGCCTGTGCCTAACTCTGCCTAACCTAGGCGTATGAGATAAGCAAGCTTTGATCCGCGGTCTAATGATGTCAATCGCAACTAATCAATTAGCACTGTAGCCCAAGCACCCTCCGACTCGGAGGAGGCTCTATCTATGAGACTTGGGGGAGGCTCTATCTACGAGGCCCTTGGTTGTTCACATTCATGTGGTTGAATGGCCGCATGGCGTTGGCCACATGGCGTCAGATATATAATCTGTCTACTTAGGCTAGTAATTTCAAACTGCTTTTCCTTCACCGTGTCTCACCGTGTCTCTACCATGTGTGAGTTCGAGCTCATCTCTCAATTTACAGAAGATGTGTTTGCTGCAGAAGATCGTGTTTGTGAACGCCCTGTTTGTCGAGCAAGGATTGCAAAAGGTGATCCTTGCTTCTATGTCGGTACCGTCGACCCAGGCAAACCTGGCCGCTATGTCTGTGGTCCATGCCATTCCCACTATCTAACCATGCCAGCCACATCTGTGAGACCCACTGGTAGATCCGTTCCACAGCCGCAGCTCTCCCATACCTTCCCTGACCCACGCACGATCCGGCAAACTGTCAATGCTGCACAGAGGAAATGTACGTTTGTTGTTGATTACTGTTTGTGTCGTGCACTAGATCTGACCGAGACTCATACACACAGCAACAGTTAACCCCCCTCCTGTTATTGCATTTGGTCGTGGCATTCGTCCGCCGTCAATGACCCATTCCACTGGGCCAGACATCGCTATCCCATCGTCATGGGGGCAGCCGAGTCGCTCCTCAGGCTCAGGCTATTCAGTAAATCATGCGCAGTATGGCACCAAGCGTGAGCGTTGGTCAAAACTCTCATATGCACTTCCACCAATGGAAACCATCACACTCGACATTTCGGCAGTCCATGAGGTCGGTGCACGGAGGAAAGGACATTGGGTTGCAATTGGGGTTTGTTTTCATCATCACTCATTCGACCAGCATGTCACTCACTCGTCAATCATCATAGAATATCTGAGAAGGCAAAAAAGATGTTGACGCACGCATTGATGCTCCTGGGCTCATGGATATTGCATTCGACACTATCCTTCCTAAGATTTTGACTTTCAGTGCAGGATTCCCGTGGCGTATCGAGGAGTTTGTTGTCCGAGATGCAGTATGGGTTGACCTCTCTACGCACAAGGCCTCGGTCCCATATTTCATCTCACAATGCATGGTCCCAAGCAAGAAAGGATCGAAGGCACCCACATTCAAGACCAAGCAATTTGCGCTGATGCTCGTCGTTCCGGAGGCTCAATGGAATGAGTATGAGGAATGGGTAGAAAAAGCGGAGGAGATAAGACAGGTCACCGCTCGTCAAGTTCAAGTTCAACATCGAGTAGAAACAACGGAGAACGTAAGTTTGTTTTACACCTGGCAGCATTTCAGATGATTCATATCTATGCTACAGGTCTCTACTGTATTGCAAAGCGCCTCCGCGTCCACTCAAAATCTTACATCGTCAAGTGCCTTCGAGTCTACCAAACGGTCCCACAGGAACAATCTGAGCACCACCACCACATCTTCATCACCGCCTCACAAAAAGCTTGCAGTTGCGCCACCCAAAGCGCTGTTTAGCTCGCCTGATCGCAGCGACCTAAAGGAAGCACTGCGGAGTGGAGGCAGTGCAACAAACTTTGATGTTGCACAAGGTGAGTTTGGTGTCCTGTTCACAGTGGTGCACTGTTAACCGTTTCTCTACTGTTTTTCTTGCAGTGCTTGGCACATACACTGAGAACGTTCATTTCTATGGGATCCCCACTCGTCCGCTTGCAGATATCCTTAAGAATCTCAATTATCGTTCTTTTAAGGTAGAACCAGCGCAGGTGATAATCGGACAGCTGACAGTCAATTCATCTACGCGCAGCATGCTGGGGGCTGGTGGATTTAAGACTGCTCATCCTGGTTGGCTTTCTCTCACTCCTCTTGTTAAAAGTGGGCTAGGATCGGTTCCTGGTCAAAATGTTGCAGTGAAGCGACCGTTTCATAAGGTGTTTCCATCCGCCTCAAGCCTTATGTACAAAATAGGTCGTTTTTCGTCAATCGACGAAATAGCCAAGCTTGGCAAGGAAGCAAACATTTTATATTGGGCTCATTCTCTCCTACAGCTCACATATGCCTTCATCGATCACTGTATTGCCTCCTCTGAGGAACCTCCGCCATTTGACATCCCTCGTGTGCGCTTCGTTGACGCTGGCTTGGCGATCTCTTACTCTCAACGTGATTCCAAACCTACGAAGGCAGGCTCAAAAACAGGCTCGTCGTGTGTGGGATATCTTGTAGAGGAGCTTATTGAAGGCGGGCCAGACGTTTTTATGAAGTTCATTCACAACATGGACTCTAATCCTCTGCTCGATCACGATGATTATGGCTATGAAGTAGCTTCGTTCTTTTCTTTCACGCAACACGTGCAGTATGTAAAGACGGGTGGCTTGGCCTTCATCTCAGACTATCAAGGTAATTCATTGCTTTGCAGCTCGATACACTACTGACTCGGATATCCTGATAGGAAGCACAGAGCTGCTGACGGACCCGCAGATCCTAACAGACCCGTGCGTCAATATGTCATTCCATGCTCGCTTATATAATTTTTTGATTAGGTCGGTTGGTCAAGGGAAGGATCTTTTTGGCAAGGGGAATATGGAATGCACGGTTAGCATGTTCGAGAAACAGCACAAATGCAATGAGTTTTGTGAGTGGCCAGGGTTTGGATTGGTGCCCTTCGCCACGACAACAGAAGACGAAAGCACAGAGGAGACGGAAGCTGGAGAAGCCGGATGTAGGGAAGATGGTCCAATTGCCTCTTAGAATATTATCTGAACGTTCTTGCACGGTATTTCTTGGACTGTACAACAAAACAAACTTCTTACGGTGTACGGGGTACTCGAGAAGCTCCTGTCTTATATAGTACGATTTTGGCTGACAAATAGAGCGCGGTGGTCCTGCTTTCCATAGTATATATTCTATATATATCACCGGATTATTGGGGATAGTGTTCCGTGAAAACTTCCCGCTGAGTTTTGGAAGTGTTTTACATATATAGCAGAGCTTCGTTCAGTATAGGTTTGAGGCCGTATCAGTTTCTATTATTCGTTTACTAGTTTTAACTGATTATGGTTTTATCACGATCCTTCAATTGTACAACTCTTGATTCGAGCATACCGTACCTGCCTGACTGAGATCGACTCGATGCCAACGCAGGAATAATGATCGACTTAAAAGCAGATCCACGAGGAAAACGTCCAATGAAAAGTATATTGACGATCAGAAGGCATCATAATATGGTACAACCTGTGCTTTACTGCTCAGCCTGTTATGCAAGATCAGTATTATAAGTAACGGGGATCGATACGATAATTACATCAGGTGTTTTACCGGACTTGACGGAATCTTGCGACATTCTGCTAGTGTTTATGGACTCGGATTCACACCCGCTGCTGCATTGATATTCTGAGTATCCAAATTCGTGAAGTCAGGTTCTGATGCAGCACTGGCATGTGTGCTACCATCGTCTTGAAGAACCATCTGAAGAAATATTTTGTGTTCTGTGATCGCTTGGATTTCCCAAGCTGTTGTCAGAGCACGCATGCGCCTCCATTGCACATCAGCTTGTTTCATGACGACGGCTTGCGCAATTGCTTTTGAAGACAGGTGTTGCAATCGACCTTCGAGTAAAACTTTACCCTGGAATGCTGCTTGATTATCAAGAAGCTGCGGGTATGTACCGGTTAACGTACCTTCTCAGGCTGAATGTCCAGTAAAGTTCTAGAATCAAAGGGGGAAAGTTGGCTTGCAGCGTAGCAGCGCTGTAATGTGCTGGGGCCATGCCTCTCGTAGGGCTTGGGTTGTGCTTTCGCAGAATGCACATAACGAGACAGACTCCGGACTATGGGAGGAATTACAGGTGCATTTATGTCTTCATCGGATGAGTCATAGGGACCAGTGTCAGATAATGATAGTGATCTTGCACGGCATGTGGTTGGTGAGGTGACAGTACGACGCGTATGATGAGTCGTGCTATTGGCAATAGCCGAAGGGCGATGGAAATCTTGTTCACGGTCGTTCAAAAGGCTACTCGCTTCCCCCTTGTTTGGGCCTTCATAGTCAGGACGATGGTGTCTGAAGATGTTTTGAGGAACTTGAACAGCGGCCATACCTACAATGTGGAGTCTGGACTCTGGAGACAGCGGGGCTGAGTTTGTAATCCTGAGGTGCTTTCTAGTACGACAAAAATGGGTTTTCCCTGATAAGACTACGCTACTCCGGGCCCTTGGAAAAGCTATACTAATAACTTCGTACAGCTCATGAGGAAGAATTATATGAACACTTGCTTGAGAGCACGAGAATACAGTTCGAGCAAGTTATTGAAATTTGACACCAACCATGCGGCCATTGTGCTACAGAGTTCGAGAAAACTTGAAGCTAAACCAGGGCCACCGTTAACTACCTCTGAAGATGGCTCAAGTATTCGTGACTGATTTTGAGCCTCCATCTTGATTGCCTTGTCAGAGAGAAGGTCCAGGAACTCGGGAGTCGGGACCATGCCATCACGATCTAGACGAGCATCCTCACTACCAACAAACACCTGTGCAGATATCCAGGGTCATCCTCACTGACGAGATCCATGCTACCATCAAGCCATACATCCGAATCCTCGTTGGAACCATCACCTGCTTCACTCTCGTTTCTGTCAATTTCCTGGCCGAAAATAGTTTCATCGAGGTCGCGAAACTTGAGAGTTGGTTTCGGCCGGGTACTGTTATGTTAACAATAAGAATTGTACACTGCATTTGAAATTGTCAGCATCAAAATGGAGTACAACGGGGATGCACAAGTATATGATAGATCATAATCAGTCACGATAGATTTGATCCTGCCCGTACAATCATGATGAACCAGGTAGGCGCCAAAAAGACATGCATCGATCTCCCAATAGCCGCCCTCAGATCTCAGATTCCCTTGAAGACGCCCGACCGCAACTTGAAGCTCGCCTTGTGACATGTATACAGTACCATCAATGAATGGGGGATAGGCATAATGTCATGTGCTAATACTAGTTCGTATATGATCAAGTCTGCTCAGGAAACACCATTCAACACATCTATAGCAACAGATTAAATAATTTACTCAACGTCCCTGGCCTCAGGATACAACTCATGCGCCACCTGATCTGCAATGGCCTCCTCATGGTCAAGAGGCCCATGAGACTTCCGATGATCCTCACCCAGCTCCACCTCGATCTCCTTTTCCGGGATGCCGATGACTTTAGGATGCGCCTGACCCTCTGACTCGCCGGTAGCACTCATGCCGCCCGCTGGCACCTTGACCTCCTCTTTTCCCTCGTCGGGTGCTGCACTGGTCGGTTCAAATGTCACCGCGCTAATCTCCTTCTCATCCACATTATTAACCGGCACATCTTGTAATACCCTCATCTGGCTCTTGATTTCCTTCTGTTCGTCCTTCGCAAATACATCCCGCCCGGGCTCCGGCACACCAATAGGGACGGTGGTGCTCTGCTCGTCTTCGGGCGGCACGACCCCATCTTGCCCGAGCTTGTCCTCGACCACAATAGCCGCGCGCCCGCCGGGCTCACCACCAATAGTTGCCATCGGTGTGGACCGGTTCAAAGTAGGAACAGTGACACCTGAATACTGAGAGTACTGTTTGGCGTTTAGTTAAAGTGCTCTTTGAATGATATAAAACTCACATCGTCGAAAAACTCATTACTAACAAATGTTCGTCAAAACCCAAACTCCTGATGCAACATCCAAGACTCACCAGGCAAAGTCCCACGTCTTCACCCACTGTGCGTTGGAGCACTTCTGTTTTGTCCAGGGATTGCCATACGCCAAGGAACTAAACTTCGAGTACGTAATGACCGCTATAACCATGAGGACGGCAGCAATCTGTAAACGAATCTTTGGTCGTAGAGTCGATGTGGCGAGGTCGAAAACAGCGCAATTAAGCAGAATTGCAAAGTACAGCGCAGGAAAGTAGTGGTGAAGGAAGAGTTGACGGCCCATGAGGAAGAAGGGGAAGTAATGCATGCAGTACCCGACAAAGAGAAAACCGCAGAGGGAATCATACTTGACAACCTTGGCTAAAACAGGTCACCCGGATCAGAATGACACGAGACCGAACTGCACTAATCCTCACTGTTGTCAAAATCACGGTATCCTCTCTTCGCGCGAAGTAGGAGGAAGCCCCTGACGATCATGTATGTGATGACTGAAGCCGTGCTCGACCACCAAACAAATGGATTGCCGATTAGGTAGATCTGGCGATGATCCTTGACCCAGAAATTCTGGTATACAACTAATCAGATATGAATCACAATTGCAATCGTACAACTCACAATACCACGGCGAAGACGAGGCCAGGTCAAAGGCCGAGAGTCATACATGTGACGGTCGGTCAATCCAGCATTCGTTGTCCACATGACCTGCTGCAGCTCCCAGAATTTGGAGAAGAATCCGGGAATCTTGTAATTGACCTTTGGAGCATCAGCCGATACTATGAAAAGGTGGTTCTGAGAATATGCCCGATTACAAGATACAGAGACCTTACATTGTGGATGCTTTGTAGCAGTCTCGACGTACCATAGTGAGTTCTCCTTGACAGCGTTCTTGTTGCATGTGACCTCCTGCTGATCGAAGCCCCATTCAGGGAGTTTCACTTTGTGCGAGAAGAGGTAGCAGCCTGTATTCAAGTGCCTGAGCTTGAAATGCGTTCTTAACGTCCTCAAGCGTTTGCTCGACTCCTTATCACTACTGTCGCCCTTTTCAATCTCAACAACCCAGTCATCGTTGATGTCGCCGATAAAGCCAGGCATGCCGTACGCTGAAACCTCGTTCTGGAAGTCGACATCTGAGACAGGCGGGCGGACTTCGTGCGAATGGAGCCCCCTGTCCGTTACGAGATGCCTTAGCTTGATGTGGGAGCCGTGGTCAATATACACGATAGGCTTGTGTTCGTAGTCGTACTGTTCATAATTGTTGACTGTTGCGTTGAGTACTCGCCAGAGATTATTATCATCTCTATGCGGGTAGAGTGTGACTTGTTGCTCTGTCCAACTATTTAATGAGAGATGGGATAAAATGAAAGTCATACGTACGTCCACTTCCTCCAGGATAGTTGTGAGAATGGGAGTGCAGATAACCGCCTTGTGTGTTCAGATGTCGGATTGCGATATCTGAACCAAGGGCAACATCTATGATAATATGAAATGAGCACATCCATGCGCATGGCCGCAATATACGGACCTGCATACGTGTCCTCCATCCCCCGCCCCAGTGTCTGCCTGAATTCTGAGCTCATAAACGCGTCACCCTCTCCTGAGCTTCCAAGAATAAGGAAATGCAGCTGGAACATGGTCATGTAGAAAACGATGGGTATCAAGATGAGACAAACAGCCCGCGCAAAGAAATGCCTCGCCCACATCCTTGGACTGACACGAAGATCGCCCAAGAGAAGCCATAGTTGCAACATAGTGCACACACCAACCGTCGCAATTGTGAAGAGACCGACCCATTTGCAGGATACGACAGCGCCTAGGGACAGACCAGTCAAAGCGAGCCATGTCCACCACTCGTTGGTAAATGGCTCTTTCTTGTCCTCATTCGAAAATCCGACAAAAAAGAAGACGGTGAGGGCCGTGAAAAATACCAGGGGAGAATCCAGTAGGATATGGCGAGATTGTGTGACCAATCCGTTCTCGAATGTCAGAAATATTGATGCTAGTAGTGCAGTGGTTGCGCGACAGTCAAGAGCTCGTAAAGTGAGATATGCGATTGGGATAGTTGCGACTCCGAACGTAGCGGGTACCATTCGCATGGCCACGTATGGTGCATTTTCAAATACCCTAGTCAATGCATGCTCAACGATAGAAAGATGCCGTTTCAGACACACTCACTTCCCAATCTCCTTGAAGTCAAATTCACCGTTGAAACCAGATATGAAGGCCGCCGCAGTGATCAACAACTTTGCAAGTGGAGGGTGCACATCGACGAAATAACGCGTTTTGATATAACGCGCTGCAAATTTACCAAAGTGCACCTCGTCGAAACTGACGGATACGTCAGATGAGTAGAGTGAATAGCTGGTACACTCACACCACACTATCTGGTTTCGATATTCGGAACATCCTGACGCCAAGTGCAATTAGAAGGACAACCGCCAGCAGTTTCCATTCCCCAGATGTGATGTTGAGACCACCTGGTGAATGACTTCTTCGCCCAGGTCCATACCCCTTGGAAGCTGCTTCACGTCGTTCATCTGCGCTTAAGTGGTCTTGTCGTATTGGTGGATATTTATGAGACGAAGGAGCGACATGTGGAAGACCGGGTGGTGGAGTAGCTGGACGCCGCACTCTAACATTGGCGGCCATGGCATAAAGAACAAAGACAAACAGAGATAATGTAAAGGGAGTACTAGACAATGAATGATAGGAAAATTCGCTTTGGTGACGAGTGACGCACTCCGGCAGTATTCAGAGTTAGTTCTTGTTGAATTTACAAGGCTTTAGTAAACAGATGTAAACAATGCTTTTATGAACTAAGTAGACTACTTATAATGAAGTGAGTATCATGAGAATCAGCAAATATTGTGGTTATTAATAATAGTAGGTAAGATATGTGATTAACTTATTCAGATTCCTCATCCTCAGATGCTTCCTCTTCGCTCTCTGACTCCTCTGACTCCTCGCTTTCTTCTTGATGGGGAACAACAAGAACCGAAGTCCCTCCGTCTTTCGTGACACGAGCACGTGTCTTCATGATAATGTAACGTCTTCCAAATTGGCTCATCTTCAAGACAGTTGGGGTATCACCCTCAGGGCTGGCAATCTCTTCATCCTGGGGGAACACGCCAAGCCCCGATGGCGCAAGAACAATCGCCTCACCAGTCTGGACGTTTGCGATACGTTAGCAAAGCCTCCTGTTCGAACATCTGACGTACCTGGAGCTTAACAACAGTGTCAAATGCTGCATCTACAGACACGTCAGCAGAGATGTGCCGTGCGAGGTGGTCCCACCACGCCGGAGAAGAAAACCGATGCATAATAGCGACAGTACACAAGTCTAACAAGACAGGTGGCACCACAGTTGGCTCTGTGTTTTTGTATAAGCACCGCCCCTCGTCCGACCAAGAGCTGGAGTTACCTTGGGTAGAAATGATGACACGCATCCCTAAATGTCTCTGCTCTCTCGTGAGGGTCAAAATGGCCTTGGTTAGCCCTGAAACCCCTCTGTTTGTGGACAAGTACTATAGTACGTTAGAACGGCACAGCTTTAAAGAGATATCGAGCGGAATACCTTGTGGGCTTCATCGACAACAAGAACCTTTCCAGTTTCAACCTCAGCCCTCACGAATAGCCTCGTGACGATCTCGAACAAACCGCACGCAGAGCCTGTGTCAATGAATGGATCCGATAAATCAACAATGGTCAATTGTCCGGCAGCGAAACGACGCGGGGTCGATTTGGGAGCAAGAACATTTGATCTGGGTCCACTGGTATTGGCGTACGTCTTTGAACCAAAAGTGGCTGACTGTGGACCATTGGACACCATGAACGAATTCAAGAGGGCTAAACGCTGCTCAAGACCGGCAACTTGCGCGGGGTTGAACGATCTTTTCTCTTCGTCAAGTCGATCCATGAATAGTTTGTACGAGAACGACTCTCCCAAATCTCGGAGAATGCTCTGGGAAGAAGCGTCAGACTACAACACACCCTGGATGGACTGTCATTTATGACTCACCAAAACGATCTGGATGTAGAGTGGCGCGGAATCTGACGACCCGACAGCCATCATAGATAGAAAAGCTTGTGCATCTAACTCTGTCTCGTTGAATAATAGGGGAACCACTTCAACATTCTTTCCAAGAGGGGCATAAACGCTCTTCATAGTATTGAGAGAAGACTTCGACACGAAGACTCGCACTTTCGGCGTTCTTACACCCTCCATTGACGGAACACCGACCCATGCAGCCTCGCTCGGAAGAGAACCGACACCACCTTCCCCAAAGTGGAGGACGAGTCCTGCTAGAGACTGCTGCAGGGAACCTATTTCCTGGAGTTTCGGAATGAGCATGTTTTCGAGGAGGACCGAAACTGTATGTGATTTTCCCGAGCCTTGTACTCCGCACACTACAGCGGTGAATGGCGTATTCTGCAGAGCTCGTGAGATACACAGGCGAAATGTTCGGAAAGACTCACTGTATTGACATAGAGTCTAGGATCTACAGGGACGTAGGCACTTGATTTCGAACTTGGCACCGAATATGAATATTAGGGACACAGAAAGAGAGAAGCGACCTACTATATTGACAACACTTGACCCATCACTCCATATGGTGTGGAATGTTTCTTGTATCCAGCAGTGATATACGCTTCTCTTGTAATGAGAGGCGCGGCCTGTAGTTCGTGGTCCTTACTGAGGTCTGACGCGTCTACTGTCAAACTCCGGAGATGCTTCAACTCCACCTGCATCGTTGAGAAGCAGAAAGCCGACAGGTATGGGGAAGAACAAACTTTGGCAGCTTTCACTTTGTCAAGGTCATAAATAGGCTCGTTGATTGCTCCCGCGGGCTCTACTTGAGGTTCAATGTTATCGTCCTTTGCCTGTCAAGATATTAGGTTGCATAAATTCTCAAGGTCCAACCTGTATATACCACAGGGGGCGCCTCGGTGTTGGCCGACTTCTCTGCTTTTGGTGAGAGGGGAGCTCCGGAGCTCGACCTACCAGTCCTCGAAGAAAGCTAAGAAATTTAGTGTATCAGTAACAAATTAATTTTCACAATAGTGCAATTTGTTACATTAGTCCTGAACGTAAACGGAACTGGTTTTGTCGATGTTGAAGTCTTGCGAATGGTCGAGGCCACACCGGATGCAAGCGGATGTTGCTTGGAAGGCTGATGGAGAGCAGGTTTCCGCGATGTTACCTTTCCTGCCTTGCTCTTGGTGTCTGTTGTACTCGGAGGCAGGGCCGATCCAGAACTCCCGCCAGAAAACTGTAAGACCCGTTGGCGGAGCTACATTCAAATGAGTCTCAACCAGCACGCACCACAAACTAAAATCAAAACTGAGTGAGCAAGATAGAACTTCTATGACAAAGCTATCAAAAAAATTACACTGACCATCGGGCTAGCAAGCGTCGAAAAATCCTCAACACAAAGAGGAAATTTTGGAACAGGGTCGAGTTAGCCGAATGCAAAGACGCGTTTATATATATCGAATTAGGACACCGCGACCCGATCACGTGCTAATTAATTTCGTGAGGTCGACAGCCTAGGCCTCGAGTTACTAGGCTGAGAAAAAAAGCCAAGTGTACCGCGAACGTCTGCGGTACGACAGTCAACCCCCCAAAGAGCTGCTTTCAGTCATGAATGTGGCACAAGCTGACGGGCCGGGTAAGAGAAGTTTATCATAATATAATGATATATTCGTTTCATTTCAAGACGCGACTAGTGCCCGGCGAGAAGATATCATTGTTGCATTACTGCCACTAGCGGCCACGAGGTCACCAGCTTGCTCTTCTCCGAGTCTCCAGGAAAACATGGATCGGAGAAAAATTCAATTGTCCTCGCATTTGGTTACGACCGAAACCGAGGACAATGTGCCGGGTGCCCCTGTGAACATGCTGAGAAGCTGAAGATTTACTATTAATACGGCACCACGTGCTTCACCGTCACTCTCGTCACCTCCTCAAGGCCTCACAGGCTACAACAGCCTTGCCAACATGTCACCCACATCGAACTTGCTGGAATGTGAAGCTCTACTTGAACCTGACCAACACTATCCCTTGTACATCACTGCCAAGAAGTACTGGCTACCGGAATTTGAAGCTCACTGGAATGATGGGGAAGCAGTCACACTTGTTTTGCTTCATTCAACCAGTTTTCATAAGGAGACTTGGCAGCCTACCCTGGAACGTATCTTCCAGTGTTCTTCAGCTCATTCTAGAAATTCATCCAAATCATTGAAGATCAAATGCGCATGGGCAATTGACTGCCCTAACCATGGTGTATCTGCTGCTCTCAACGATGACGCACTTCAGCAGGCACCTTTTTACCGCACCTGTGAGTCTTTTCGGTTCCGCGATAACAGACGAACAATTGAACTGGCAAAGTCGGGTGCCGCAGATACGCAGATGCGGTCCATAGATTTATGTCTGCTGGACCAAGGTTCGGACCCATGTTTGACTTCCGAACCCAGCGTCTTGTCGGAATAGGTCATTCTCTTGGTGGAGTTGCTATGTTAGCCTTTTATTCTTCACAACATGCGCGCTCTCGATTCACAGGTCTTGTGCTAGAACCATATTGCAGAACATTGAACCGGCCTTCAATTTTTCTTCCGTCATCCTCGTGGAACCCATGCTCAGTCCAACTGCGGAGGCTGTGGAGCCATTGCGCCGTATTCTCATTAAATATGCATACGAACGAAGAGACGTGTGGCCTTCGCGAGAAGACGCGTACCAGAATCTGAAATCAAGAAAGCGATGTAAACGCTGGGACCCGCGCGTCCTGGATTTGTATATCGTACATCCTCTTGTCGTTCTGTTAAATTGTCACCCTAATGACCTCGTAGAAATTTGGACTCCGGACTCACCCAGGTGCGCGTCACCTGCAAGCGCCCTACGATGGTATCAGCTTAGCATGCTCACGTGATGAAGAGGTGGTACGCGACCAAAATCCCCTGTGAAATTGTCGGCCCTACTGAGCTCCACTTTCAGACGATGTACAGAGAACCAGACGGTGCAACCAGACCGGTGCAAGACTTGGACAAGATTTGCCCACGCATTCCCGTCAGCATTGTGTTTGGAGACAACAATGAATACATGTACGCAGTTCCTACAAACACAAGCTTGATCCTTGACGGACGGATATGCGGTGCTGTAGACCCCGCGCAGTGCAGGATGCCTTGATTGATCCGGCTTCAGGCAGGCGTTTTTCCTCTGTCACGCGAATCAACGGAGCAGGACACCTGGTATGCAGCTCAATCATTCCCCTTCTGACATCAAGTAATTAACTTTTACCAGGTGCCTCAGCATGCACCTAATCAACTGGGAGAACAGATATTCGATATTTTGTCCACTGCACCCTATCTCACACCATTTTCTAGGCTATAATTTATCACGCCATCTGCGTTGATTGGACGCAGTTGGTTATCGATGACAGAGATACTCGGACAGCTTCCAGTCTCGCCCATTCACCCATTGGGCTACCATCCTCACCGACGATACCTCTCCAATGTAGTAGCCTGCCTGTCAGGGCATCCCATTTCACGAAAGTTTCGTCAAGCCCCATACTCGTCTGCCATAAGTCCTCGACAATACCACCCCACGCACGCAGGGGATCAGGTACTGGTGGTTGAATATGCAACCCATGACCGTGGTACGGCGGCTTAGAAAGGATGGCAGGTCCGTTGTCCGAACTAGACTTGCTGAAATCTATGCAATGCTCCAGTTGCTCGAGAATGCCAATTACGACCATGAGAACATCCGACAGATGAAAAATCGAGGTCTGAGACGCTAGACTTAATCGTAGCGTGACGCGAGCGGCTTGTTGAAGAATGGGGAGCGATGGCGCTGCAGGACAAGAGAATGAGCCTCAAACCGGAGCGAAAGCAAGGCCCATACCACTGCAATTCTGTAAAACCAGCGACAAGCATCTGCACAGAGCATCTTGCCACTGACCGTTCGTAGCCCGCTGCAGTTTCGCAGTATTGGCTGTGGTCAGAATGTTTTCAAGGATCTTTAGCCAGGCAAGAGTGTCTTCGTTGATGTGTGGTAGTTTTACTTGCATCTCGATCCAGGATAGAAGAGATGACTTCAAAATGAGGGAAGTCGTTGCCTGGACATTGGAAGTCAGGTTGGCGAGCACCTGTAAAATAACTTGAATCAAGGGTTGACGAGAGTGTTACACTACGGACCTCCAGTACTGCGCGTCGCAACGCTTGATCGCGAACTGAGCTCTGCACAAGACTAGAAAGAAGATCCCATGTATGTCGACGTTTGAGCACCTTCCAATCTTCTGTGCTCATCATGCCATCAGAAAGGAACCTAACGATCCATCCACGCTCTTTCTTCCAGTCATCCGAACTGCCATAAAGCATGCCATATAGCATTGGCACATCAGTCACGTCGAGTTCTGGGCGCTGAAGAAGGAAACGCGCCGTGCGTGGGTAGATAAAATTGGAAGGATAAAACACCCCACGAAGAGCGTGAGATAGAATCAACGATGCAAACGAAGGTAACCGTAAGGGAGGACCATCGGGTGAGGGCTTGATAAGGTTCTTCAGGAGGTTAAAGATGTACAGCGCATGCTGCTTTTCTTGCATATCCGAAAGCTGACAAGGAGTGAGCATCCCAATAGCGAATAACAAGATAACACACGAACCTCTACAGATTTCCACACCCTTGCCAACAAGCCAAGCGAGGCTTCACGAATCTTTTCATCTTTTGCAGACAAGCAGCGGATAAGCAAACTAAAAACGTTCGATCGGAACGTCTGCACCCATTCAAGCGACGAAGTTGGAGGATGATGCGTAAGCATTTGGGCAACGAGCAAAGTTACGAATAAGGGATCATAAACCTGCTCATCCAGGCCAACCTTCTCGTCCTCCTGTTCGTCTGACATACGTCTCCATATCGGGAACACATGACAGGTTCTCAACATGCGTATAGGATCCATGTTTTGTACTGCATCAAGCTGGCTTGAAATAGATATACCAGGGGAAGGTGACCACTTGACGAGAATAGATGATATAGGCGTCAGCCTTTCAACCTCGAATAAACGGAAAATGTTCAATAGGTTTCGATCTGAGGCGGAGATGGTTCCACCGTATATGCGCACGAGTGGCATGATATGTGAAGGCTGACATATGTTAGTGGGGTGGAGTCGGAATAGGGCAGCGATAAAACGAATGATAAGATCTCTTCGAGATGACTCTTCAGAACCACATAGTTTAAAGAACTGAGGGTGTTGAAGTATATTCTGCAGAGTTCGATTCACAACGACGGGCTGAAAACATCCATATTGAGCCTGAAGCCACGTAAGATGACAAAATAAGATTACTTTGAGAGGCGAGCACTGCAGTAAGGCAATGCCAATATCGAGAGCAACAGTATCGGCAAGTCGGTTCTGAATGATAGTAGTCAATAGAGGCTCTACGAAGTATATTTTTGCCTTGAATCCTTGCTTGGTAATTTTCGCTGCCAAGATGAATTAGCCAAGGTACATGAGAAGGCCATTCAATCTGACTCACTTAATTGGGCTAAAATCAATTGGTCCTCTTCATCTTCGCCTTCAGGGCCAGAGAAATGGCGCACAGCCCATTGCAGTCCACGCTCAGATAAATCTGTCACGAGATCGGCCAGCGGGGAAAATGATTGCAAGCGGGAGGCAATGTATACGCTTTCGAGGGCGAATTGGTCGACAGCAAGGCGTTGCATATTCTTTTGTAGCAGGCTGGCGAGCTGTTGCTTCCGAGTTGCATCTGCCTTGATTAGGATGCAGATGCAGCGGATGCACAATTGTCTCAGGCCCTCAGGGTGACGACGCTGAGGCAACATACGATCAAAGAGCGCAATCGTAACGGTATCACGAAACAAATCGATGGCGTCACCACCGAGGGAATCCAAAACAGCATGCACTGCTGGTAGCACATGCTCAAACGGAATGGTCGTCCAAGCTCCCGAGTTAAACCACGCGACAAACTCCTTTGCAACACCGGATTGTGCATAAACTAGCCCGGACACAATGCGCGACGTAGATTCCGTCCAAATAGCCTTTTGAAACAGCCCCGAGATGAAATCAGAGGGCAGCACGCCCAATTGTGAACTTCCGGAAGCTGGCGGGTATCGAGGTGATAAGTAAAAGTTCAATGTCTTTGCTTGTGGATGCCGCCCGTCATGGCATGGCGGAAGATGTGAAGTCACTGCAACAGCGATCATTTCTTCGAGCACCTCGGAGTCAGGCAATACCCGATATAACCTGAGGAGCTGTGGAATAGGGATCCTCGAACTAGCACATGTGAAAGAGACCCTCAAGGTATCGAGGGCAAATTCCAGAACCTCTAGTACAGATGGCGTAAGGGCAACATTATTGGCATCGCACGCCTGATCAACGATGTCAAGAAGATTGTTTGGGTCTGTATAACGTAGCCATAACTTGATGGAACGTCCCTGAATTAAACATTAGTAACGTGGATATTCATGTATGGAGTCATCATACCATCTGCAGTGATCCTGACTGAATCGATGCCTTGAAACACTCCGTCCAGTATGTACAAATCGAGGAGACCATTGTCCTATCACCCTCACTGCTGGGGTCAAGAGACACATTGAGAAGCGCACATAGAGCTGCTTAAACAATTAACGAAAGAGCGCAAAATCACATTGAGAACATTACCTTCTTGCACGGCATCAGGCAGATCTCTAGACATGCTCAGACCATGGATAGATGGCGCCCTCAATAGGACAAACTCCTTCAGCCGAGCGCCATCTTCCTTTGAGAGTTCACCGAGCGCCCTCTGCATGATCGCGGATAGCAAAAGCAGCAGATCGCACACAAGAGATTCCCGTTCCATGATCGAGCAGATATCATGTGCGATGATGCAAACGGCATGTTCAATCTGAACCCGCGTCGGTGATCGGAGAAACAGACACTCCAGCATGATTTCGCGGCATTGTTGGTTCGCCATGTCAGCTTCAGAGCTTTGCGTGAACATCCAATCAAAGGAAAGCCTGTGAAGCATTTAGCATTCACAACGACGCAGGAATCAAGGGAAGGCAGGTGACATACACTTGGAGGAGCTGCCTTGAGGCAGTCTTTAGATCACCGCCTTCCCACATCAACGAATTCGTGGGGTGAAGGTTCTCGAATAGATCCTTGAGAGCAGGAGGATGGAAGCGTTCGACCACGACCGAAAGTCGGACGATATCCTGGGGCTGAAGTGTGGTGTTTACGAAGCGCAACCAGTCAACAAGTTCGTATGCGTTGTGGATGCGTGCACTTGAGCTTTCAGCTAGAAAAATGTAGTCAATTTCCATCGCAGTGATATTTATAGGCTGTACATACGCAAAAGTACTCCTTCGATTTTCGTCAGGAAGTCTTCGACCTCTGGACTCGTGCTAGAGTCCGAGCGTCTACGCACTCCCTGAAAATGACTGAAACACGTGTGCATGATCGACATTTCACGTCGGATCGCAGCGGTAACGCAAGAATACTTGGAAAACAAGTTTTCTGACATCGCAGCATCATCCAGTTTCCCAGAGAATATACGCAGAAATGTCAAGTCTCTCTGCTTGCTCGCCAGCTTGAACATGAGCCTTCTCACAAACCCAGCAATGGCGAGAGCATCCGATGGGGTGAGCAATTTTCCTGCTAGTTTCGCAGCAAATTGTTCAAGTACGGTCATAAGCAACGGACTCGGCACATCGACTGCTGAGTTCTCCATGGGTAAAAGATCTCGAAGAGCCTCGAAGTATCGATACGGTGTTTTGATGCATCGCTGTGCGCAGTCATCTAGAAAGGTGGCAACACCGTCAGATTCGTCGGTTAAGGCGGCACCATCTGGAGCTTCGCAGCCTGTGCCGCGACTGGTTGTTGGGAGAGAGTCGAGCCACATGTCCACCTCGTCGGGGTGTTCTTGGAAAAGTATGCTTTCAGCAAGCGTTTTCATAAGCAGTGACCGGAGGGTGCTCCGGACTGCTCTTGTGGGGGTAGCACAAAATATCTTCAGAAGAGCATGGAGGTAAGTGTGAGAAGAGTTCGCTGTGATCGAAAGTTAGTTAGCATTCGAAGCCAACGTTAGACATCAAATCATACTGACCAACCTTCCCAGACCAAATAAATTGGTCGCTCTCTTGTAATAATCGAAGTACATGCAGCTGCTTCAAGCCATGCAGACCACATACATTCCCAGCTTCGCCTATGGTATCCTGCGACGCATCCACAAGACCCTGCAACAACTTCCCTACATCGAACCTCGCCTCTGCGACCATCTGAGGGAAACACAGATGATACAACCAAAGCAATCTCTGAGCGCTCTCCCCAAGCAAAGCTAGTTTGACCTCTTTGGCATCTACCTTTATTTGTGAAAAGGCCACCACTACCTGGAATTCTGGCACCCTTCTCCGAGCCTCTCGTTCAACTTCTCGATGCCGACGCGTCCACTGCCCACTTTCGTCTTCCTCGAGTGCAGATTCAACGTCCTGGAATGTGCGGAAGACACAGGAGAGCTTGGTCAAGCACCTGGCTAGCGCGAGCGCTGTACAATGTTGCACAAGGTGGGAGGTAGACTGCAATCCTTTGGAGAAATGCACCTTGGTACTGACGGAAGGAAGGATGCTCTCGAGGATTGTTGAAAGCGGTGGTGGATCAGGTTGATAAATATTGTTTCCGGGGATGAGGAATGATGAAACTGGTACAGGTTGGGAGATGACAAGTCCAAAGAACGCGATGTTAGCTATCCATTTCGACGATAGACGGGGTTCCAACGTCAATGCTACAGCAGGCCAATATCTAGAATAGTGAACATCAACGGAGATCTTCCATTAGCGACGCTGCATACCCAGCGACCAACTCCGGACACGCCACTAGAATTTTCAACGCAAGTTCCTGCTGCCTGGCGTCTTCATTAACCTTGAGGCTCTTTAGTATGTTACTCAAGATCTTGTTATATATTTTCCCGCTCTTCTTCGGCTCGTCGACAACATCGGTATCGATATCACGAGGATACCATCCTCTGTCTCTGAAACAAATACCTAGTCCAGGTCGTGTACAGATAGCGAGGAGAAAATGATGCACAAGATCTGCTGGGATGTGATCACCATCCGCATTTTCGGTGGCGGCGCGTTCGTATAATTTCAGAAGCTATTCCAAACATTAATTATTCGCCTGCTAGGTCAAGTATTACTCACATGTCCAATAGTAATTTCAGCGAAAAGTCCAATTTTCATGGTCCGTTTCACTTTTGGATCAGACCACAGCCCAACCCAGCACACTTCAAGAACTTTCCGAATGACCAGATATGAATCTTGAGAAAGGCCTTTGAAAATAGACAGGAATACGTCTCTCTGTTGTTCAAGGAAAGTCGATTTCACCAGTGAGGAAGTTTCGGGGTCGATAAAGGAGAGAATAAAGAAGACGTAATAAGTGCGGATATCTGATTGACGAGATTCAGATAGGTCAAGGTCTACAAATGTCGTAGAGACATACCGGGCCTTTCGAGTACGTCCTCTGCGTCTCCTTTCCCTCTCCTCCTCATATGCGCTACTTTTGCCAACGTCTATATTTTTTTAATTCAGATCTGCGATCGTACGAAAGCCAACGCACCTTGATGTCCCATGGAAAAGCTTCATAAAGTGTCTTCCGTTCCCTTCCACCTCCGAAGTGAGAGATGGTGTTCAACAGTTTCAATGAGACGAGAAGGAGCTCGTTGGAACCAGAGAAATAAGAAGTAATTTTGCGCATCCATTTTGGCGACAAGAGCGTTTTGATGATTGGAGTGCCGTGCGGATGGTATGGGAAATGAGAGGACAACAAAGTAAGGATCGAGGATAATAGAGACACGAGGAGTGATAGACTGGACGACTAGTGCATTGCAACGTCAAAACGCCGAGAGGAAAAATTGAGACTGCTCGCACTTGATTCGTACCCTCCCATATCTCAAAAATATCATAAGCACCTGGCGAACTCTCCATCCATTGCACTACAAGCGAAAGTCGCTCATCTTGAGGAGCAACGGTCTCTCGTGTCTTGACAGACAGAGTTGAGCGCAATGCAGACAGGGCTACATGACTGAGTGAATATTCTTCGCAGTGATGATCATAAGCTTATGCACCTTCTATTTGACCATTCTGGTCTTGATTCTGCAGAGCACGTCTGACATCGGTCGCATTCGAGAATTCATATGCCTTCCGCGAGTTTTGCTCAAGTTTTGCGCGTTTGTGAGGACGCTCTGATTTGTTTTGGGGCATGGTCGGGTCAATAACTCGAGTCCATGAATAAGGAGACTATGTAAGACGCGCTGAATCTTGAATTTTACTCAAATCACGTGATTATGATCATTCATAGATCGAGTTCTATGTCCTTGCATTGACTGAAGGGTCTGTTTCTTAACCATCTTTCTGACCCTCGAAGCCGACGACGGCAACGACCCCCTCTTAGCTCCGATATGTCCTCTCTGCTTTCGCTTTATTACTGGTCGTGACTCTGGAGAAGGCTCAAAGTCGCGCCACATCTCCTCTTTCGCACCCGACAAAATGGGGCGCACCGCCGCCTTCCAATCCCAGCCCTCCCTTTTACCCCCCGCAGCTTTCCTAAAAAGGCCTACAATCGTCACTTTTCTCAACAGGCTCACGAGTGGTGCGAGCGAAAGTTCTTGGAATGGTGGGAGAAGTGTAGTTCCTACAAGCATGTCGACAGTGGGGATGGAAGACATAGACAATCGCTTTCGCCCTGCATGAGCTGTCTCAGACCGGGATGGAGCAATTGGTTCCCCGAGAGTGAGAAGGTGCGTGACTGTTTCAGGGCCAACGCTGGCAGGACCAGATAATTCTACCACAGGCTCTCTGTGTTGAATCCTCCGTTCCAGCACGTCAACGTCTGGAGGCTCCCGAGGTCTCATGTGCATGACGAAATCTGCGAAGCGATACTGGCCAGCCCTGTAGACATGGCCCAGATCCTGCTTGATTCGTAATACAAGACTAGTGATGACGATCAAATATGTCTGTAAGTTCGGCTGGAACCCAAAATGATCGAATGCGCGTAGCGTCATGAGAGCAGCGGGGTAATCCTCAAGAGCCATAAACGTTCGCAGTGCGAGGTGTATGCATGAAACTGAAATTATGTTAGAATGTGCCAGGGGAGCATTCCCGGTGCGCAAAAGATGGGACTGGACCATATCTCGAAACAACTGGCGCGGAGGGACAGCATTATCCGGGCGCTTGTGTCTCCGCGAGCGTTTTTGACCCAAAAATTTGGATGCATGGAATAATTTCTTGAAAGTGAGGTCGCTGGGTAAGAGGGAAGCAGAACGGTTGGTCATGATTGCGTGATAAAGCCCAAAAGCTTCGGAGTATTCTCGGCGAGCGAGGCTGGAGCGGATAAGCGTGTTGAAAACTGATATATCAGGCGTAACACCCTCTGAGCGCATGCGGTACAGCGTGGCCTGAACGGCCCCAGAGTTTTCTGGTTGAATTTCCTGTAATGTCTCCAGTATGCCCGCGTAAGGAGCCGCATCAGGGGCGACACCCTGCTTCATGCAGTCGCCCTCGTACTTCTTGAGCCAATTTTCTGCAGCACTCAACTGCCCCGCACGCATACACGCCGTTACCATGACGTTAACCATATTCCCGGACGCAGAAAGATCAACGTTGCGGATAGTAACGAAAGCATCTGCCATATCATCCACGATTTCGGTCATAGCTGTTACTTTCAAGCTGATATCACGACTGGGAAAGAACTGCTCTTGGAGCATTCTCTTGTAGACCGAGATAGTGAGCTTGTAAAGGTCCCTTTCGAGCAAGAAACGGATGAGTCGGTTGAACATAGTCGAGCGATATACGTTGTTGAATTTCGCCACGGAAATCTTGTCATGAATAAAGGTCTCCACATCGTCAGGACCCTTTGCAAGAATGCGACTGTCTATAGAGCGCAGAAGACCATTGACGCGGGATCGAAACACGCGTCGAGCGGTATTGCTAGAATTACTGTCTCGAGTTTTATTGTATGAGCTTGTCTGGCTTGGAGGGCGCGAATTGAGAGAGTATGAGATGGAACCAAAAAATGAAGTAAGTCTTTGTGGAGCAAAACGTAGCTTCAGGATGCGACGAAAGCTAGATTGAAGCATGGAGAAGTGGTCGCATCAATTGAAAGCTCCTTTCATGAAAGTGTGATGTGACTATGCGTGACAGGCACATTTCAAAAATTTATCAGTGCACCACGGTAGACCACGGTCCACCACCTTACGAGTCCGACTTACTTGGTACACACACTTTGCTGACTTTGATTAAGGCTGCATGCTTGTAGTACAGTTGCGGACAAGCGAACTCGACTTCGTGGATTTTTTTGGCGTCAAACTGAGTATGGGAATGGATTCAGAAGGTCAAATTAAGTACCTGATAGACTAAAACTAGTGTCATTGCCATTGAATTTCCCTACACATTTTCAGACTAGCCAAAAGTTTATGCTTGTGCTCTGTCCAGTACCACTTCCTCGCGACACAGTGCTGAGATGATCACTACCCTATATCCTTCTACAATTCCTACGGCTACGGTACGGTACTACCAAGTCACGAATTCACTGATGAGTATGCGTCACGTGACCCAAGCAGATCTACATCGTCTCCGCGGCCCGCGGGTCCTGATAGAGTCGTGGGTGGCTGAGCGCGTGGCCTGCCGGCACGCTAGAATTCACAGCCAGGAGCAGCATTGGTGGAGACTGGTGTGATGGTAGGTGTGGTGGCAGAAGGCATGGCGCTACAGACGGAATGCAAAAAAATAGATGAGAACCATGGAAACAACTTGAAGGGGACGGCGAAGAACACACCCAACATATCTTGGAGGCACTGCAGCAAGGCACTCGATCAAGTCCGCCGTTCTCGCTTATACGTTCAAGCCATGCTCACGGCACAGCGCTTGCCATTGCCGCTTTACATACTACAGGAGGGAGTGTCATTATTTACTCCCCACCTATCCTCACAGTGTGGCATACAAGATACATCAATTGCACGATGGATTTAGCGTAGTGTGCGTTCACATCAGGGTGTTACCGTTTTGTTGCGTTTCTTTCTTTTCTAATATTTCCAATAGCGCTACCAACGTTCGAAACTCCGACAATCGAGAACATGGTCATCCATGTTTTATGGCATAATTTGAATGCTTCCTGTGGTCGTCTCGAGGACGATACCTGCAAACTAGGCTATTTCTGGCTGCGCAAACTGATGCTCTGTCGGCACCACACCAACTCCATGATGCAAATCGAAGATTCCGCGCTTATCATTGTTGGCAGCCCTCACTTGGCCAATCAAAGTCATCTTCCCTCCGACTCATTTTGGTGATCCGAGCATTGGATGGTAGTATAAATGTCATTGCCATACGCCTACCAAATTCACCTCTCACTCATACCTCTTTTTTTCTAATATGACCATAATCTTAAATGATCCCACTTGGTGGCCGGTCATCAATTCAAATCGTATTTCCAGCTATGTTGCAGGTTCGTGGAGGGCAGTCGCATGTTGAAGCGGATGTCTCAATCTAACCTTGACTTGGTCTCGTAGTCGCCTCCGTTATTATAGTGATGTATGATTGGGGTGAGCATGATAATATCAAAGGACTGCTGATATCTTACAAGTATCTTCAGTACTTACATTCGGACAAGAGGTATGTCAATGCTATGACTGGAGCAGCCATCTCGCTAAGAATGGTTTTATAGGTCGAATTGGTTTGGGTGAGCAAAGTCTCATGTCAGAGGAACATAATGAAAATACACTTAATTACAGAGGCAACGCTGGTCCCTAATGACAGCCATGTATCTCGGTGTATGTAGCTTGTTTGACGCAGTTGCCATGTCGTGCTGACTTGAAAGTACCCTAGGTGCGCTACCTGGGAATCTTATCTGCTGCGTATGTTCGGAAGGCTAAGCAATTGGTGTTGTACTAATGGTCCATCTCATAATCAGCCTGACCATCCCGAGTATGTCTCCTCAGTACATTCCATGTTTTTGTTTCTTCTGACAAACTCGGCATACAGACGAGCTTCCGACCATCTCGCTGACAGATACAGCGAGTCTTCTGCACAGATGCCTACTATTCTCCTCCAATTGATCAGGGTGCCCTGTAGGGGTGGGTGTGGTTCCTTACTAAATTCAAGGTTCACTAATGACTGCCGTGCTATACTGCAACAGATGTGGGACTACTAGAGGAAACCATTCTCTCCGGTACTTATCAGTGCTCGATTGGAATTGTGGAACAGTTCACGCTTCTGGATTCTATTACTTGGATACTCGGAACTGTGTGGGAGGTCCTCGTACTATGTCTTTCAGTCTGGATTGTTGTCAAACACTTCCGTGAACTGCGACAACATTCGGCAGGAGGGATTATTATTGCAGACTGTTTCGCAGTATTGATGAAAACTCACGTGCTTTACTTTGCGAGGTGAGCTCATATTGTAAGTGTGATTCCATTGTTCTCTGAAGGATCGGACGTGGTAGCTTTGTTGCTGTTTCTTTCCTCCAGCTCATTACTCAGTTCTCTCCAATGTTCTTAACGGTATGTCAACCTTTCACTTACCTATGCATGCGGCTATGGTTCATCATTTCTATAGGACCAATATTCCCTGAAAGCTCATGTTTATTTTGGCTTGCTCCAGATTTTGGAGGCTGTGCAATCGTTTGTGCTGGGACCACGCCTGATCCTTGGCGTTCGAGAATCTAACGCAAAGCTCGTGACCAATTCCAACACAGCAACTGCCATGACCTCAATTGCTTTCCAAGAGCGCGTGCACATATCGACTGACAACGGTGTATAGCGAGGGAGATGCTCGGTGGAGCTAATGGTTGTCTAGTGTTATGCAAGGAGCAGCAGGCGAATTTGTTTTCCTTCATTCCCACTTTTGTCTTAGTGTTGATTTATAAGTTGTGTAGTTTGCGAAGTGGACTCTTGTAAAGGAGATACTATAGGTCTGGGCAATGTAGCATTTATCAAAGTGAGTAGCTACAGGTCTTGACAATGTTTAAATCAATTCACTGGATATCATCCCCACTGCCCACCCACACTTGTACCAACGTTACTGGTCATTCTATGTGATGACAATCATCCTTACGATTGCCTGGGCAAACGTGCGCGAAAGCAACGAATCGTGCAAGACTGCTGCAGTTCCTCAGGAATCCATCCTTGTCTTCTGCCTAGCTCACGCCAACTAGCTTATAGTGGATCCACACAAGATGATTCCAAGGTGTGCAAGGCACGTCCGTGCACGCGTAGCTTAATGTTAATGATGTGAGGCATACTTAATGAGTTGGGGTTGCTTTTTTTCGGCGAGGCGGAACATACGAATGAGAACTCATCTGAGTTCTTTTAGGATTATGAAGCTCGATTGGGGGATACATGTACCATATTAAGCATTGTGCTATGAATGCGGTGAGTGAGCTTGAATGAAAAATTCCTGCGTCTTTCTGTAGTTGAGAACCCAGCGCCTCGGGGTGGTCAGGGGAATTTGAAGGGATCTGATCATCCAGGGGACTAACGTCTCAGCATCGCATGCCACACATAAAACGGCTTGTTGGTATGGTTCCAGAATGGTGACACCGACGCACCCAGGAACGAACATGTAGGCACCAGCACCAGCACCAGCGATGGCGCAGAAGTGGTGCTTCTGCTGCTTGATGTCAGGTTGTAGACATGATGGTGATTTCGAGACAGTCGGAGGTGCGGATTTCATGATGTAGCTAGTCGGTGGCAGAGACCTCCTCCAGGAGTCCAGGACGAGTAACAGGACTTGGAAAGCGATTACGTGGATGCGGCCAAGATATCTTCGACAAGCTTGACAATGGCATCGAAGTTGGGACCCTGGTTGAGGATTTCGAATTTGGAAGGCACGTGCGAGATTGATGTCATGTTGCACTCTGGGAGATTTGAGGGCATTGAAGAGCTATGATTTGAATTTGGAGGGCCATATATGGGTGACTATCATTATGTAAGAAGATTCTTGTGTGACAAGGGCCACCTCAGGCAGCACTTTTCGGTGCTTATAAAGGGTCTAAGAGACCCGGTTTCTATGTTATGGGAAACTGGTCTCTGAGACCCACCCTCCCGCCATCTAATTATAGCTCGTGCTCTTTCATTCCCTCGCGGGCCTCCAGCACCTCTTTACAAGCCTCCATTAACCATCCCAATAGACCTCTAGGACCACTCAGTATTACTTCTACCCTCTCAAAGTCACTCCCTACTATAGACCGAATCTTAACTTTATTCTCATCTGCTCTACAGTTTTCGGCAAATACCCACTTTGTAGATCGTTCAAAATGCCACGCGTGATTTCAGTAAAGGTCATCGTCGACACGCGGGAAGAAATTCCCAAAAAACTGAAAAAAGTGCCCGCAGCTGCGGGCACTTTTTTCGCATCTGAGGAAATTTGTTTCCACGGTCCAAAGATACGTCATACTTTCTTTCTTCGAATTTGACTCACCCTAGCAAATGTCTTGGACGGCCTAGAAACAATGCGTACTTGCCCTCCTTGCACCTCAGGCCTCATTGCCCTCTTCCTCACATTGTTACCCTCCTCTCGGCACCTTGTTACCCTCCTGCGCACCTCATTGACCTCCTCTTGGCACCTTGTTACCCTCCTGCGCACCTCATTGACCTCCTCTCGGCACCTTGTTACCCTCCTCCTGTGCACTTGTTGCCCTCCTTTTTCAATTTTTTTTGGGAATTTCTTCCCATGTGTCACATGGCTTTGCGACAAGCTGTCTGGCATCTGTAATATGTATGGTCTTTGTGCACGTAAGTTGATGGGCATTCTTCTCGCCATGACTCCAACTAAATCCCTCAACACTCGTTGAGTTGCCTGGCGCACAACTCAAGCGTCGTCGGCTACTTGCTCAAATGCAACGACTCTTGGATCATGCACCCTCCCAAACAGGGTCTTCTCCTTGTACCGTGTTAGGAGGTCATGCTGATGAAGTCAACAAGATGAACATTCTGGACGACTTGGATTTCACAGGCGCTGAAGTTGAAATGTCAGGGGAGTCATTTTCTGACAGGCCTGCAACCTTGGGGAGCAATTCACACAAGCGACGTGTTCTCCCCGATAACCCGACAAATATATTATACAATAACTGGCGAAAGCTCATACCTACACTCGTGGACCCGCATTTGAAGTATTATGCCCGAACTATTGGTCAAGGCTTGGACAAGCCCCACAAAGTGATCTCAGCATGTGCAACTCTCTCCTGCGCACAGAAAAAGACTGATTTATTGTGTCTATTCTTTGACAGTAAGTACTCATGCTTTCAGCCCACCTGATGATCTAACGAACGTCAAATACATCAACAGGATTTGAATCGATCGAAGTACTGAGCTGTGAATGCTCCAGCCTTCCGCAGGTCCTCCTTCATCATGGGCTGTTCCCTACCGCACCTTTACAACCTCGTATGGCAGTATCTGTTGATCTACTCTCCTTTTATCGCGCACTTTTCGAGCGCTCTTGTGATGCAATCAATGCTCTCGCATCGGCTCTCAAAACGCACTATTCACGCAGAGGTTTTCAAGTTACTGACTCGGAGGTAAGACATATTCATATGAGATATCACATCACTGAACTAGCCCCAAGGGTGAAATCGTGCAGGACCCATTTCGTCGTGGTCTAGGCCATGCTGTACAGTGGTATGATATCCTACAAGTCGAAATCGAACAGCAAGTGGACACAGTCCTCCAACACAGCCGAGACTGTGTGGCTATTCACCGACCACCCCAACCACCTACTGTAACCAGGAATGAAAGTTCAGCATCAACTATTTTGCACTTTGCCCGATGTGCACCACTTCTCGCTCAGCGCTGCCCAGCATGCTTTGGTGGGACACTGTATGGGAGGCCCATTGATCAAGGCGCGGACATACATGTTGCTACAGATGGGAATTTTTATCATCGCCACCGACGTTCTGCGGGTGATTGTCCTCACTTCTATGAACCGACTTACTTCCTTTCAAAACAGTTTGTTGATGCAGTTGGACGCCGAATTGATGGACAACGTAAGCGACCTCCGAAGCAACACACATCCCTCGTACCTGATGAAGCTATCGACCAATGCGAGAATGCATATGAAGCAGCTGATGGGAAGAAACAAAAAACTGCAATGGACAGCTTCGACGACACGGGAATCATGGCCCTCATCTGCCGTCATGATATTCCCTTATTTTTTGCTAACATTGATTCTCCGGGCGAACAGCAGAAATATTCGGTAGCGCTGATAGAACATCTGTTCACATTACTCCCTTCTCAAGCCACGGTTGTTACCCTCTATGATGTAGGTTGTGTTCTCGCTCGGTCCCTCTCAAAGGTATGTACACAATTGTAATCAGATTTATTACTAATTAGTTTTAGTTCGAGATTCTCCCCCCTGATGTTGTATCACGTCTGCGCTTTGCGACTACGGCTATGCATGCCTATGGTCATGAATGGGCCTGTCAGCTGGTGCACAATTCACGGATGTGTATAGGCCTTGGCTTATCTGACGGCGAGGGGACTGAGCGGCTGTGATCACGGTTTGTTCGGTTGATTGGTGTAGAAAGGTCATCATCAGTACGTTACATTATATTACATTTAACAACATACTAACTACCTTGAGTCATTTAGCGCCAACGCCGTCTGTGGTTAATTGACCGCCAAGCAACTGCGATAGGATCAGAAATGAAAGCAGACCTCGGAGACTGGATCAAACACCGTCTCAAGCGGGGCATCAATGCCCAGAGCTCTGCTGCCCTCGACATTATCAATCACTGTGAAACGTCTGTGGAGGACCTACAGGCTCAGTGGGCTCACCAACGACAATCTCAGCTCTCGATTCGCGCTCGTGAGTTAGCCCATAGTATACACACAATGAGTACTTATGTTGGATGTTTCTAGATGCTCCTGCTCGTCTCAAGAAGGAGCTGGATACTGTTCTCGCTCTACAAGCTGACTTGGATGTGTCAGATCGAGCCCTGCAGACTACTAGGACTATGCTGGAGAAGGAGGCATCATCCGATGACACCTTCAATGTCCTTGCGAGCCTACAAAGGGGCCACGATCGTCTAATGACTAAAGTCGAAGCATTATACTCTTCTCTTAATGTTCAGGATAGATTCCCCGAGCTTGACGGAGTCAATCTCAACTTCGTCCAGGTCCTTCTTATGGCACGTGATCTTAAGATAAATATTCGAAAGCGTGCTATTGCCAGCTTTTTTGAATGGGATAAGCTTGATCGTGCTGTAGGTGGATCCCACCAAGCATTAGGTAACCCTTCATGTATGACCGTTCCTCCATTCTAACCTTATTGTTCAGGGACAAAGCTTCACCAACACACTCGCAAAGCTATAGCGAAACGCCAACCTGCTCTCATGACAGCAATTAGAAAATTCAATTCTTACTGTGAGCGCTTAGAGTCGCTTTACAATCCTGCTTGGAATGTCCCGCTTCCTACTCCCCTCCCGACAAAATTAGCTGAACTACGTGCTGACCAGACATTAATGCAAGATGTCTGGGTTACACCCGCGATTGGAGACGTACCTCGATGGTTGGAAGACTCAGACATTAGGGACGGAATTCGTGCCCTTCTTAAACGTGACCGGTGCAGGGAGGAGCAAAAACGCTTAGGCATGGAGGCTGACAATTTGTGTCGCTTCTTTGAAGAAGAGCTGACAGCATTGGAGCTTTCGATTCGATTGTCCCAAAGTATGTATGGTTCCCACTTAATCATTCAAGGTTTCATTGACGAAATTTCTTATTTATAGATGAGCGCTTCCTCGTTCCATTAGAACAGAGGCGCTCACATTTTCTCAAACTTAAGGTGCGATGGTCAAATGCACTAGCATCTTCGGTTCGATTTAGCAGCCGTGCAAAAGAGGCACTAAACAGGGCTATAATTTACTCTGGAGGTACTCATGGTACCCCTCTTCATTTGACGAGTGTGATAGTGCAGGATCCTGTTCCGGAGGATGAGCCACTACTGCCCGAGGCAGATGACCCCATAGAGGTTGAGCCAGAGCAAGCTGCACTTGCCGACATTCTGGAGGGTCATAGTGCTGGAGCGGATTTCAATGAGGATCAAGACTTAGTGTCTAATGTTTGTGCTGACATGGTCTGGGATTGCCCTGAGGTACGTCAATATCGTTGATAGGCCAAATATCACTAATGTATTGGCAGGGTCTCCTAATTGATGACTTCTGCGTCCCATCTCAAGACTTGCATGTCATTGTGCCTGGACGCATAGTAACTAGAACCACATCATCAACTGGAGCCTTCCCCTCCCAAGTGTTCGAGCCGAGAGACATAACTTTTCTCACTCATCCGACCGCATTCCTCAATGATGTGTGTATTAACGGTTGCGCTGTCCTTCTACAAATGGATATGCCAAATCCTGCCGTGGCTGTCTTCTCTACGCATGATCTTCCTCGCATCCGCTATAATGCAGCTGACGATATGCTCTGGCGCAATACATCATCCACACGTTATTGGGAGAAAGATGTGTGGGTTCTTCCTATTCATAGACCATCTGGTGTTGGGCATTGGGTCGTTTGCGTAATCTACTTGTCAAGAAAAGAGCTTCATCTCTTTGATAGTCTAGCTGAACGGAAACCATGGAAACAGGATGTCAAAGTCGGTTTCCTTCAACTTTCATCCGATGCTCACTTTGATAGATTTGCAGGATATCATGAAACTCATCTGTCGACTTCTGATGGTGGCACGTCAACGAAATAAGAACGTTCACATTGACATGGATAGATGGGTAGCTCGCCCATTGACCGTAAGTTCAATAACATTTCTCTCCTCTTAGCCCTCCGTTTTTGATGATGCACGCAGGTCAAACCTCTTCAGACTAATGGTTATGATTGTGGTGTATGGGTATTAGCAACAGTCATTGCTGTCCTACGTGGACGACATCTTACGCAACTCCGAGAGGATGAAATGAGTGATCTTCGATCTCGCATACTTTCTATACCACTATTCTAGCATGCATGTAGGTTCAAGCCAAGTTGAATTAGTGTAGTATGATGTCTAGACATATGGATTCTTCCCAGCAATTAGCAAGTCCTTCTCCGTTTGATAATTCACGATCCTTCGTGCTACCCACTGGCGGTAGCATTCAGCCATGATCTTATGTCTTGCACATGCTTGAAAGTGGGAGACACAAGTATGAAGCTCATCCCAGCGTGAAATCAAACTCTTCTGCACCTCTCGAATCTCCTCAAGAACCCTGTCACTCTCTCCCATATTATACATGGCTGTGCGGTGTGCGCAAGATTCCCTTTCAACCCGCAAATGTCGTCCATGCATCACATCGACAAGATTATGAGTAAAACGCTCTTCCTCTGGTGAGTCAGGTGGATCGGGGAAATCGTAAGGAGGTGATTTGTCCCATTGCAAGAGGTCAGATTCGTCGATCAAGTTTGAACCAGCAAGAGATTGGTGAAAGAGATAAGAATGGGGCAGGGGGAGAGCCGCAAATTGAAACAAGGAGGATGTCAGAGGTGCTTCAGACTGGATCTTGAATGTACGAGGTCCACGTCGACCATTACACTTGGCGTAGGCACAAGCATTCTGAGCTTGCCTCATCATTTTACCTCTGTAATAGTGAAAACTTGTGAATCAGACCTGGACAAGAGTTGTATAATGCTTACCGTTGTGACTGAGAATATGATTCTCTGTGTCGTTGTGAGGCATCCGCTTTCTTGTCTAATGTAAAGTACTTTGCTCGTCGGCCCATGATAATTGGGATAAGCAGATGAATTGTAAAAATGGTCCCTAACAAGATCACGGTTGTTGTGAAGTCCATACTACTGGCACATTGTGCTGCATTGGAGAAATAGAATACAGCCAATGATTGACTGTGGTGTTCTTGTTCAAAATTTGGTATTAATACAATGGGGCGTGCTGCTAGAGTTCATGAGGCTAGTTCAGACACCTTGAATGGTAGTGAATGCCCGTATGTTTGTCTTTTTAATTCAGTATGATGTATATATTCAAGCTCATTGGCTTACAGACGGTTTCCACCTCGCAGGAGGCTCCCAGTAGCCTCAATGCCAAGCCTCCAGGCAAACTGATAGCCCTCTTGGGTGCTTGGTGCTACTGATACTACATTATTCCATGCTCATTTACTAGTTTGGTAAGGGCACCAGGAAAATGCTGCGACTGCTGCAGTATTTGCTGGCACGACACAACGAGTATGCTACTAAGTACATAGCACCTAGAGTGGATTGACCTCCCGCTGGAAGAGCGGGATGTCACGGGACAGTGATATACCCTGCTTCGATCACGGGTCATCGTACATATTCTTTTCGAGTTTTCTCGACAATAAAATAGACTAAATTCAACATTAGTTACACAGTATTGACAGTCTTCTCGCCTTGCAATGTAGATTGAATCCTCGAACTTCTCTGCTCACCGCTTCCTGACTCGGCATTGTCCAAGTCGACAGTAGTGAAAACCCCACCCGTAGTAATTCGCGTCGTGTAATCATCGTCATCGATAGAGATCGAGTCGTCCGCACCCGCGGAACTAATGATGCGGTACAGGAGAGTAACTATCACAAGGAGGTTGCAAACAAGAAGCGACAGGGCTGTCTGGTACGTTTAACACTCAGATTAAAGTACCCCTAGAAAAAAATTTGACTGTACCTCGAAGTCTGTCATCAGGGCAAGAACAGTGATATATTTCGATATTTGACAGACTCCCCGGAAGATGGATATAATGGTGACGATGATGCTGGAGGAGAATATGGCGAGAATCATCCTTTTTTGTCTTTTTGGCAGTCTGAGACTCCAGAGTAAGCGCAATGGCAGAATAATCAGTATTGTGTCGGATAAGCAATCAGCTTACAAAGCGTGTGAGTTCAAGTCGTGTAAGAGCCACAAGAAAGTCGCACTTATCAGTTCGAACATGATCATTGGTTGCGTCATAAGTATATGCACCTTTCTAGTTGTTTGATACCAGCAGGTGTTATGCCCATAATGCCACGCTTTTTGTGCAACAAGTCCTGCCCACAAACCGAGGAAAAGACCAGCAAGACAGAATATCAGGCGACGGAGGTGCTGCGTTGTGTAAACAATGCGAACGATGGAGAACAAGATACTTTGCCGGACAGCCCTACTTATCCTTGAGAATCGATGGTGCAAATTTAAACACGAAGATACTTACCACACGACGGAGGGGAAAGTAAACGAGTACACCCAGAACGATATAATTCCTTTTTCACCCACTGCAGGCAAGAGTTCAATAATGAGTAGGCAATATGCACAAGCGGACTCCTTTTACCTGCTTTAGTGTAAGTCCAGCAAGAAGTAAACGCGGCTACCCCGCAGAGAAATGCGACGCCTGCCCAAGCATCCTCGACCCAGAACCTGCCCAACCAAATACGATATGCGAGTCTAAAAATCGTCAATACCAGCCCTAAAACCATAAATACACTCGAGACGGCTGTGGGAGGGTCAGTGAAGCTTTTATACCATGCAAAAAATTACCTCTCAGAGTCACGAAGGTCGACCAAGAAATCACCAGTGCCACTAATATCTTCAACTTTTTCTAACCTAATGAGACAGAATGGCTGCGTCAAGGCTCGTAAGTACCGTGTTACATGCATGTCACACCGCGTCACAACCACGGCAGGCTCGGCAGGACCACGTCAAAATAGCTACACGCCCTGTTTGGTAAGTCATGCTTTTCGGCGCTACCCTCATTCAAGGCTTCTTCAAATATATTACTCACATTCCAAAGATTTCTATGGCCTCTTTTGTGTGTTATCCATCAACTCCATCGGAACATGACTGCGACCATATTCGAGCCCTCACACCTTGTTGATGCTGCCACGCAGACAGACGCCCATTCTTTTACAATTACTCACCTCGTAAGCCCCCCAGTCAGTTTCATATCCAAATTCTGCTAATCGCTTCTAGCTTGTGGATGCAGCAGTGTTGACAGAGGACCCAGGAGTTAGTGAGGTTACTGCCAGTCTCCAAGTCAACGATGAATGGAAGGCCCTTGATGGTATTCCTTGTATTATAGGTGGCATAACGGCGCTTGCTGGTAAGTTTTGTGAGTTCACTTTTACACTAATTTTGACTTAATTTCAGCTTCTGTTGGTGGCACCCTGCGCGGGCGTGCCAAAAATGACTTCCCCTGGAAAAAACTGCCCAAAGAACTAGCACGGCTTGGATGTTGCCTTGTCAACTATCCTGAAGAGACTTTGATGCCTGGCGAGACTCGACCCACGCTCACTCGGAGCAAAGGCATCCACGATTTGACCTTCCGTCATCGTGCTAATCTTGTCAACGCTCTCAGGACAGGTACCCTCACTATTCGAGCCATCACAAGCGATGTTGCCCGAGCACGCCTTGTAACATCCAAAGACCCAATTATCATAGGCGAGGCACCCTCACATCGCTCAATTCACTCTCGCGGGCGACGTATGTTTGCTGACGGTGATATTGACCGCAAAGGGCCTCGCCGTCTCCCCTCACCTCCTGCTACACCATCTACTCATTCCGCTACACCATCTACTCGTCCTGCTACACCTGCTATACCTCCTACTGCACCTCCTCATTCTGCTACTCCTGCTACTCGTCGTCGTGTCCAAGTTTTTGTAGAGATATCACGCCCGCCGCCCCGGCCAGCTTCTAGAGCTGTGGGCAAATCAGCACCCCCATACATCACTCGCACCAAGGACCTCATTCCACCGATAACTTCTGTTGAGCCGTTTTCGTCTACCTCTGAATATGCCGAGGATTCTGATGAAAGTATCACTGTGGATGAGGAGCCGTATGTTAATAAGAGTGATCGTCCTGCCAAGCGTCTCAGACGTTGATGGGTATAGCTGCAAATAATTGAATATTTTCCAAGAACGTAGATAGCATGTTAGTATAACAATTGTTTTCGAAGTTGTACTTTAATTTCTGACAATGGAATATCAAATCTCATTTGATGCAAACTCGGTAGAAGTAAGCTCATCCTTTCATCGATACGTTATCTTTAGTCATGACTCACAATATGACATTCATTTTCCAACCTCTCTGTAGCCTCTCTGTAGCCTCGCTGGCCTCCCCAAACACTCCCCTGCTTACTTCCTCACCCTTTATACCCTCGTCAGCTACGACCAGCATCTAGGGTCACAATTACTGTTTCTGGCTACCCCATCATTTTTGGTAACCACTTCGATTCGAAGTTTTGATATCCAACATCTGGGAGTCTAAATCATCGATTGTAAAGTAAGTCACCTGTACTTTCTAAAGCTCATTTCAGCCTTTCTGACATGATGATACCACCAGTCCGAGTCTTCAGCTGCAAAGTAAGTCATTTGTGTTTCCTTATGCTCGACTCTATGTGTATCTGTATCTGTATTTGGCGCTGTACATATTCACATCATCCTTAATATTCTTTCAGCCTTTCTGATATGATGGTACTACCAGCGGGTCTAGACCATATCTTCGGCTGCAATGTAGGTCACTTGTGCTCAACCTTATCCATATTAACATTACTAACGGGAACCTCTCTTCAGCCTCCTGAGGCTCCCCACACCCTCACTCACCCTCACTCACGAGCTTGTGCATCTCGGTCACTATCCGAATAAATTTAATGTCTTGTACGTTTGTTTAGCTTCTGTTCTACCGTTCCAATCTAACTTTTTTTAGTCCGAATGAAACTATGGATTACTGTTGTGCAGAGGGACCCAGTATCAGCTCAAACCAGCCTCATAAGTATCAGGGCTCTGGTGCTTTATTTTTGTGTCCCTTCTGAATTACCGCCAGATTTTCTCTCTAGTATTTTGCATACAGGTCAGTAGGCATGCACTCACATTCTTCTTCTATGGACTATCATTGACTATATACTACAGAAATGACTCAAAACGCCCCCGATAACCCACCATCTTCTCACTCGAGCTATGTGGGCCTATCTTCAGATACCTTCGATTACATGCAAGAACAGTTCGGTGGTGGTCGTCGATGTGCAACACCACCTGTTGAGCTTACTCCTTCACGACTCAGGAGTAAGCTCAAGGCCACAGCACGTGATGTTGGCCTTGTCAAAGGTGCATCAATCCGCCGCCAGGCCTATGAAAACCTCACTCTGGGAGATCAAGATCCCGCACCTGTGCAGTCTGGTACAACGGACTTCACGCATACGGTGGCAGACAGCACTTCAACAAACGAAACATCATCGCTAACAGGCCACGTGGCTAGTAGTCGACACGCGTCGCCATTTCCTACTCCACATGCTCCTGCCTAGCTCCAGGATATTTTTTATGGCTCTATGAGCCAGCAACCTGTGTGGATGGATCCCAACTCCTCTGACGCCTTTACCATGATGGGGACTACATCTTTTTTACCTGGAGGATCACAACATCACCTCATCACACAGGACATGAACCGCTTAGCACCGCCTCCAAGTTTTAATTTTCCTGCAAGTTCGTCAGGTCAAACAATGGCTTCTCGTGCATGTTCCCTAGAGCCTCACACTACAGGCCAAACACCTTCAGGATTTACGCAGGATTTTTCAGGCGAAGTCGCACCATTCATCCTTAGGCCTGTTCCGTCATCATCGCCTCAAGATCATGCACCTCCCCTCCCAGCAACAAACATAATTCCACCAACACCATTCCAGATTAACACTTCCACCTCGATGAATTCCATTGGTGTGGCCACTGCTTTTCATCAACGCTTTCCTGAAGAGCATGAGCCAGTGACCCATCAAGAGGGGCATACTGTTACCGGGCGTAGGTCCGCAGAACTGAACACAGCACTCGATGTAGGGTTTGCTGCAGTCGAGCGCTGCTTTCTCGACCTCTCGACATCTACTACGCTTCCTGTTTCACAGTTGATTAACTTGTTCTTGAAGAGTCGTGGACGCACCGTGAATGGTACCAACTATTGGAACTTGTACGCCAACTACTTCAAGGAGCATATAAAGACGGAACTTGCACGTATTGGCCGAGAGGCCCCAGCCGGAGGTGGCACACCTAGTGAGTTATCATATTACGTCTTGTTGCACAGGAGGTTTATATTTCTTACAGGTGCAACCGTGCGCACTCAATGTTATGACAAATTCAAAGAGGCCTATCCCGATTCTTATCAAGACCTTCTGTTAATGCACGAGGAGGCGTTACTCCTTGGATCGTCTACTCAAACAATAGCTCAGCGTGGACAGGGATTCCAGAAGCATTATCGAAGAGTAATACAGATTGTATGTTATCTCACCCGAAGTTTCATCATCGCCTCATATTGTTATCTTAGCTTGACTCTGCTTCCGCTAAGTGTGGCTTTGAAGCAGCCGTTGTCTTATGTGGCAAAGTGGTCAATGAAGACGGATCACTTGGTCACTCGTATAGTACGCCGGGTGCTGCAGGGGTAAGATTATTTGTCGTCTAAATCCTTACATATACTTAGCAAGATGTAGTTCTGGCAGACACGATGCCGAGCCAGTGATGATGCCATCATCGGACATCTTAAAGCACACGTATAGTAAGTATGAATATGACTACATTTATGCTACAACTGACGCCGTGTCTCCAAATAGCAATAGCACGTTGTAGAGACTCATGCCTCGCATTGTGTGATATGGCACTTTCCACTAGGGAGTACACAGCACGACTTGCAGCATCACTCTGTGTGCTATCCACAGCTATTCCCTTACGAGGCGCAGCTTTCCCACGCAATGCGCAGCATGCGCGCACGACTTCCCGCGCTTTACGATGTATACGCGCGCGCGCTTTCCCGCGCTTGAGCGCCCTATAGCGCCAGCCATCCAGAAGCATCCATCCACTGTCCACCAAGCTCTCTAGTGCGTATATTCCCATTTCTCTTATTTACATATCGTTCCACCTCTATTTTTACCATGGACCCTTACTTACATATATCTTTACATACCTACTCGGTAGCGCTTCGGCTCCGCATGACAGCGCTTAGGTGCCATATAAGCGCCAGCAGTACATATTATTAGACACTTTACTTTCCAACAAGAACTTTACCTCCCACTTACCACCCACATACTACCTAGGAGAACATAGTAGAAATCTATTCTTTGACACCTCGCGCTCGTATCTCTTGTCTAGTATCTAATCACCCCTTAAGCAAACTCACTCTTACTCTCTCTCATTACCGCTCACGCGCGCGCGCGCTTCCCGCGCCTCGCGCGTACCTTCGCTTTCCCGCGCCTTGTGCGCACCTGCGCACTTTCTCGCGCTTCGCATCAGCCGACCAGTAGCGCCTTCGGCGCACACTACTAGATCCTTGCTGCACTCGCTTCCCCTTTAGGGTCGAACGCACTTGTCGTCTCAAGTATAGCAGACTAGGCAACGCGCGACCTCACAACATTTACAGATACAGTCTGGAGCATCATTTGTTCCTCACAGTATTGTTGTTTCTACAACGTCCTTGGCTGCGGTGGATGAAGTGTTCCATGACGATACCCACAGCGACTCATTGACCCCCCGCTCGACTTCGAACAATGGTCGCGATCAGTCTCAGGCTCCCGAAGGACGTGATGATGGTTTGAAGTGGATTAAGCTCGAACTGATCAAACAAGTTGGTACGTTGGAACGTTGCTGGTCTTTTGGTTCATCTAACTAAATGTACACTAGCCCAGCTTGGGGGCAAGTGTGCCTGGGATAAAAACTTCCCTTGGAAAGGCATGGCCAGCGCGCTTGCTGATGCCAATCTCTGCATTAGAGGGTATCCAGCTGACAGGTGTCTCTTGCCTGGCGAAGCTCACAACAAGAACTCAAAGAACAAGGGTATTGGGGCACTGACCCAGAAAGAAATCGCGGTGCTTGTGGAGGCATTGAAGTCAGGAACTATGCAAGTTGTCAAAGTTGACAAGGTACATCGAGGTAAGTTTCGATTACGTTGTTGTAAGCACATTATAATTCTAATATTATTTGTAGCATCTGTTATGGCCTCCGAAAGGCCGGTCATCACAGGCATAGCGCCTCCCTCTGACTGGCCACATGCCGGTGCTCGACGACTGTTTGTTAATGGTGACACAGACTACCACGGCCCAGCTCGTCTTAAGCCCAGCAATGCAGCTACCAAAGTCAAAAAGGCCGATAAAGTGACAAAAGCCCCATAGCCACCTGATGATGATGACGATGACAGTTCAGATGATGATCATCCAGTGGTACCTCCTGTTCGTAAGTTCCGAAAAGCTAACATGCGAGTAGAAATCACTGCACCACCACCAATACCACCTCCGTTTAAAGTCGTTGCACGACCACCCTCACGCCAATTCAAAATTGTTCCAAAGCCGGAACCGACTGCTGCACATGATGAGGTGATTGAACTTACTTCGGCCGGAGAGAATGTCGCCACAGAGCCTGACAGCGAGTATGAAGAAGCACGTGGAAAGAAGAGAAAACTGAAGTCTAGGAATACATCGCATGCATCAAAGAAACCAGCCTCATCCAACGAGAAGGCTGACGTGTCAAAAGTGGGGAGGAAAGTTGCACATTCGAAGCAACCCAAAGCACCTGCCTTACCAACCTCAACGACTTCTCCAATGAAGGGTGGCCCTCTGTCCCCATTGACAGTGGGGTCATCGAGTGTGGCGGCATCACCAGAGCCTGAGGCTGGGGGTGAGTACCCCCCTTTATTCTAACTTAACTCTAGTTGACTCAAGGTGTATATAGGGAATGACATGGGTATACCCATGGGTATCTGTGGTGATACCCCCACCCACACCCACCAAAAACCCACACCCACCTGGTGGGTGTGGGTATATTCATGGGTACCAGGGATGGCTACCCATACCCACACCCATAGAGGGTATACCCATGGGTATGACATGAATGATTGGTACTACACACTTAGATATCTTAATGAATGTTGTAGTAGTACTGGAGACAAATATACTGCTAGTCTCACCTTGTTAATTGGCAGTCATTTGAGAGAGATATAAGCTAAATAAAAACCCAACATCAGTAAGTTTTTTACATACATACCCACCATGTGGGTGTGGGTAGGGGTGTGGGTATCCTAAGTGCCTACCCCCACCCATACCCCTGGGTACCCACACCCACAACCCACGGTGGGTGCTAGATACCCATGACATTGCCTAGGTGTATAGCTGCAGCAGTAGCGTCACTTCAGGATGGTCCTTCTAACGCGCACACAAAGGGTAAGTCTTTTCTTTTCTAAATCAAACATTCTTGTAAAATATCTATTGATCTACCCTCTAGTAAAACCACGTCCAATCACCAAGGAATCCAAGGGTACAATGAAACGTGCTCTTCGGATGGCATACAGCCACTCAGATGGATCTGAAGTGGACAAGGGTAAGAAGATGGATGTGGCTGTGAAGAGTGTTGTCCCCCCTGCTTTAGATAATGTCGCTGTGGAAACAGTACAGGAAGACTTGCCTTCAGAGGCTCGAACCACCAATCCTATTGAGGAGGATCTTCACCATATCGTTCACGACCCTCGCGACCCTCCAGATACCACACACCAAGCTCGTGATGAGCTTCCTGTCCATCATAACCCTCCCAAGGGTATCCAGCAAGGCTCCAATGAGGCTGTCCAGCGAGACCCTCATGAGGGTGACCCTATACATCACCCATGGGAACCTCAACGTGAGGTTGTCCCTCTCCGCAATCCTCACGAGCCTCGTCACAATGTCCTCCATGACCCTCGAGACATTCCCCATCACGCCCCTCGCGACATCTTGCGTGACCCTTGTCAGCCTCTTCGCAGTCATTCTCGTGAGCCGTGGTACATGCACGAGGCTGTGCGTCGTCGTGAGGTCCATCATCTGCGTGAAGATTCTCCAATCATTGAGCGTGATGCTCTCCGCCCTCACGATGCCTTCTATCACCGTGACCATCGCAATCCCCGTTATCCTAGTTTGCAACCTCACGACCGTTACGGATCCAACGAGCCTCATGCCAACAGTGACTTCACCACACGGGATAGCTCTCCAGCCTTGGAGGTATACCGTGATGACCATTATGCTCACGGTGAGCGTGAACGTACATACCCAGGTCGATACAGCCCAGTACTTGGTCCTGAATATGCTCACGAAAGTGGATACTCTCGACGTGATGATCTCGATGAGCGCCGGGCATTTGGTGGAGGAGCTTACCGTGAAAGCGGATACCCTCCAAGAAGAACTCGTCACCTGGATTCCAGATGGATGGATCGTCGTAATGCTCCATCTTTGGACTATGCTCATCATGAAGCTGTGCCGCGATCATTTAGTCGAGATCCAGTTGACTCTCCGCGCCCTCCTTCATCTTAATTGACTTTTGATATGGGCCTGGCTGCAGTTGTGTTTTTTTAGCTCATTATTTTAGCTCATCTTCGTGCTTGCTTTGTTTTTTCGCAGTGATAGTTTGCCATGATGGTTTGCTCATTCCTGCACTTGTCCTGTCGTACTCTTGCCCTGTCGTACTCTTGCCCTGTCGTACTCTTGCCCTGTTGTACTCTTACCCTGTTGTACTCTTGCCCTGTCCCTCTCATACCCTACCTATGTTGCTATGGACCTTGTTGTTTTGACTTTGACAATATCAGTTTAGTGGCTCCAGCAGCTGCTCTTGTTTGCTTCAGAACGGGCTCAATATTGCTATGAAAATTAAGAATGACCGTACTGGGGTGCAATATATTTTATTAGAATAACATAAGTACGAACTATAAATATAATTTCAACGAAGAAAAACATGTGATGAGATAAGACGACATAGGTGTAAGTAGAAATGTTGAGTTCGGTCGTATCAGATGCTTCGGACGACGCCACGTAGTACGAGCACGACCATTTGACAGAGGCACGAGAAAAGAGACGTCGAGTGTCACTCGACGTCTAGATACCAATGTTTCACTTTATCATTCTCCTTACAACGCTAATATACGTATCGCGTCAGTTTTACCTTATAAACTTCATAGATATCGAACGAACATCTCAGTCCCAAAATATAGACTGAGATGTGAGTTGTTACTTTCGAACTTACTTTAGAGCGCGTACTGATTCAAACGAGTAGATATTGTCCCTATCTACTAGGTACTGTACATGGACTAAGAGTCCCAAAATATAGACTGAGATATATTGTCCCTATCTACTAGCTCCCTCCTGATCCGCTCGCCTCGAACCTCTAAAGGTTATGAGCCCTGCTACTACCATGGATACTTCGCTCCCCAGCTCCAACTCCGCGCTCTTCAACATCCCAAAGCTCGCCGACGACGGCCTGAATTGGATAACCTATAAGGGAAGAATGTTGACGGCGATTGGCGCTCGAGGCCTGATGCGATATATCGACGGTCGTAAGAAAAAGCCCGTCCCTTTCGAGGTTGACCCGTCGACTGGGAAACCGAGGAAGAAGGACGGCTCGAAGCCAACGGATGCGGAAATCGAGGACCTAGACGATCAGATAGACGAATACCAGCAAAAGGACTCAATGGTAAAACAACAAATATTCAGTACCATTTCCGATCAGCTCTTGCTCTGGATCCAAAACCTAGGCAGCGCAGCCTCCATCTGGGACGAGGTCTGCAAGATCCACGAAGGGAAAACTGAATTGGTCCAGATAGACCTCCGCCACAGACTCCAGGAATTGAGATGCGAGGAAGGGGGCGATGTTAAAGCGCATTTCGGGGAGCAACTACGCCTCCGAGAATTGCTTGCGGGCATGGGCGCTAGTATAGATGACCGCGATTTCTACGCGATCACGTTGGGCTCATTGCCCGAATCCTACCGCCCGTTGGTCTCGTCAATAAACGCAGCGGCCAAAATAGCCACGAAGGTGCTTACCCCGTATGAGTTGATCAGCGTGGTCACCGAGGAATACGAGCACCGTCAGCTCTCAGAACGTAGAACTGGAAAAAAAGGGAGTAACTCAGCTTTTACAGCTAGAGCCACCCAAGGGAGTCGCCGTGACACTGGCAACTCCAACCAGCAGAACGCAGACGTGGTGTGCCACAACTGCGATAGGAAAGGCCACTACAAGAGTGACTGTTGGAGGAAGGGAGGCAGCAAGGAAGGGCAGGGCCCACGTCAGAAGAAGGCGAGACAGAACAAGACTGCTGCAACAGCAGCAGCCGCCACTGACTCCCAGGATAACTACGCCTTCGCGTTAATAGACAGCGTGCCTATGACTGGAGAAAACGACTCACCCGAAAAGAACCGCACAGCAATCATTGATTCTGGCGCTACCTCCCACTTCTGCCCAAACAGAGCCGAGTTCATCTCCTATACCCCAATCAAACCCCTCGACATTAGAACTGCAGACGGCTCGATAATTAGTGCCATAGGTCGCGGTGATGTAAGAATGCACTTACCGCTAGGATCCAAGTGGACCAGAGTCACCCTCAAGGACGCACTGCACGTGCCAAAGATGAGCTATACGCTCGTGGCGACGAACCGTATAACGGCCGCCGGATTATCAGTCCATTTCGAGGGGACCAACTGCAGGATCTTGTCCATGGGTCCCAAACGGCAAGTAATCGCCGAAATACCTCACGTCGACGGCCTATACACCGTTGCGGGTCAGCACGAGCATCATGCTGCATTAGCCAAGGGAAAAGTCACCTTGGGGGAACTCCATCGTGCACTGGGACACGTATCGCACTCGGCAGTTAAGTCCGCTGTCGAAAAGGGCTTGGTGGAAGGCGTTGAGCTCGACTCCGCCTCGGAACCAGAATTCTGCGAGGCGTGTGAGAAGGGAAAGGCTGCGAGGCAGCCGTTCCCAAAGGAGTCGAAACGTCGTGCGCAGACGTATGGCGAGTTGATCCACACTGACCTCTGGGGACCTGCACAAACTGTTAGCATAGGTGGGAGCTCATATTACATGAGCTTCACTGACGATTACTCCCGCGAAACGCACATCCTCTTCCTGAAGCACAAGAGTGAGGCCCTTGGAGCTTTCAAACAATATGAAGCACGACTCACCAGGCAGCATGACGCGAAGATTAAGACTCTGCGTTCCGACCGGGGAGGAGAGTACCTAAGTGCAGAATTCGATGTGTACTTAGCAGGTCAGGGTATCAAACGAGAACTCACCGTACACGACTCTCCCCAGCAGAACGGTGTCGCTGAACGCCTCAACAGGACGCTAGTCGAGTTGACACGCACGATGTTGCTGGCACGTAACGTGCCCAAGTTCCTGTGGACTGCCGCAGTCAGCTATGCCAGCTGGCTGCGTAACCGCTTACCTTCAAGGGCAACGCCAGGACACACCCCATACGACCTGGTGCACGGTCGCCGTCCCAATTTGGCCCAGGCCCACGAGTTTGGCGCAAAGGTGTATGTCCACCTACAGGACGCTGGGAAGCTGGAGGCAAGGGCGGAGGAGGCGGTTTTCATAGGCGTGGACGACCAGAGCAAAGGGTACCGGGTCTACTGGCCGGGTAAGCGTCGCATTTCTGTAGAACGAAACATTAGTTTCGTGCCCACAACTATAACCGTGGCTGCAGACGTACCGATCGAGGGGGAGAAGGTGCCGTTGCCAGCGAGTAACGATCAGCACGTCTCGACACCCACACTATCTACCCCACCGAAGCTCCAGACACCACTCCCCGAACCTACTGCCCCCAGAGCAACGCGCGTTCGCCCTCCAATCGGGTACTACAAGGCCCTGAATGAAGGGGAGTCAGCTTCTATAGCGACTGTCCCAGACGAGGACGGAAACGACGCTCCACTTACCCACTGGGCTCTAGCAGCAGCAGAGCCCGAACCGACGCTCCAGCAAGCCTTGAACGGTCCAGACGCGGTGGAATGGAAAGAGGCGATAGACTATGAACTTAGTCAGCTTGAGAAGTTAGAAGCCTGGGAAGTGGTAAACGTACCACGTCATGCTAACGTCATACCCTGCCATTATGTCTTGGCCACCAAACACGGCCCGGACGGTGAGAAACTCAAGCTGCGTGCCCGACTCGTGGCAAACGGCCAACGTCAGAAGCACGGCCTCGATTACTCGGAGACTTTCGCTCCAACCACCAACATGTCCACTATACGTACCGTTCTCGCTATGGCCGCCCAGAAGGACTGGGAAATTCACCAAGTCGACATCAAGAGCGCATACTTGCACGCTGAGATCAAGGAAGACATCTACATGAGAGCACCTCCTGGATACCTGAAGGCTGGAGATGAGGGCAAGGTTCTGAAGCTGAAGAGATGTTTGTATGGGTTAAAGCAGGCGGGATTCGAGTGGTCGGAAGAACTGGCAAGTGTATTCTTAGAGATGGGATTCACGCGTTCGCAAATTGACCAAGCCGTTTACTACGTACGCGAGACTGACAAACACATGGTGGTCACCGTCTCAGTCGACGATATGGCGGTCACATCCAAACACCTGCGACACATCACTGAATTCAAACACCACCTCCGTCAGTACTTCGAAATCACCGACTTGGGCGAACTCGGCTGGTTATTGGGTCTACGGGTAGAACGGAACCGACCCGAGCGCACCATCACCCTTTCCCAACACGCCTATGTCAGTACCATACTTGAATGCTTCCATCTCACCGACTCGAAGAGCGCAGTGATCCCAATGGACGCTAGCTGCACATTGTCGGTGGAGCAGTCTCCCGATACTCATGCCGCACTCGCTGACATGCTGGACGTGCCGTACCAGCGTGGCATTGGTTCACTCATGTACGCTGCTACGAGCACGAGGCCCGACATAGCATTCGCTGTGGCCACGCTATCCCAGTTCATGCGCAACCCCGGCAGGGTGCACTGGGAAGCTGCCAAGCGCACTATGCGCTACCTCAAAGGTACAGCGGACCACGGGTTAACGTTGGGGGGAACGGATGGAGGACTTGAAGCTTACGTCGATGCAGACTGGGCCTCCCAGCCCCATCGCCACTCAATGTCTGGGTACGTGATTATGCTAAACGGCGGCCCTGTTGCATGGAGCTCGAGGAAGCAACCAATTATAGCGTTGTCCACTGCGGAGGCAGAGTATATAGCCTTGATGGCTGCTGTGCGGGAGATACTCTACTTACAGCTTCTCCTCAAAGAACTCTACGACGAAGACCATGGCTCTACCCCCATTCATTGCGATAATCAGTCCGCGATTGCGTTAGCGTCGAACAGCAAGTTCCACGCGCGCACGAAGCATATCGACATACGTTTTCATTTTGTTCGTGCGCATATCAAGAACGGAACATTCGAATTACGCTACTGTCCTACTGATGACAACGTAGCAGACACGTTCACCAAGCCGTTACCACGACCACGCTTCCAGAAGCTCAGGACCATGATGTCACTCGGTCCCGCTCGAGGGGGAGTGTTGAGTTCGGTCGTATCGGATGCTTCGGACGACGCCACGTAGTACGAGCGCGACCATTTGACAGAGGCACGAGAAAAGAGACGTCGAGTGTCACTCGACGTCTAGATACCAATGTTTCACTTTATCATTCTCCTTACAACGCTAATATACGTATCGCGTCAGTTTTACCTTATAAACTTCATAGATATCGAACGAACATCTCAGTCCCAAAATATAGACTGAGATGTGAGTTGTTACTTTCGAACTTACTTTAGAGCGCGTACTGATTCAAACGAGTAGATATTGTCCCTATCTACTAGGTACTGTACATGGACTAAGAGTCCCAAAATATAGACTGAGATATATTGTCCCTATCTACTAGCTCCCTCCTGATCCGCTCGCCTCGAACCTCTAAAAGAAACACAGCGGATATGACAAAGAGGAAAACATAATGCATGTGAGAGGAGCACCAGAGGCTCTATATTATTTTGAGGGCAGTGGGATCCACTGGCACGATAACATGCTTGAGGGCTCTTCTAGGAGCATGGCGTGCCACGGACAACCAGAGCCAACCCTTCAACGAGGCCTATGAGGGTACTCCAGAGGATGGGAGGGAGACTCTCTCAACGAGGCTATGAGGGTACTCTGGTGACTCTGGAGGATTTGAGGGAGACCCTCCTAGGAGAGGGTTATCTCAGAGATGTGTTATGTCCTACCACAAAACCGGGTCTGACAGACCATGGGAAGCACTAAAAAGTGCTGCCAAGGGTGACAAGGGCCGTCTTCCAGCATGCACCTATGCCACCATCTTACGTCGAATTTCATTTTCTATTGCATAAATTCGAACTGTGTCATCTGCACAACCAGTTTTGCCAGACCGGTTGGCAAAAACTGACTTCTGCCAGCAACACTAAAAGTTGAGCGACTGAATTTCGATTCGGAAGGTTTTTCCACCAAGAAAGGTCGGCCGCTTGCAGGCCGTCAGCGAATGGAGCTACTGAAGGCTACTGACTGATTATAGACCTGCAGGTCATCCGAGAGTTTTTCGACATCATTGTGTTCCGTTTCCAATGCTTTACCATGCCAAGTGCGATCCTGACCATGAATCTTGAATTGAATTGAATTCATGGTAAGGATCGCATCTTTGCCATTGGCTACCTGCGTAACAAGGAGAAGCGTCACCTAAGGCATTTTCGCTCTCTCAGTCGGTTTATTTCCTCTTGTTTGACATGGACAACTTCACTGTGGAGCGGATGGCGAAATAACACGCAATACTAACGCGCGATGGTATATAATAGTGACTCACAACGGAGGGATCACGCCGACGAACCTGACGCACGTGGAAAAATGCATCGTCACTGTGACGGTCTGACCAACATGCGCGAAGATTCTGGAGTTCTGCCAGGTTTTGTTCTGCCGTGGACCAGACCTATTGGCAAAACCCTCGAGTTCTGAATCTGCCAACAACGCAGTCACCCCCCAGTAGGTAATCATCGGTTTCACCATTTAAACCGCTTCGTTTTTGAACAATCGCCTGTGCCCCATTTCTCTCGTCAGGTTTCTTACACCTTGTCGATACCTTGCTTCGTTGAAATACAAATCGATTTTGTTGCACTATGTTTGCCCGTGCACCTTTTTGGAAATTGCCGCCGGCATCGACTATTCTTGTAAACAATCAGACGCGTTTTGCCAACTATGCGCGTGTTGCCTATCGTTCACTGGCATACTCGACAATGGGCAGCACAGAGCCCACGACGCCACACGAGGAGCATCAATATCTCTCCCTCGTCCGCCGTGTCATAGACATAGGCGAAGTTCGCCCAGATCGCACTGGCACGGGCACCCTCTCTATCTTTGCACCCCCCTCTTTCCGTTTCTCTCTCGCAGATAGCACGCTCCCGCTCCTCACAACAAAACGCACGTTCCTACGCGCCATCGTAGAAGAACTTCTCTGGTTTATCCGAGGCAGCACGGACGCCCGAGTGCTCTCGCAGAAGGGCATCAAAATATGGGACGGAAACGGAAGCAAAGAATTTCTTGAGAAGCGCGGTTTGGGACACAGACGGGAGGGTGATCTTGGCCCCGTGTATGGGTTTCAATGGAGACATTTTGGCGCAAACTACGTCGATTGTGACACAGACTACACCGATCAGGGCGTCGATCAGCTGAAGGAGTGTATTAGGAAGATCAGAGACGATCCAACTGATCGACGAATAATCTTGAGCGCATGGAATCCAGCAGGTGGGTTTACTTCGGTTTGTTGGTCCTACGCGCGCTGATCTCATACCTCAGCTATGCCGCTCATGGCCCTTCCACCATGCCATATGATGTGCCAATTCTACGTGCATCTCCCCGTTACACCCGATGCTCCTAAACGCCTATCATGTCTTATGTACCAACGCTCAGCCGACCTTGGGCTCGGCATCCCTTTCAACATCGCGTCTTACGCGCTCCTAACGCATATGGTTGCGCACGTTACGGGGACCATACCCCACGAGCTTATCATCCAACTTGGAGATGCACATGTTTACCGCGACCATGTTGATGCCCTCGAAATACAACTCAAACGCGAACCAAGATCATTTCCAAAAGTTAAATTCAGAAGGGACATAACTGACATTGACGGATTCGATTCGGAAGACATTGTGGTTGAAGGGTACGATCCTCACCCAACGATAGCGATGAAGATGAGTGTGTAGATGTAAAACTGTAGAATGCGTTACCCTACTGCTACTGAATTATGATACCAAGTTATTTGTCGAAAAAAGATTTTTGCAGGAATGGTTAATGAATTAATGACGGCCTGGAGCCGAAGGCAATCCTCTGCGCTACTCCGCGTTCGTCGTGCGCGTTTCATGAATCTTAAGTCAGACGAGTATGTCAAAGTGAAATGACAAGCGCCCTGTCAGGTACCTCGAAACGGAGAGCATCCACTTGATATTGTTTGTAATAAAACGAACGTCAACAGATGTCAGACACGCATGCGAGAAACAGCAGGAAAACTGATGTACGCAGAGAAAGAATAATATAGACCCTTGCAAGCAATTAGATCGATAAAACACGCAATCAAGATTAATGCGGTACACATGAGATATAGGAAACATCGAAACATCCATGGTAAAGTAACATTACGAGGCAGCAAGCTGAGCAGCAGTGGGGACAACAGGACGAGCGCGGCGGATGCACCAGAATACGAGGCAAAAAATGCTCCAGCAACCGTAGTTTTCTTCTGGAGTAGGTTGTTGTTTTGTCGTCTGCACCTGAGTCTGAGTCTGAGGCCGTGACATCGAACGTGGCTGCGCTGTAGGCTGAGTTATCGTTGAAGATGACTGACCAGTTTGAGTGTTAATCTTCACAGGCGGACGTTCTACGTAGATCCTCTGGAGATTCGGTAATGTGTGTAGCAGAACGAGGGACACCTGATGCAGTGCTTACACTTTTTTCCCCTCCAGATGCGACTGTTACGGGCTGCGGGCCAGTGTATTGTGCAAAGAAACTGTGCTTGGGACGTGGTTGCAGCGCGGTGGACTCATTTGCTGGCAAGTGGCGTCGAGAAGGGACAGTAATAGTGTTCCAGAAGCGCTGAGTGGGGGATAGATTGTGATTCCGGGAACGACGATAGGGTCCTGAAGATGGTGCCGAAGGATGATAGGGCTGGTCAGTCTGTTCACCATCAATACTAGTGTTCTAGTATGCACGACAAAACACAAGATTTACCTGAAAGCAATCACCGTATGAAGTATCCGACTCGTCGTCGGTGAACACATCGCTCCTTGATTGAGGATTTGTAACATCGACCTGTGTTAGTTCCGTGAGTAATGGAAGGAAGGCGGTCCGATGAGAGAGTACTGACGTCGAGGCAAGATGGTGTTGGTGACTGGGGTTGAGTTTCCTACTGTATAGCTTGTCAACTTGCAGTATGGGCGTGCAAACACTTACTGTAAGCTCAGGGACCATGTCTTTTACCACCCACAGGGTGAGTTTTTTGTCAAGTCCGCTACTTGCTAGGTATCTCCCATCTCGAGAGAATGCTACGCAGCGAAGAGTTTGGCGGTCAATGAATGACTGACGGAGTAATGGTTCATAGGACTCTGTGTCCCATAGTTGTGCAACACCTGGCTGGCCCACGCAGGCCAGTACATTGTGTTTGGGTGAAAGCGCGATAGAATTCACCAAATCGTCGTGCTCGAAGCGATGAAGTTCGATACCTGAATTACTGTCGAAAACACGCACAAATTTGTCTGAAGCGGCGTAAACTTTTTTGCTTTCCGACGACCACAACAACGACGTAACACTGGCCCCCAGTTCTTCGATGGGGCCGAGAACGAGCTCGCCTGTTTTTGTATCCCAAATGCAGATCGTCTCATTCAACCCGCCTGATGCGATTTTGTCGCCTGAAGGTGAATACACAAGAACATTCACCCAACGCTGCCCCGTCTTGATCGGGCCCATCTCGGTTTGTCCACTGTCTAATTTTCGGATTAGGATTGTCCCATCTCTGGACCCACTTGCAATATGGTCTCCGTTGGGTGACCACGACAGTGACCTTACTTCCCGGCTATGACCCGTCCAAACGTCTTCAATCATCTTTCCACTGTCGGTGTCCCACCGCTGAACGCTTCCGTCCATCCTTCCACACGCAACTGTCCTTCCGTCCGGTGAAAGTGCTAATGCATGTATGCAGCCTCCCTTGCCTGTCCATGGTTGTCCGACAAGAAGCCCCGTGTCGCAGTCCCACTTGCGCATCGTGCCGTCCCACGAGCCACTCACGATGTGGATATTGTCGTGCAAGAAGACAAAAGCCCAAACATAGTCCTCGTGGCCTACAAATTCTTGCTTCGGAGCTGAATTTTCGGTTTGAGTTGGGTCCTGAGCTTCTTCAGTAGCCGGCAGCGCAGGGACTTCAGAATCAGAAGTCATAGCTTCCTCGATGATAGGCGTCGCAAGGAATTCGGGAGACATAGCTCGTTACTGTGAGGCTTCTTTGCGCTTTGTCTGGCTGACTCGGTTCATGATCAAAAAGGACGGGAACAGTTGACCAGAACTTACTGCTTGTTCTACTTGTTCCTTGTTGGTAGCAAGCAAACAACGAGGATGGGTCTTATGTGCATGGCAAGCATGGATTCCATGAGGCAGCGCTAATGGTTGATTCCTAACAGGTATGGTAATTCACTCAATTCAAATCATGCTAGCGTGGCGAACATAATGAAACGTAAGTTATGCCTTGGCTTAACGTTTCGATCTCGATCTGATTGTCTGCTTTACACAACGTTATGACGCTTTTAGTATCTATCGCGAAAACAGAACTTGAATGATATTTAATTATTTTCATTCGTCTATAGTCTGTCTATCGTGACAGGCTCAAGCTCTTCAGACACTGGATTTCGGTGCTACATGCTAAGTTCAACGCCCTCACGCAATTCAGACACTCAACTACTACATTCATCGTCAATCGTGTCTTCCGACATGAGGTGTTAGGTCAGTGTCGTGCAACTCTGTTCTTACCCACAAACCATCAGTGCACCTTACAAGCGATCATCTCTGGCTGGGAGGCAACAGATCGGGGAATACGAATTGAAGTCTAAATTGGGTGTGCATATCGTGAAGGTATAATCTCGAAGTCTGAAATATGGAAGTCTGCTTTGATCAACAAGGTGGGAGGACGTACGGAATCGATCATATGCCAATATGCACGAACACTATGCGCTGGGCCAAGGGAATGTCCCGATCACTGGCCAACAACTGCACCGCTCGGTGCAGCGCTCGCGCAGCTCGTTTGGAATTCATCGTGCCATCCCCGCACAAGTTTGTGTAAAACGCCTTGACTAAACGCTGCACAGTGGGATCATCGACCTTCCATAACGTCCCAACAACGCTCTTGACCCCGGCAAATTGCAAGCCAGCCGCCAGGTGTATCACTTCGTCCGGCGTTGCAGGGACACCAACTGCGGTTTCACAGGCAGAAAGAAATGCAAATTGATGCCGAGAAAGATCCATTTGAGCGATATCGAGGAGCGAAAGCGGCTGGTCGCGCATAAGAAAGACCGGAAGGGTTCGTCAAATCTCTGCGTCCCGTGACACGCGAGATGGAACCACGTATTGTCTTGCAATGTGCACAGTGCTGTCGATTTTGTGGCATCCACGCTGGTTATCTTGGAGAATGAAACGGTCGGGGGAGGGGGTAAGAGTGTCCGCACCAATTCCAGCTCAGGTTCTACAGCATCCAAAGTGAATAAGACACCGGCTGGGTGATTCTGACCAATGGCGACAAAGGGCACCGACAAGGACTTGTCATGATTTGCGCGAGCCTTGATCAGCGCGGTGAGCGATGGAGTGTATGAGGAGATGTAGTGCCGTGAAAGTGACTCTCCATCTTTCCTATATTCGCCAGCAGCGTGCAATGGCAAGAAATTAAAGACAGACGTGGGGCACCACCATATGCGAGAACCTCGCCGCGCAATTGCACCAAGATTTTCGACCACCGGGCGGACGACGACGTCCCACAGCTTTCTCAAAGCTACCATCAGCGCTCGTTGGTTCCCTTTAGGACCGGCGTCCTTGGGAACTGCCTCTCGGAATGCGATCTCCAATTCGGCGAGTTTCTGAAAATTGGTAGGGAGTTGAATGCTGGTGGGAGGTTGCTCATGAGGGACAATGATAGCATCGCAAGACGATTCGCTCGCGATGAGCATGATGATGGGCCCATCACGACCTGCGTCTTGAAGATCGGAAAACAAGGGGGGAAGGAGGAAGCGGGAGAAGCCCTCGATCTTCCGGATCTCTTCTACAGTTCCATTCCAGTCCTCCACTAGACGTCTGTACCGGATTTCGTCTGCTTCTACGTCAACTCTAGGGGTGTCTTCTGAATGATCTGCAGGAGTTTTATCCAGGAGGGAGCTGAGGTCTCTGAATCTTTTCATCAGAATCACTGCATGATCGCCGTGAGTCTGGAGGCTATCAAGAGGCGTCCGGAGGCGTGCCATCTGGGTCCAGATGATAGTTCTGCCTTGCTCCAGCAGCTCAACAGCGCGAGGCACATCGCCACTGCGAAGGGCACACGATGCAGCGTCGACAGCAAGTGTCCTTGGGAATTCCTTCATGGCTTTATGACGAGACAACACTGAGGCCGTCACAGACATGTAAGCGTCCAGTAGTTGCATAGACATCGTATATGCCTCCAGTTGAGTGCCATGTGAATATTCACTAGCATGGCGCGCCCAATGCAGACTCGCCCGCAGGCGGGGTAGCAAGCCTGCAGAGACAACATTTGCTGCTGCCTTGAGATGATGCATGGCAACATTGAGACTGTCTGTATTTTCGACTGCGCCGGTGGCGTCAAGACTTGAACGATGGGATAATAGATAGACCCTAGCTAGGGACTGCTGAAGTACTAATTGATGAGGATCATGTTGCGTCAGGAGAGTCAATGCACAGCGCAGGTTCTCTCGTGACTCCTCGAGGTCTTCTCTATTCGATTGGTGCTCAAAGCGGGTGAAAAGTTGAGTGGCGAGGTTGTTTAATGACTTGGACCGACCTATGTGACCGATCGGGCGCAAATCTAGGGCTTCCCTATTAAGTGTGATAGCCTCATCCAAGTCTTCGTCCTTGTTTCGGTGCTCAAAGCGGAAGGAGAGTTGAATTGCGAGATTGCTTAATGATTTAGACCGATCTGTGTGACCGACTGGGACCAAAGCCAGCGCTTCCCTGTCAAGTGTAATAGCCTCATCCAAGTCTTCGTCCTTGCCTCGGTGTGCAAAGCGGGAGGAGAGGTCATTCGCGAGGTTGTTTAATGACATGGACCGATCTGTGTGACTGATTGGGCGCAAAGCCAGTGCTTCCCTGTGAAGTGCGATAGCTTCATCCAAGTCTTCGTTGCTACCTCGGTGCTCAAAGCGGGAGGAGACTTGATTGGCGAGTTCATCTAATGACATGGACCGACCTGTGTGACCGACTGGGCGCAAAGCCAGCGCTTCCCTGAGAAGTCCGATAGCCTGATCCAAATCTTTGTCATTGCCTCGGTGCTCAAAGCGAGACGAGAGTTCAACCGCGAGGTTGTTTAATGATATAGACCGATCTGTGTGCCCGGTCGGGCGCAAAGCCAGTGCTTCCCTGTTAAGTGCAATAGCCTCATCCAAGTCTTCGTCCCTGCCTCGATGCACAAAGCGGGAGAAGAGTCCACTCGCAAGGTTGTTTAATGACATGGACCGATCTGTGTGATCGACCGAGAGTAAAGTCAGCGCTTCCCTGTTAAGTGCGATAGCTTGATCCAAGTCTTCGTTGTTGCCTCGGTGCTCGAAGCGGGAGGAGAGGTGGTTGGCGAGGTCATCTAATGACTTGGACCGCTCTGTGTGACCGACCGGGCGCAAAACCAGCGCGTCCCTGAGAAGTGTGATAGCCTGATTCAAGTCTTCATCGTTGCCTTGGTGCTCAAAGCGAGACGAGAGTTGATGTGCGAGGTAGTATAATGACATGGACCGATCTATATGACCGACCGGGCACAAAGTCAGCGCTTCCGTTTGAAGTGTGATAGCCTCATCCAAGTCTTTGTCATTGCCTCGGTGGTCAAAGCGGGAGGAGAGTTCAACTGAAAGGTCGCTTAATGACGCAGACCGATCTGTGTGACCGACTGGGCGTAAAGCCAGCGCTTCCCTCTGAAGTGCGATGGCCTGCTCCAAGTCTTCGTCGTTGCCTTGGTGCTCGAAGCGGGAGGAGAGTCGATTTGCGAGGTTGTTTAATGACAAAAACCAATCTGCGTGACCAACCAGGCGTAAGGCCAGCGCTTCCCTCTGAAGTGTGATAGCCTCATCCAAGTCTTCGTAGTTCCCTCGGTCCTCAAAGCGGCAGGAGAGTTCAACGGCGAGGTCGCTTAATGACGCAGACCGATCTGTGTGACCGACCGGGCGTAAACCCAACGCCTCCCTGTGAAATGTGATAGCCTCATCTAAGTCTTCGTCGTTCCCTCGGTGGTCAAAGCAGTAGGAGAGGAGAGCCGCGAGGTCGCTTAATGACGCAGACCGATCTGCGTGACCTACCGGGCGTAAAGCCAACACTTCCCTGTCAAGTGTGATAGCCTGATCCAAGTCTTCATCCTTGCCTCGGTGGTAAAAGTGGGAGGAGAGTCGACTAGCGAGGTTGTTTAATGACTGAGACCGATCAATGTGACTGACCGGGTGCAAACCCAGCGCTTCCGTCTGAAGTGTGATAGCCTCATCCAAGTCTTTGTCATTGCCTCGACGCTCGAAGCGAGTTTCCAGCATTCCAGCCAGATCGTCTAGCAATTGCCCTCGGCAGGCATGCCCGGTGTTGTAGTATCTCAGTGCATCATAATGAAGGGATATCACTTCATCTAAGGCACCGGGTTCATCTCTCTGCAAACACCACTTTGTTTGATCAGCCAGTTGATTCGGCGATAACGGAAACATCGATGTGGTGGGCTGCTCCTGTTCAAGATCATTTCCCTTAATCCTTCCAGCAGAATGCAGAGTCCGAATTTCCATTGTGATCAAAGCTGCTCTGTAAATGTGGCTGTTGGCCTGGCAGGCTTTGAGAACTTCGCTCAGCAACTCTTCAGCTGCATCAGCATCCGCTTCAAATCCCCGTTTCGCGAACCGCGAGAGCAATGCGATGGCAAGATGGAGCTGGCTGACACCTCGGTCCGGATGATCAGTTGCACACAAGTCGAGGGCCCGTTGAAAAAGAGAGATGGGGATGTCGAGGTCGAGGTATCTTCCGTCAGCTTGGCAACTAACAAACTTTGCCGTGGCCAGATTGAACAGCGCTGCGGGGTGGTAGGGATGATCCATGGGGCACAGATCCAAGGCTCGTTCAAAGTGCTCTATGGATTGTTCGAGATTCCCGCTACTCTGGATCCTGCAGTATTGTGCGAGAAGACGATGTCCGGCATCTGTCTCCAGTGCTAACACATTCATATCGCAGCATGTAACCTGCACGTTACAGCTGTCAGCACCAGAATGCCACACTGTATTTATCACTCACTGGAGTAAGGGGACGAAGAACTGCGGCGTCGATTTGATCAGAAAGTCGCTGCTCCACTCTCATGAACAGCGAAGTGCAAGACGATGCGACTTCCTCCTGCTTTGGCTGAAAGATAATGGCTGTGATGTTCGTTAGCATCTGTCAGGCGTTTTTTTTGCAATACATGATACTGACGATGCGATTTTTCGCTGCGGTCCAGTAATTCTTCGACCGAGATCTCAAATGTGCGCAGGAGTTCTCCATGACAGACCATGGGACCCAATTCGAATGATGCATACACGCTGACCCAAACCTTAGAAGATGGATCGCACGGCCTGGAGCCTCCCTCAATGCCTGCAGAACAGGCGGGGTTAAGGAAGACTTACAGAAGGATGCGCTCGTGCCACTCCATGACAGCCTGGTCTACTATTACAGATCCATTGCTTGTCTGGCATTCAGCGCCGTCAGTCTTGACCACGACATGGAAGCCAGCGGGGATTTGTCGGAAACCAAGAGTGAGATCAGTTGCGCGAATGGCTTGAGGGAAATTGTGAATATGAGCCGAGCGGAAACAGATATCACAAACCAGTGATAACGACTTGTTGTTCTCCACTGAGTTGTGGGTCCTGGGTGAATTCTCGATAGCTTGGCTCCTCACTAAAGCAAGCGCGTTGTCAGGCATGTGGAAGATCGATGCTTCATCTACTTACTGGTCCTGTTTTTGCCTGAAAATGCAATTAAGACCATGCACGTACTATCTAACACACTGACGTACGATCGTGGACGTTTGGAACTCTTCGTCTTGTTGTGCTGATGGCTGCCTGACAACTTACGCTTACGTTTTCTACCTTTCAAGGGCTCGGTACTGGTAGCGGAATTCTCTACCAGAGGAGTTGGGGAAGATTCAGGCGAAGACGCTGAAGAAAAGTCTGAGTCTGGTTCTGATGAGCTTGAAGACTCGAAGGTGACACGTCGACGACGGACCATTATGGCTGATGGATGATTCGAACTAACCCTTGAGAGTAAGATGTGTGCTGGAAGTCTCGAAACACTGCAGTACCTGTAAGGTCGTTCGACGTGAACATTTACCACAGCATGAACATGGCATCCGCACGTGACACCGTGCAGTGCTGATGCAGTCACCAGACTCGGATAGAAGTGACTTCGCAGAATCCAGCCATAGTCTCATTTACAGTGAGCATCAGATTTGTACAGCAGAGGCACGTCGTAGTCTGTCGTAGTGTGCGATGTTGATTAGAGCAGTCGAAATGAGACTGAAGTATACATTACATAATCGTAAGTAAGAGAAGGGATCGCAAGGCTGAAGAGGAGCAGGAGTACACCGCCAAACGGCCGTAACCTAATAAGAACATTTGATACAAATATTATGACGACCTGTGAGAGACCTCCGGGGCGACACCGGGCAGACACGTGTGATATGTTAGCTTGGTTTGAATGTGGTATGTCTGCCACCGGTTGTCCATGAGACGTTTAGTCAAACGTCTGCCAGATGTTTGGAATATATCCGAGCTTGGGTCCAAGCGGCCACTGTAGAACACCGCGCTAGGAGCATAGGTCACACACAGCGATCTAGACATTTGTGCGGTGTTTGCCTAGATGTTTGTCACATATATTGTTTAGGTCGAGCATTGGTTTACTATACACGAGTTAAAATCTACTATAGCTGCTCAATGACAAAGATATCTGTTTGCCGTTTCTTGTAAATGTTGTCCCTAAGCGTGATGTAATGACTCGGCCTGCTTGAACTTGCTCGTCTATATTATTCCTGTAGACGTCATAATTCCATTCTATGCAATCAACAAGCTTGACAGTAAGAACGGGTATCTGATATATATACACTATATACGAGGACAAAAAATATGTAGCACTCGAAAATCAAAGCTCAGCTACAAGTGAGTACGGAAAACATTCAGCGGCTAGTCTTTGAAACTCGGTCCATATACCAGCTCTGATAGTATCATGGTCGGTGATCAATGCAGGTGAATCCTCTGGATCCTCAGTGAGTGTCCACGACTCAATAAACGCTCCTTCCAGACTGATTCTTGAATTCCAAAGGGGCCAAGAGCCGTGAGGGAAGTCAGGATAAGCTGCAAGATATGCCATCCAGAACGCGTCACGACCCCATGTCCATTCAGGTGTGCGTGTGTCGACAACAACGTGAACCAGCCAAGATTCGAGCTTATATAAGAGTGTGACCCAACACCTTGCAGTGAAAGGATCGAAGTCTGACGGAAGAGGGAAGAAGGATGGCTAGAGAATACAGTGTGTGAGTAGGGTGTACTGTAATTGATGGAATTAGTAGACGCACCATTCGCAGCCTTGGTTGTAGGCTAGATATCATCAAAGGAGCAGCATCAAGAATCGGCACCACATAGCCAGCAAATTCAGAGGGAACGTTAATAGTGATTTCCAGCGGCTATAAGCTATTTTGAGTTCCAAGAAAACAATAATAGCAATGCAGCCACTTACGATCCGGGTTGCTGTTTGAAATACATGCGGTACACTTCCATGAAAAAGAACAGATAATGCAAGAGGTTTCAGTCCAACACCATCATCTTTTTGGATGGCGTCAATGTACACCATTGCTGACATTTTGTATGGTGGTTTGTATAGGGCAGAAACGGGCAGAAATCAGGAGAGATGAGATGCCTTCAGGCTGTGGTGAGAACGAATGCGTATTCACGTGACTTTCATTCTGATAATTGTGTCAAAGTCCTCGCAGTTGCCTCATTGTCACGGTCTTGCTGCCTGACGCTCCCTCAAATATTGCCACATGCTCACGACCCATAGCTTCAATCAACTCTGCAAGACTACTACTATGGGTTCCCGCATTTACCTTCCTCGTGCAAAACATTGGATCACATTAAATCCTAGCGGTAATATCTTTTTTCCTTCATGTTTCTACCATTACTTACTACAATTTCTACAGAGTATTCTTACAACAAGAGCAATAATCGGATCAGTTGTCTCGTGTGTCCCCTTCAACGAGGCATTCATCTATCCATGCGACCTTGTGACATCCATCCCCACTCCTCGAGCGCATCACACAAGAGGCATATGAAGATCAAGTGTAATCAACGACTGCACAGCTCTACCGCACGGTCTGACCCACCTCCCTCTCCAATCACAGCTGATGAAGATCAACCATCATTTCCCCCACTTCTTGACTCAGGAACACAGTCAATGGATACACCACCCACCCACTCCCTCCCTCTCGCACACAGCCCGTCTTCACCATCTTTTGGCGGTCATGAGCCAATATCTGACCAACTCTATTGTTCTGTGGACCAGCGAGAGAAAGATCCTTCACGCACTGTGGAGCTGGAGGAACCGGAGAGCGAGGCAGAGGAGAATGATGAAGTTGCCCCCTTATCCATGCTCTTGGGTGACGGTTGGTCTCAAACACCTTTCGTTGATGACCTGGACCTTTACAGTGAATATCTTGCTGCCTGCGAACACGCCGATGACCCTTTGGGGCCAATGCGACTTCATTTCAGTGACGAGGAGATTGGTGTTCACACAGACGATTACGAGCTCAACTCTACCGATGACATGCAGGAAGATGAAGATCCCCTTGGGCTTCTGTCAGGTACATGGATCATCTCGCCCTTGTTAAGCCCGTCATTAAATTCTTCACAGATAATGCTTCGTCCTCACTACATGCTAGTGCAACCTATCCATGGCCATCTTTACCGGTAAGTTTAACTTATTATTGATATTGCAGTTAAATGATGGCGCCATTGGTTAGATGTACATCACGGACTTATTGTTCAGTTCACCTCGTCTCCGTTTTTCTGATGCTCAGAAACGGGCAGTGATCACATGGGCGAAGGCACTTGGCGCTCCCAATGTCCCCACCCTTTATGGCTTGAAGAAATGCCATGATCGCATTTGTAACCAAGTCGGAAACCCGACTGAGAAGGTGAACACCAATTCTGGCAATATTTTCTATCTCAATTCAATCGCAAAAGCGATCGCAAAGGTATTTAGTTCTCTTACCTCTTCATCCATGGCGAGCTCAAAGATATTGGGTCAGGACTACGCCAATCCTCTCACACGCATGTGTATGCAGGATTATCCCGAAGATGGTCAAGGCAGTATGTCCCAGGCTCATCATGGCGAGAAGATGCTCAACCTTCCAGACGGCCTTGCTGTGCCGTCGGTTCGAGTTTGCAAGAAAATATACTTCACTGGCGAGCTTCTTCAACAATCGTCGCAGAGTTACTTCATCCCCAAACGATTTTTTCAAGCTTATCTCCCTGATGGAGATGCTGCGCATCCGGAGCCGGTGATACTTGCCATAGGCAATCCAGTGGCATTGACTGCGGTATGGAACTTGGCCTTATGCTACCTTTCTATACTAATTATACTAGGCCGGTTTCATTGTTGATCCCGAACAAATTATTGTTGAGGTATCAACATTTGCTCGCACCTTTGAAGAAATTGAAGAGCGTGAATTTGAATGCGGCTTTACGGGTAAGAATGTCATTGATGAGCGATGCAACTGAATTTGATTATTTGTTAGAGTCCTCCCGATCGTATGCACAGCACATGCCCAATCCTCTTCGCAAGAAGTCAGGAGGGCGTCTTGTTCTGTCGGTGCCACTCATCATCTTCATTGATGATGTATCCGGAAATGTCTCGAAACAATGGAACAAACATCACGTTGTTTATATGTCAAATGCTGCGATGCCACGTCAGATGCTTGAAAAGGAGTTTTGCGTCAGGTTTGTGTCTTCGTCACCCCATGCATCACCTCTCGAACTCGCAAAGGGTGTCAAGGATTCAATAATGTTTGTTATTTGCCTCTCTTTGCCTCGACACTCATACTAACATGATGCCAAGTACCGCTGCTGAACAGGGCGTTATAGCATGGGATTGCAAGTATGAAGAAGAAATCATGCTTGTTCCTTATGGCCTCTTCAAGGCTGGCGATAACCCGATGCAGGCAGAAGAGTGCAGTCACGGTGGTCTCAAGTGCAACCTGTTTTGTAGAACCTGCTATGTCGGTGGGACGATGGTCGAAAAATCAACAGACGAAGGATACTTGAAAATCTTCGAGGTTACTTTTTTCTTGTTTTATTCGTTATTTCACTTAATCTTATACTATACCGTAGTCAGGGAGGCTGCGTGAGCCTGATGACACTCACAAACATATTTATGATCAAATCGTGCTATCGAAGCTCTCCAGAGGGACTGAAAAGGTGAAGAATGCAGTCACATCTTCAGGGATACGTGATGCGGCCTCTGCGTCAATTGTCAATCATCTCTTAGTACTCGGCAAATCTTTGCGCAAATGGGAAGCCAGAAAACCTGCCCTCAAAGAAGATGAAGTTCGTGCAACACTGGAAAAGGAATTCGAAGACCTCCTTTGTGGTCGACCGCTCGAGGAGTTCATCAACCCCCTGTTGGGAATGCCCGGAGTTAACATTCACAGAGATACACCGACAGAAATATTGCATACTGTTCTTCTTGGCATCGTCAAATACTTCTGGGGCCAGACCGTCTTCATCCTCGAGAAGGCTCATCTACTCGACACCTTTCGGACTCGCCTCGAGTCCATCTCCACAAATGGTCTACATGCACCAACTCTCGGCGCGGAGTACATTTGTCACTACAAGGGAAGCTTAATTGGCAAGCACTTCAAGTCTCTTGCACAGGTAATGCCATATATTATCTACGATCTTGTCCCGAAAACAGTGCTTAACGGCTGGACGGTTATCGGCGAGGTGGTGGTGTTATTATGGCACACGAAAATTGATGATTTGGAAACTTATTTGGTACGCTTTCAATGCAAATCTCCATTTTCCAGAGCACTGACCTTCAGTGAAGGCACAGCTCTCATGCGCCATTGAAGACTTTCTGACAATCAGTGCACAATGCGCCCCAAGTATTCTCATTAGCAAGGCAAAATTCCACTTTCTCCTACATATCCCAATGTACATTCGTCGATTTGGACCTGCGATTCTCTTTTCCACAGAACACTTTGAATCCTTTAACCACGTCTTTCGTCTCACATGCATTCACAGCAATCGTCAAGCTCCGAGTCGTGACACTTGCAATATGTTTGCTTCGCACGACATCGTCAAGCATGTTGTAACTGGCGGTTTCTGGTTTGATGCTGTGCAGAAGAAATGGGTTCGCGCTGGTGATGCTGTGCGGCAGTATATTGCTGATCATCCAGAACAGCGCCATTTATTGGGGCTGAACACCGCAAATGCAAAAGCTGCAGGTTTGTGAAGCTACCTATAAGTTATATTGTCTTTTTCACTCACTTCCTCCGGACGCAGGCTCAGTCAGACTTCCTGTACCCGCGAACAAGGGAAAAGTAGTGACTGTCCCATGGAGCCAGACTCAATCACACAAAATTTACGCCGATCCCCAAAATGCATCAAAACATCTGTCTTCCTCAAGTTCCCGCTGTAGAGACTCATGCCTCTCATGGCATGATATGGCAGTATCCACTAGGGAGTACACAGCACGACTTGCAGCAATCACTCTGTATGCTACCTGCAGCTATTCCTATATGAGGCGCAGCTTTCCCGCACAACGCGCGCCATGCGCGCACCATTCCCGCGCTTTGCGATGTATACACCCGCGCGCTTTCCCGCGCTTGAGCGCCCTATAGCGCCAGCCATCCAGAAGCATCCATCCACTGTCCACCAAGCTCTCTAGTGCGTATATTCCCATTTCTCTTATTTACATATCGTTCCACCTCTATTTTTACCATGGACCCTTACTTACATATATCTTTACATACCTTACTCGGTAGCGAGTCGGCTCCGCATGACAGCGCTTAGGCGCCATATAAGCACCAGCATCACGGACCACGAGGATACTGACTTTACCTCCCACTTACCCACTTACCACCTAGAGAATATAGTTGCAATCTATTCTTTGACACCTCGCGCTCGTATCTCTTGTTATTCATCTAATCACCACTTAAGCAAACTCACACTTACTCTCACTTGTCTCCGCTCACGCGCGCGCGCTTCCCGCGCCTCGCGCGTACCTTCGCTTTCCCGCGCCTCGCGCGTACCTGCGCGCTTTCTCGCGCTTCACATTGGCCGACCAGTAGCGCCTTCAGCGCCTACTTCTAGAACCTTGCTGCACTCGCTTCCCCTTTAGGGTCGAACGCACTTGTCTTCTCAAGAATAGCAGACTAGGCAACGCGCGACCTCACAACATTATAGATACAGTTTGGAGCATTTGTTTGCTCCTCGCAGTATTGTTGTTTCTACACCGCTTCGTAATTGCTGATTCGATTGTTGCAACAAATGGAGACACTGTCGCTGTGGGCGGGCATGTCATCCTGTCGGATGAGGCAGAAACTGTAAGTTGTTATTTAGCTGCTAGCAATTTTTCATTCTCACAAATCAAATATTAGCTACGCATCGGGAAGATCATTGAGATCCTGGCTCCCGACAGCAATCACATGTATGCAAGTCATGTTGCGATCCAGTCTCTTCAGTTTTTACCCACAGTCGACCCAACTCTTCGGGTTCCTCGCATGCAAACTATTACCAACCAAGAAGTTAAGTCGCCAGAGGTGAGAGCCTTAACCAGTGATACAAATTTATGTTTATTGATTGATGCTTGAAGCAAATCCTTTGCGCCGTTAATATTCAACATGACTGTGCTTCGTCACAATGTGTCGAAACACGATCCATACGTGCTCGCCAGGAACGAGAACAGACAACTCGAACAAAACAGATCATCAAGCACAAGGAAACAAACATGTTCCTATTAAATGTCCACTCCCTTCACAACTATGACATGATCGCCAAGGTCATCCCGCTCGATCTCCGCCTCGCACTTACTGTTCCACTTGTCACTGCTGGTGACAGCAAACAAATTCGTCTTAACGCTGCAAACCACGTCCGTCAGAAGAAGACCGGTGGAACCACCATTGTCAGCGCTGGAGCAGAGTGTCAACTTGCTCCTGCATTTGATCGTAGTACAGGCCAGGCCACAAAGAGAAAGGGAGAGGCTCAGACTCGGAAGAAAGCGACAACCGTGACAGCAGCCTCAGCTGCTGAGCCTCCCCACTTTGCTTCTGCATCAGCTGAGGCAGCTTCAGGTGCACATGTGGTTGCTGCAGCCTCTCCTGCCGTTCAGCTGCCACGACCATTACATTTCAACAGCACTGCTCCCCCTGGACCCATCTTTCAATCTCCACAACCACTGCAATTCCACGCTTATTCTCAGGCGAATCCTTATCAAGCCGGAACTTTCACTGCGCTGCCACCGCATCAATACCAACCCTTCCAATCTCCCGCGCATCCTCATCCTCCTGCGAGTATGGGTGTTCCACTGCCATATCCTTACTATCCGTCTGGTGTTCAGTTCAATCAGTTCCGACCTCCAGGCCCTGTCCAGCAACATCTGGGATCATCGGGCAACTTTTTATTCAATGATAGCAGGCGTCATGATTCCACAGGAGGCGGTGTCATGCATGGTATGTGATTCATACCATGTCAGATATATATAGAGAGTGATAAGGAAGATATGAGAGACTGTCTAGCCCTCTGTCACTGAGTTACCTTTCTATTTTTCCTTTATTTCATTGTCTTGTATTTTATTTCTCACTTTTCAGATTTATTTTACCTTGTATTTTTATGAGCATGTGACCTTCTGTTTATTTCTCATTATTTATTTTTATTTGGCTACTTTCAGCCACAGATTTGTTTGTCAAAGTTTTGTATCTCTATTTATTTCTGACTGTTTATTTTTATTTGGCTTCTTTCAGCCACCAGATTTTATTTGTCAGCACATCATGTGACTGGGGAATATTCTGGTTTGTAACATTATTTAAGCTGACTCAACATGTTTAGTCATGATTGGTCATGCTTTGTAACAACATTCACATGACTCATCATGTTTTGTCATGATTTGTCATGCTTTGTAAATTCTTTGTAAGATTACACTGTATTTGTAATGTACTTAGTAATAAGCTGATTCATCATCTGGTTTGTAAGCCACATTCTTACCAATCCATCTGATAAATCATGCTTAGTAAGGGGGTTCCCAAAAGGTATAAAAGGACCCCATTTTCACCCATAAAATATAACTTCCCATTTTTCATTCTTCTCTCAAACCGTGTGAGAGTACGTAAGAATAAAAGTGCAGGCAACGTGCCTTGAAGTAAGACTAAGACACATCGTTATTCTATTCTAAAGTTATATACTACCTTACAGGGGTTGACTATATAACTTTCGTTATCGTTATTCTACTCTAGGTTATATACTGCCTTACAGGGGTTGACTATATAACCATCGAACAGCTCTCATTCTAAGCTTTACGTGTATACATAAGACTCTCTCTTTCAACGGAAAGTGAGACACATATCTAAGGACGACAAAGTTGAAACAGACTTTCATAGGTTGAAACACGACCTACTAGGCTGAAACAAACCTAACAAATTTATCCAGAACACAGAATATTCCACAACACTTCGTATCAAACTACACAAGAAGAGGACAACAAACTAAATCCTCCCAAGAACTCACCACGTTACCTCCCACGAAGTAGAAAAGTCGGAGACCGTGGACTTAAGGACTGGCAAGAAGTCTTCACTGTGTATAATTGTGTTGTCATTATACACAACTTTTATATAAGACCCTTAAGTAACAAGACATCACTGGAGCCCACCGCGAGGGAGGCTTCTTCTTGTACCAAACATAACGCAACAATCGTAAACAAAGCACACTTCGTATAAATCATTCCACCCACACAACAAAACATCATCAAACATATTTAAACACCACAAAGAAATCACAACAATCGTAAACAAAGCCATACTTTGTATAAATCATTCCACCCACACACCACAACATCAACAATCGTATCAAAGCAACACAAACAAAAGTCAAACATGACTACACGATCTGTATTAACATTACCTAACCCTGGAACTAAGGCAGCACCTGCCAAATTCAAGGGTGGATTTTCAGAAGTCAAGGACTTTCTGAAACACTATGAAAAACTGTGTGATTATCACAATGTAACCTCTGATGAGGAGAAATGTGAATCTATTACCCAGTACATGTCCCGTCATGTAACAGAATTTGTAGAGGGACTACCCAGTTTCAGATCAAATAACTGGAGCAAACTCAAGGCTGACATTCTGAAGTATTATGATGCAGACCTTGACACGAAGCGATATAGACGCAAAGATTTATTGTCCTATGTAAGGACAACACGAGGAAAGAAAATCCCTACACTCACTGCTTGGAAGAAGTATGTGAGAGGGTTTATTCGTATTGCAGGATGGCTTGAACAAGCCAAGAAATTAACAAGTGAAGAATATGCAAGTTACTTCTGGGAGGGGATTTATAAGAAACTCCGTATTAAAATCGAAACACGCCTCATGGCAAAGGATCCAGACAGAGATCTATCCGAAGCCTTCCCAGTAGACCGAGTTATCGCAATAACAGAGAAATTGCTACACCGTGACCGGTTTGATGCAGACCTATTCGTTTCTGAAGTAGAGACCGAGTCTGAAACTGACTCCTCAACTGAAGAAAACTCTGATGCCAATACAGACTCAGAGTCTAGTGAGTCTGAAACCGAGTTTTTTCGTAAGAAGAAGAAGGCCCCAGAGCCAAAAGATAAGAAAGTAGTAAAGAAAGCTCAAAAGAAAGCAAAAGGACATGTCAAGGAAGCCAAGACTAAGACTTCCTCAAAGGATACTAAGAGTCCTGGTATTACTTCACCAGAACCTATGGATGAAATGGAGGGACTCATCAAGAGACTTAATGCAATCTCACTCGATGACCCAGACTATGCTTTGTATTACTACAGGGCAACACGAATTGATCCTACCATCAAAGATATGATAGCAGCCCCTATTTTGAAAAGAGGTAATGCTACCCAAGGAGAATATAAGCCTTACAACAATCAAAATGGACAAAGTAATGTAAGGCAAAACAATAATGCAAATCAGACATTCAGAGGACCACAACCAGGTACTAGGTTCTATCACCCACCAAACACCCCTTTCAATGAACGAACATGCTTTGGTTGTGGCGAAAAGGGGCATGGCATTCCAATGTGTCCACAAATCAATAAACTAATTGCTGACGGTAAACTCCAACGTACACACCGTGGGCAAATTGGAAAACCAGATGGAAGAGCCGTAAGACGGTTACCTGAAGAAACGATTATCGAAGCACTAAAGCGAGAGGACAGTGTGCCAGTAGCTCACTTTATTAAAGTGAATAGCGGAGATGCACAAACCTATAGTGCAAATAAGCAAAATGAATTTCAAGAGTCTAGGACTGCATACATTGAAGAGTATGTGAGTTCTGATAGTAAAGATAGTGACACGGACGATTCAATCAACCGGCACGAAGAGACTGAGGAAGAAGAAAGTGATACAGATGAAGAAACATATGCATTCCCGGTTGAAAGGGTCACACGAAACTCCACACAAGGAAGACGTGAAAGATTTGAGGAGGTATTCCCTCCAGGTCAAAGCAAAAATCTAAGGAAACCAAGCGAAAAAGATAAAGGAAAAGATAATGTTCCCACCACTCAAGCCAAAAAGGCTGATACTCATACCAAACCTAAATCCACACAACCCGTTCCAACCACAAAGACAAAGCCTGCAAATAAGAAAGAGACAGGAAAAGGTCTAGATAATGGGTGGGATAGTGAAGACATTGTCATGGATGATGTGGATGAAAGGAAGATCAACGAGAAACACCCAAAGACCAATGAAACACCTTACAAATCAATCCCAAACTCAGATCGTAAGAATATGACAACACGTCAACGTGTCTCCGACATAGCGGCTAAGATTAAGCCAGAGAAAATTCTTGAAACAGTGTTGAGGACTCCTATCTGACTTGAGGTAGGAGAGCTTCTTGGCACCTCTCGTGAGCTTAGCGGAATCCTCGCTAATGCTATTAAACCGAAGTCCTTACCTAATGACTCAAAGATAGAAGCACATTCGGTATGGACAAAGACACGCGGGCTATTAATAAAAATAGCGATGCATTGTGACGGTCAAGCAATTAACGCAATAATTGACACGGGTTCACAACTCAATATCGTAAACAAACACGTCTGGAAGACTATTATTAATAGGCCTATTGATATTGCCAAGTCAGTATCTATGAATGACGCAAACGGTGGTGAAGGCAAACTTCGCGGATTGGTACAAAATGTTCCACTAGATTGTGGAGGAGTTAGTACTCATGCGAATTTGTTTGTTGGCGATCACGTACCATTCAGTCTATTATTAGGTCGTCCATGGCAAAGAGGAAACTACGTCTCCATTGACGAAAGAAAGGACGGGACGTGGTTATTATTCAAAAATCCACTCGATTTAGAAGTCCGTTATGAACTTCTATGCACTCCTGACGGAAATGATCCTAATTGGGACTTTGAACCGTCCACTTGGGTCAGTAATATGGGCGAAACAACCATGTTTTGCGAAATTAATGAAGAATTGCCAAATTCGGAATTTAGCGCGCGAAACTCTAAACTCAAAAATCACGTGACTAAACATTTGCAAAATGATCTCCGTGCCGAGAATTTTATTGGTAAGAAATTTATCAGCAAAGGCCGGGATCAGTCAGCCAAAATTGAAATAAAAGATTTCTCAAAAAGCATAAAAGAAGCGCCAGAACCAGCGCTACGCCCAGCGCCCACTAGCCTCGTGTCTGAGAAATACAGCGCGAGGCATCCAGAAATCACACACACGTCCAAATTTAGTAACTTATTGCGTTCTCGGGATATGCCGGAACACG